CAATACCCTAGTTACTTCCTGAGTAGAGGAGAATGATAAGATTGCAGAAAATGGAAGAGGAATAAGTTAGTATCTCAAAATATAATCTCACTATATTTGTATGTTTCTTTGAAAATTTCTCAAGACAGAACAGAGTCTACTATATCATTTGAACTCCCCATAGCACATAGCTCAAGAATTTATATTAGGCCAAATCTGCACGGCCATATTCTCCTATTAAATAAAATAATAAATGTGAAAACAGTATAGTCCCTATACCCAACAAACTCTATAATAAATTATTGTTGGAACTGAACCCTAACACTTTGAGTACAAATTTGAAATTCCCCTCTTCATCAAAGGGGCTAACAATGTAAATGTGTACAGACTTTAAGGATTGAAGTATGACCTTCTTAATAATTAATGCAACCAAACTTTACAAAAGTGAAAAACTAAAATTTTCACTTTTGAAAATATTGGGGGAATAGGAAGAGTAAAACTTATATGGGAAGAGTAGAGCAAACCAACTATGAAAAATTAAAGTAAACTAAGTATCTAAGGCCAAAACCAAATTAAAGGAGGCCTAATGAGAACTAGGCAGAGGCCTAAAAGAGCACATATTTCCTCTTCACCTTGCTATTGCTTTGCTCAGAGTCCATGTATTTAAAGGACAAAAAATTGTGTAGTTATTTGTTATAGAAATTGCTGTGTTATCTCACATAATGGTATAGACTCTATATACCTATGTTTTTTGGTAATGAGAATGATGCATATTGGAAGCAGGAAATAAAACCATAAAAAAATTTTTAAAGGAAGAGAAAATGTAAATGTGACTGTGAATGTCCAAACAGAAATTTTGTGAACTTATTAATTTTGAAACTGAACCCTAATACTTTGAAAGGCTGAAAAAGACAATAAAATATTAAAATTAATATTACTGCAAACTTCAAAGCCCCTCTCTTAAATAGATTATTGCATGTGAATAACTACAAAGAGGTAAGTTTTCTTGTAGTGTAAACATTTCAAGGAATAACCCATGACCTTGAATTTCATCTCTTTAAAAAAGATCAAGCTGAGGGGACAGAGGCTTGTGATTTTAATGAAGGTTAACAATAATCATGTAAAGCTACTTTACACACAATAGTTCATTTATTAGCAACAGCTTATGCCTATCTGCAAAGCCACTTGTTTCATATCCAAAACACAGTAAATGTGTTTTAATACAAAACTATAAGTCACTTCAAGACATTCTAAATTTGGATCAACATTATCATCTTATACAGTGAGCAAAAACTCAAATGTATGGATTACTTCTCTCCTGATCAGTTTTTTGTATGAATTGTCTAAGAGAGGAGGAGAAAATTGGGTGAGAAATGGCTTGACATTGTCCCTGAGCAAACATTACAGTCAGCCTACCCCAAAATCAGATCAAAGACGTAATTATTCTGTTAAGAAAACACAGAACAAATTCGAGAAGCAAGAGAAAATGTTAATATGGTCTGAAATTCCTACTTGTATCATCAATCAAAAACAACTCTAAAAATATCCTCCAAATTTTAATCCACATTAATTACAAACACAATTAATATAAACCATCATGGTCAGAACTAATTTGACAGAGCATACAATTCAGTGTTGGCAAGGTCAGGCTTTTGTGCTCAATTACGTTCCTTCATGCTGACTTTAAAGAAACTGTTTTGAGAGAAGAAGAAAATCCCACTATCCCAACATGAATATTTAAATAACAATCCAGGAGGAGCTGCATTCAGTCAGAACCCTAAAGATACACAAATACATAGTACATAAAAGTCTCTGTGTAAATCAGTTCTATTCATCACAATTCTAAAACAGTTTGTGACAATGAATGAAGGTATCAGGACTGTGGTCAGTACAGAAAATATCCTTCCACTAGAAAAAATGACAATGACTAGAGGTGGTAGAAGTAACAAATGGCCATAATGGCGATTGGAAATATGACTGTGTTGACATTTATTAATAAATAAAAAATAGGTTTACAGTTGTGAGTATGTGAAACACAGAATTTATTCTTGTATTATTATTTACCAATTATTGTATTATTTTCCACATGAACAACTGTAAACCTACTTTTGTCCCACCCTGTATTTTAACACCATATTTGTATGTACTAGGGACTATGCTTAGCTTCATAAAAATAAAATTGCATTTAAATCTGCATAACAACCCTAAGAGGTAACTATTATTATTATTATTATTATTATTATTATTATTTTACAAATGAGAAATTTGAGGCATAGAAAGGGTAAGCAATTCACCAAGAGTATCATGTTTAAAAGATGGCAGAGGTGCGTTTCAAACCTAAATGATCTCATTCCAGAGGCAACATTTTTAACCACTATGAAATACCCACTGCCACATTCATCTCCAAGGATGAAATAATGGCTATATGAATTAATCAACAAAGTGGAAGGATAGACATAGATTGTACCATTAGTCAGTATGGAGAATTAAGAAGGAATAGTATTGAATCTGAGACCTGATTGACATATGGGAGGGAATGTGGGCCAAGCACAGAGAATCATATACGCAAAGACACAGTCAGGAGACAAGAAGGTATGTTAGAGGAAAACAGGTAGTTCAGTTTGCTTGGAATATAAAATGAGGAGAGGGAAGAAAGGAAATAAGATATTAAGTCAAAATTGATGAGGCAAAATAGGTAAGGCTTATAGTCCACACAAGGCAGTTTCAATTTTATCCTGTAGCATGAAGATTTAGGAAGCCATCGAAGAAATATAATCAGGATGGAAACACAATTGGGTTTGTGAGTTAGAAAGATCCCTCTGGCAATGATGAAGAGCTATCTTTCTTAAAGTTGAGTATGCTACATTCTTTCAAGAGAAAAATTTTCATGGACCCTCTGTGTTCAATGATATTTTTCATTATGTTATTTAAATGTGTACATATATTACAAGACATAAAAACTCCTTCGATATTATCTAAACCAAACTACAAGCCAAATTAAATTTTAATTAATAATAATTTAATGTAACAATGTTTTATTTAAAGTTGCTATTCAGAGAGTAACTATTTTGATGCAAGTTCATTGGATTAAAATAAAGAGAAAAGAAGAGCTAAGAAACATTGTCTGTGATTTAAATTATATTGCCTTTAATGTCCTTCTAGAGTTATAGGTAAAGAAATTTCTTTTAAATTATATTTTGTCTGTTAACCTATACTTGGAATAACTCTACTTCTAAAATGTGACATCCCAGATCAGACCTTGGAAATCATGCTGCAGTAGTTACAATCACAAGAATTTAAACTTATAATATTTCTGTTTCTCTATTAATCTTAAAATGTTTAATATAAAGGTAGCTTGAATCATCTGTATGACTACTTCATAAAAGTCTACCATAAAATTTCAGTATACACATTTGCCTTGGAGTTTATAATCCAATTATTAACACCAATTATTTTGGATTTGTGAGCTTAATGTATAAATGCTATTTTCCAACATTTCCAGCTGGATGAAAGCTAACTGATCCATAGGGATCTGATGGAAAGAAGATTGTTCAGTATTTCAAACAGAGGGAACCAGAGGGAAAATTAAGAAAAGGCTGGATCAAAGCTGAATCTACCATTTATTAAGTGCTGACAATGTGCCAAGTACTGTGATAAACATCTTACATCCTCTGTCATGTTTAATCTTTACAAAAATCCTATGAGGTTCATATTAATACCCAATTCTATAGATGAGGAAACTGAGGCTTAGAGAGATAGGGATGACAACCAGTAAATGACAGCCAAAACTGGGACTACTCAGCACTAACCTCGGGTCTATGCTCTAAATGATTAGGCAATGCTGCCTAAATGAAAATTATTATATAGTATTAAGTATATTACCAAAAGAATATATCGCATTCTTAGTTTATAAATCCAAAGACGTGTTGAATTATGGCAAGTAGATTCTCATTTGTCGTTACCACAGGTTTCAATGATTTGGTCTTAAAAACACTGTTACAACAAAAAGTAAAATCAAAAGTAGAGAAAGAGGCAAAAACTACTTTAACACTAAATACCCATAAATAGAGTTTGTAGTGATCCCTTCTAGTATGGAAATTCCAAATCAGTAATAATATATCACGAAAGCAATGTGTCAAGGAGCTGCTTTTTCACCAAATCATTTGTCTGTTTGGAGTTCAACATTTTTAGTTCTTAAAGTCATATTTGAGTGTGTGTTGGGTTTTGTTGTTCCAATTTGTTTTGGGAAAGAGTGTTATAACCTCAAAAGAAAAATATGACCCTCATAATAGAAAAACAATCATTGGTTCATTTAATGAACCACATAAAGATTTTCCTATAGACTAGATTAGGAGGGGGTGGAAGAAACTTATCCACTCGCTAAATATTTATCAAATTCAACTTTCAAAAATATTATTTTCATTTTCCAAAATTGAGTTGGCTTAGCAAAAATATTTGCTAAGAGAGGCAGAGAAATACTAACAATGAAAGTAAATATGAATCAGAAATTAGGATATAAAGATATCTAAAATGATATAGGTCCACGAGAAATTAATTTACTAGAAATAAATGAACCCAAAGCTTTGCAGCAATATATTTGTTCTGTGAAACTTATAAAATGAAAACCAGGGCACAGTGGGGAGATATCTCTTGCACCACACAAGTTCCCCTAATTCTCAGCTCAAAGAAGCCAAATAACAATAATATATTTTCTGATGATTTCTATTATTATTCTATATTTACTAAATACATTATTCTAGAACTTTCTTTTAAACTATGATAATAAAAGAAAACACCAAGCATTATTTTTCTGATTGCCTTTCATTGGCAGATAGTGCGAGGCCGGCAGGATCGCATTTCTCAGAGGTTTGACCCTGCCTGGTATTCGTAGAAAGTAGCCCAATTATTCCAGTCCCCTGCGTTCCCCCAGCACTAGGGAAACGATACAGAAACAGGCTCCGCCCACCTTCTGAAAGTGAGCCAATCAGAACGCAGCCCGGGCTGGTCGCGTGCTGGGTGTCATGGCGGCCTGCAGGCACTGCTGCTCGTGCCTCCGGCTCCGGCCGCTGGGCGAGAATCCCCTGCGTCTGCCCGGGCGGGATCGGGCGCTCACCCAGTTGCAGGTGCGAGCACTATGGAGCGGCGCCGGGTCCCGTACCGTGGCCGTGGACTTAGGCAACAGGTAAGGGACGACGTGCGTTTTCTGCTCTTTCACAGGCATTCTATCGGGTCAGCAACTAGTACATTCACCTCCCTGGATAGGAATCTGGCAACCCTGGCCTCTTTTCCCTCCGTTCACCCCAAACCTAAATGCCAAGCTTCCCTTTCCGGGTTTGGAGTCTGCCTCCCGGCACCCTCACTCTTCCCTCCCTGTCTCAGCCTCATGTCCTTTGCTTCTTGGTCCTCCTTCTTACCCTGTTCCGGGCTTCCTTCCTTCCTTCCTTCCTTCAGCTGGGTCTGACCACCTGACTCCATTCTCTTTAATTTCGGGGACTCCTGGACTCTGAAATATAAAACAGTCCACCTCAGGATAATGAGCTCACATCGTCCAATCCTAAAAACGTGGCCAGGATGACCCTAGTTAAGAAGGGAAAGGAAACATAAGTTTGTCGAACACCAGCTATATGCTACACTCTTTTTAAACCTGTAGTACAGGTGCCATTACACCCATTTTTATAGTTAAGAAAACAGAGATTCAGAAATGGTCAACAAAGGTAGTACTATGAGACTAAGTGGATTTTGAACTTGTATTTCTGTTACAAACCCCCTACTTTTCCCAAGGATCCTTTTGCCAGAATTGAGATCTAAAATTGCTTTTTAAAACTGTGTTTGAATAATTTTTGAAATAAATGAAACTGCTGTCTATTTACTATATATATATATATATATATATATATATATAGTAAATAGACAGCAGTTTATTATATATATATATATATATGCACAAACACACACATATATATACACACACATTTTTACATGTACTTAAAAAAATTTTTTTTGCCTTAATATAAAAAGCCAGAACATCTGGCTTTGAATCCACACCTTCCTCCTTAACTTATTGAATGACTGATCCTGAACAAATTGATTCACCACTTTTTTATTTCACAAAACGAGGAGACTGGGCTAGATTAGGAGTCTGTAAACTTTATGTAAGGAACCAGATAGTAATTATTTTAGACTTCGTGGGCTGCATACTGTCTGTCACATATTAGTGAGAGAGAGAAAGGGTATGTTTACAAACCCTTCAAAAATGTAAAAGCACATTCTTAGCTGAAAGACTACAGAAACAGGCTATAGTTTGTTGACCTCTACACTAGATGGATCTATAAGGCTCTTCCACCTCTGGCATTCTTTGATCCTGATTTTTTGAGGGAGAGATTATCTTTTCCATTCTTCAAGGACTGAACATTCTCCTGTGAAGAAATGACCCTGAAGAGTAGATTCAACAGATACCTATTATGGGCTAAGCACTCAGACTTAAAGCAACAAAATCAGCCCCTGCCCTCCAAATTTTCCATAAATGATCATTTGTCAACTTAGAACTCTTTCGTAGCTAGTTCTTTTTAAACCTGTATCATGTGTTGTAACAACTAGATTCATAATTATCATTACTGCTGGGTAAGTACATTTTTTTATCTTTGTTATAAGTTTGTTGTTTTCAGCATATAGTATGTGACTGCTGTGTACCATGCACTTTATATATTATAGTGCATGGTACATATTTATAATGATAATTATGAATCTAGTTGTTACAACACATGATACAGGTTTAAAATATGTGTGTGTTTGTGTCTGATTTTTTAATATCCTCACCCAGGTTATGTTTACTGATTTGAGAAAGAGAGAAAAGGGAAGAGAGAAACACTAATGTGAGAGAAACATTGTTTCAGTTGCCTCTAGTATACTCCCCATCCAAGGGCTGAACCTGAGAGTGTACTGGACAACGTCCCAACCAATTGAGCCACCGGACCCAGGCCATGAACTTTATATTTGTTATATGAATTTACAATATCTGAGCAGGTTTTATATTATTGTATTTTTCACATGTATTTAATATTCACAGTAACCTTTGAGGCAACTGTTTTTCATTTCAATAAGCTTCAGTTGAACATCAACTATATACAGGGCTCTTGTATGAGGAACTAAGATAAACAGGTTGAGTCCTGGGAAAATCACTGTGGGGGAGTATGAACAGGTGCTAAGGGAGCACAGGCATTTTTATCACATGCTAAAACTTGCCATCGAGGGTGAATCTTGAAGGACAGGAGAAAGGAGCAAAGAGAGGGGCAAGTGCATTTGCAGAGGTGAGAAAGTGCATTTGAGTAGCTACAAATAACTTACTGTGGATGGAGCAAAAAAACGAACTGTGAGTTTAGCAAATCACATAGGCAGAGGCCAAACCATAAAGGTGGTTTGTTTGTTTCATTTTTTTATTACTGATTTTTTCTGGTAGATTTTTGAGGAAAATGTTTCTAAAAATGTTCTTTAAACCTCTCTCCCTGTATGTCTACTTTCTGTGGCAGATGGCTCCTCTCTTCTCCTCACTTCCTGAGCTACATTGCTACGTATTCCCTCTCCACTCCACCAATAGGATCTCCTTGCTCACTTTACTCTTTTTATTATTTATTTCTTCAAAAGTATTTTTTTTTTTATTAGGTATTCACTCACATGGTTCAACATTTAAAAAGCTCAAAAATCTCCTTCCCATATAGTTCCCAGCCAGGTTCAATTCACAGAAGCCACTGGTGTGTTGTGTGTATTTTCAACACTGGACTATGATAGAATGTTTCTGAAGCTGAGCTCATGGGTCTGAACATTTTCCTAAGTATCTTCAGGAATCACTGAGTTGGTTGCCTTCACAATATTTTTATGAATTATGGGCTCTGACAAGTTTTGCTGGTCTCTTTCAAGCCCTCAGTGACCTCTTTTTGTACTTTCTGCAGAATCTGGGAAATAAAGCTGACAATGCTGCCTATTTCATATACAGAGATGGGCAAAATAGGTTTACAGTTTTGAGTACATGAAACAGTTTATTCTTATATTATTAATTATTGTATTATTTATTTGTATTACAACTATAAACCTACTTTTACCCACCCCAGTATATAAGATAGCTTTATCAAGATATAATTTACATACCATACAATTTACCCATTTAGAATGTACAATTCAGTGGTTTTTAGTGTATTAATAGAAATTTGTGGCCATCACCATACTCAATTTTAGAACACTTTCATCAACTAAAAAAAGAAATCTCTTATCCATTAGCAGTAATTTCCCATTTGTTCCAGACCCTACAGCCCTCGGCAATTAATAATCTGCTTTCTGTCTCTATGGATTTGCCTATTCTGGGCATTTCCTATAAATGAAATCAAGTGATATATGATCATATGTGACTACCTTCTTTCACTTTAGCATATTGTTTCCAAGACTTATCCATATTGTAACGTGTGTTAGTACTTCATTCTTAATGGCTGAATAATATTCCATTGTATAGATTACTATACCACATTTTGTACATTCATTAGTTGATAGACAATTCAGCTGTTTCCATTTTGAGGCTATTATGAATAACTAGAGGCCTGTTGCACGAAGATTCGTGCAATAGGCCTTCCTCCCCCTGGCTGCTGGCATCAGTTTCCCTCCGGCTCCCGGGACCCGGGCTGCAGCAGAGCCCAGCCTTCAGGGTTCAGGCTGGCTCCGGCCACAGCAGAGTCTTCAGTCTTCAGTTTTCACTGGGGTGGAGCCTTCAATTTTCAATTTTCGCTCTGTGCCTATGTATGCAAATTAACCCACCATTGGGTTAATTTGCATACTCATGATTGGGTGGTGGGTGTTGAGAAGGATTGGTCAATTTGTATCTTTCTCCCCCCTTTTTTTTTTTTAAGTGTAAATGCTGCTATGAATGTTCATATGCAAATGTTTGCATAGGTATAGGTTTTCATTTCTCTTAGGTATATACCTACGAGTACTAGGTCATATGTTATGTCTGAGTTTAACTTTTTGAGGAATTGCCAGATTTTTTTCCCAAAGCAAGTGCACCATTGTACATTTTCATCAGCAGCATATCAGGATTCCAGTTTCTCCACATCCTCACCAACACATAATCCTAATAGATATGAAGTTAAATCTCATTGTGGTGAAGTAGTATCTCATTGTGGTTTTGATTTGCATTTCCCTGATGCCTAATGATTTTGAGCATATTGTCATGCACTTATTGGCCACTTGTAAATCTTTGGAGAAACATATATTCAAATCCTATGCCAGTTTTTAAAATTGGATTGACTTTTTATTGTTGAGTTGTGAGAATTCTTTATATATCTTAGATACAAGTCCCTTATCACAGATATGATTTGCAGCTATTTTCCCGGTCGATTTTTTCAGTTTTTTTTTTTTTTTTTTAATAGATTTTGTTCTTTAGAGCAGTATTACTTTGATAGCAAAATTGAAGGAAATTTCCCATTTATGCCCTACCCTCCACATGCATAATCTCACCAATTATCAACATGTCCTACCTTTCTTTTACTTTCTTGATGATATCCATCCTATGAAGCATGAAAGTTTTTAATTTTGATGTTCAGTTTATCTGTTTTTTCTTTTGTCACTTGTGCTTTTGATGTCATATAAAAGAAGCCTTCTATTATTTTTCTTACAAATTTTATAGTTTTAGCTTTCATACTCAGGTTTTGAATTAATTTTTATTCATAGTATGAGGAAAGGGTCCAACTTTATTAACATTTTTGCATATAGATATCCAGTACCATTGGTTGAAAAGACTATTCTTTCCCCCATTGACTTATCTTTGGCACCACTGTTAAATTTGAAGGTCTCTGTAGGCAATTTTTGGAATATAAAGCAATGGGGAAAATTTAAAGGATTTTAACTAGGGAAATGATCCACCCTGCTTGAGTCAACTTGAAAGGAATGAAAAGAGACTAAACTAAGGTAGTAAATGGGAATTAGCATTTAAGAAGTGCGTTTCCAGACCCTCCCCCCCAAAAAATACTTTCATTCAGATTACTCCTGTGCCTTGATTTCTATATTTTTCTTTACACAACTCTTAAATTCCTTTTGTACTTTTCTCCCCTTTGTACTTTTAATAATGATTATTAACTCTATCCCTTTTTTGTTTGCTGGGTGGGGTCGTGTGGGGTTTGGTAACCTTCAGTTTACTCATTAGAATCTTTATGTTATACTAAGCTGCGAATTATATTAATGACTTAAGTTCTTTTATATTGAATTTTTATTTTTTAAACAGAAAATTGGAAATATCTTCTGGAAAACTGGCCAGATTTGCAGATGGCTCTGCTGTAGTACAGGTAAAAAAATCCAGTATTTTGCATTTCCATCCTCACCCAAGGATATGTTTTTTTATTGATTTTAGGGAGGGGGGAGAGAAAGAAAAGAACACCTGCGTTAGAGAGTCGCTTCCCTCCCATACATGCCCCAGCCCAGGATTGAACCTGCAACCTGGGTATGTAGCCTGACTAGGAATAAAACTCTGAACTCTTTTATGCAAGGGACCATGTTCCAACCAACTGAGCTATACTGGCCAGGGCTACATTTTCATCTTAAAAATTATTATGGAGATTGGTACTAAATATTTTTACATCATATAACATTTTAGAATTGTGGCATTGGAAATTTATTCATACCATTTCTAGTGTCAGAACCATTCTAGACAACCAGGGAGTCTAAATGACTTTTAAGATCTCTTCCAAACTTATTTATTTATTCTATATATAACTTCTATAATGCTTTTGTAAAGAAAGTAATTTTTTTGTTTGTTTCTTTATTAGTAATACTTGGGATGTTATTCTTTATAAATAGCCTAAATTTCCTCTTAAGAAGTAGAAAAAGAATTGGGTGAGTCTTGTTCCTTTTAGTTATGTTGCTTTTGAAAAGCTCAATGATTGTTCTAATACAGAATATGATCATGCAGAAGGGATCAAGATTGGACTACTTGTGAATAATTGTTTTCATTGTCATTAGGTCAAGGGATAACAGTTCTCCTTACTTGGGTTTAACTGGAGTAAGGATTCATTTAGTCACTACTTATATGTTAATATCTGATTTTAAAGGAATTTACTAGTGTTGTTTATTTTTAACTAAGTCAGGTGACACGGCGGTGATGGTCACAGCAGTCAGTAAAACAAAACCTTCACCTTCCCAGTTCATGCCTTTGGTGGTAAGTATTTGCTGATTTGCCTGAATTATAATATGAAATAAATGTAGAATTTGTAATATTTTTGTTCAGTGACTAGTAAGTGCAAAATGTAAATTTCTGACAAAAAGCATTTTCCTTAGTTATTTGATACTAAGTAATTAAAAGAATTTAAACTGCCTTCATAACCAATTCTTATATTAGTAGTTAGCATATTTTAGAATGTCCATGTTCAAAAGTTAACAGGAACAGTGGAGTACTTTGATGAGTACACTGAATGCACTGCTTTTATAGGATTCCCTTCAGTATGAGTCTGCAAGTATATGTTTACTGAAAAGTGAAAAGTTCATTAGGATTTTATGGCTTCCCTCTATGATGAAAAGGGGGATGCAGTTATACAAAAAAGTGGATACAAAAAAGAAAATGTTTGACTTGACTAGAATAAGCTACTGTGGAGAGTAATGGAAGGCTTTTAAAAATCAATTTGTTGAAACATTTCTATTACCTCTCCTTTGTCTAAGTGATGCAAAACTTTAAAAATAAATAAAATATTCTCCACTCTTAGTCTGGAATATGTTATTTACAACCTCAGGCGAATTAGCATCATCTTAATAGTTCTTAGGGAACAGCTTGTTACTATTATACAAAAAGCAGTCAAATGAACTTTGTTTTTTGTGAGGTTTTTTTTGTGTGTGTTTTTTCATTATTCAGGTTGACTATAGACAGAAGGCTGCTGCAGCAGGTAGAATTCCCACAAACTATCTTAGAAGAGAGATTGGATCTTCTGATAAAGAAATACTTACAAGTAGGGTAATAGGTAAGATAAAAAAAAATAATAGAGGCATTAACCCTCTCTTGTTATGCCTGTTTTAGCATCTCTTTCATCTGTGCTATATAATATCTCTTAAGTTTTCTTTCATTGCATTCCTTGGACCCAGTATACTGCCTGGTACAAAATAGGCATTCAATAAGTATTTGTTGACTAAATGAATGAGTTCTATTGAGTATATATGTTCCATGGCTCATGCCTCAATTCTGTTGAATCTATCTGTAGTAATTTTCATTTTTATGCTTAACATAGTAATTCTTAAAAACGTTATATTCATTAACTACTGAAAATGTCTGTAATCTTTCAAATCTTTGGCATCCTTTCCTGAAGCTTTTATAGAATTTTATTAAGATTATCAGTCTTGGGATTGAAGAAGCTTAATGATCCCCAAACAGAATAAACGTCAAAACCACATAAAACCAATCACTGTTTTGTTTAAGAATAGATACATATATGGTACATACAACAAAGAAAAGCAAAGGCAAAATTAAACAAAATTCAGGATAGTGGTTACTTTTATGGAGAATGATGAGAGGATGAAATCATAGAAAGGACTCACAGGCTTCAAATGTATTAGTAAGTACTTTTTTTCAAGTGCCATAAAGAGTACATAAGCTTTAATTATTATTCTTTAAGTTGCATATATACAAATAATATTTTTCCATGTATAACAAATTATAATAAAAAATAGAAAATTAATAAAGTTACCCTTCTTTCCTATAACACAAGCCAAAATCTTGGGATTCATCCTTGACCACATCTTCAATCAAATCCAGTTCATTATTTCTCAGTCTTTCTAATCTCCCACTTCCATTGCCAACCCTCCTTTAACTCACCTGGATCACTGAAATCTTTGACATCTTTAAATATTGTGGATTGCTTGTATTTTATAGTTCTCCTACCCAGAAATTGCTAGTTTCTGTATATTTTTATGCATTCAATAGACAGAATACTAAGGCGGGATTTTCTTTTGGTCTATTGTTCATAAGTCTCTTTCCTCTGCTTATATTAGGAACTGATACCTAGTGAAATTAAAAGCTGCTCCCCAATTTTAGATTTGAGTATTCCTTCTTTGCTAATTTTTTGTTTTATGTATTAATTGAAGTACTGACATTTATCTTTGTCCTTTTCAGTAAATCAGTCCCAAGGGTTTTTTGTGGTGGTTTGGTTTGGTTTTTTTACATATTGAACAGCTAACTATATTCTTTTCTTAGCCTGATGTTTAATAGGGAAAACATTTTGAACTGTAAAGCTACTATTTAATATCTTTTCTCTCTTTATTGGCAGATCGTTCGATTAGACCTCTTTTTCCAGCCGGCTACTTTTATGACACACAGGTAGGGTGGCCTCCTTTAGGTTGTTTCCAGATCAACCTAAATTTATTTAATGAATTTCTAGAATACTTATTGACTACATATTATATAAATAATACAAAATAAGAATTTTTGGTGATGCTACCACATTTTACATTAAATTTTTTAAAAACATAGTTTTATAAAGCTACTATTTAGTCAGTATCTATTTGAGTTTTTAATAGGAGTTAGCCAACCCAGGAGTGTAGGGAAAGCATTCCAGGAAGATGGAATGGGAAACACACAAGCCCTGAGGCAAAAGAGAAATTGGTGAATTTTAAAGTTTAGAGTAATTGAGATTGGTGGGGCAGGTCAATTTGTGCCTTGTAGGTCATATTAGTAACAGAGGCTAGGACAATCAACATAACTAATTTTTATTAATTCTTTATTGTTTAAAGCATTTCATATAGTATTACATATATCTTTTTACCCCAATGACCTCTCCCCAGCCACCCCCACATAATTAATTTTATTACCTATTTTTATTACTGAGTCTTCTAAACCTCTATTCATTATATTTTAATACTTTCTGAATATTTTCTTTCAGAATGACTGAAATACTTTAACTACAGTTTTTTATTTATTTGATAAAAATAAATATGCCTTGTAAATATGCTTTTACAAGGATGTAATTGCCTCAAGAAATTATTTTCTTAAGTATAAGACGTAGGTATATTATTGTTGAGTGAAATAATTCATTGGGTTTTTTTGTCAGTGCTTGTAAACATTGTAATAGAAATAACTAACATTTGTTGAATACTTTACACACAATATTTCCATTAATTTTCATAAAAACCTTTTAGGAAGATACTATTATTTTTCCTTTTAAAGATGAGGAAATTTTAAAGTTTAAGTAAATTGCCCATGGTCAAGCATGTAGTTAGTGATAATAGAATTAAGGGTTTGACTACAAAGCCCATGCTTTTAATCATTTAGTGCTCCTATGTTTTAGGCCAAGATGTTAACTGAAATGATAATCCTCCGAAATCAAGTATATTTTGTTAAGTGCTTTCAATTTTTTCTCTTGTACCAGGTTCTTTGTAATTTATTAGCAGTAGATGGTGTTAATGAACCTGATGTCCTAGCAATTAATGGTGGTAAGTATAAAAATAGAAACCAAAATTATCACTGTTGATTTTTTTTAAAAGCCATGAAATATTTTATTTCAGCTCTTATTTTTTTCCTTTTTTTTAAGCTTCTGCAGCCCTCTCATTATCCGATATTCCTTGGAATGGACCTATTGGTAAGTTAGGATTTGAAATAAGAAACATCTATGATTTTCCAGGAAAATACTAGTGAGCAAGGCCTAGATTTATTGGCTCCGATTTATTATCTATTATTATCTTGAATTAGGTGACATTCTAAAACTTCTTTCAGCTCTTTTGCCATTTTCATCCTTACCTTGGATTTTGTTTCTGATAGCACTCTTAGGGTGCTAGAGAGTTTGTATCCCTAGATACTGCTTAGTTGCCTCTTCTGTTTGAGGACTTTTCTTTTTGACTGGGAAATTGTCAGAGTACATACCCATTCAAGATAAAAACAAACATGTTTGTAATTTACAGCTCTTACAAGTTTTAATCAGGCAGTATAAAAATGATTCATGGAGTAATTATTGAGTGTCCTAAATTCCAGATACCGAGCTAAGTACTAAAGGCACAAAGGCAGAGTAGGCACCAGAAATTCAAAGACAAATGAGGCAATACTTGGAAAACAAATAATTCTTTATAATGTGAAGTCAAAGTGCTAAGAAAAGGATAGAGAACAGTGGGTTTAGTCTTCAAAGCTAAGGCTGTCAAGAGGCTTCTCAGAATAGTCAACTTTTAGACTGATTAGTAGGATCATATGGTAAGCATTTGCTTTGAAGAAAGTTAAAGTCTAGAACAGGAGAAGCATAATCACATAGGTGTGGAACAAATTGTATATTTGAGCAACTCAAGAGTGATTCAGTGAGGTAGGAAAGTAGGGTGGGGTGGGATGTTCTTTGGGCCTTAAATACCATGGTAGAAATAATGGACTTTATTATGTCACAGTTAAAGTCAGGGATTAAGACTATTACTGGACTAATGTCTTGAAAACTGATAGTTTTTGTTAAACAGCTGCCAATATTTTAATATATTTTAGGGGCAGTACGAATAGGAATAATTGATGGAGAATGTGTTGTTAACCCAACACGAAAAGAAATGTCTTCCAGTACTTTAAATTTAGTGGTTGCTGGAGCACCTAAAAGTCAAATTGGTAAGTAGTTTAAGTACGAAATTTCTTCTGGGTTTTACTTACGAGTAAGTAAAGATGCATTTAAACTCTTTTTTTGCATGTGGTTTTTGTTAGTCATAAGGATTTTTGTTTTGTTTTATGGCTGCCTTATTTGGTAGTGCTCTTGCCTCATCAGACAATAGCTAAAATTATAGAATGTTAAACAACTTTGAAATATATAAAAATTCTTAACAAGGTAATTTTAGTAATTATTTTTAAGTTGATAAGCCAGTTTATAAATTAAAATTCTAAATCTGATAAATTAGTTTAAATATGTTAATTTAATTTAATCATTCTAAGCCTGTTTTTATATCCTCTAAGAAAGTATGAACTATTTCTGATGTGAAAAACTAGTAATAAACAGGAGTGAGAGGCTCAGGGGAGAGATTAACTGGGAACTTATATGTATACTAGTAGCCCAGTGCACAAAATTCATGCACAGGGTGTTTGAGGATCCCTCAGCCTAGCCTGCACCCTCTCCAATCTGGGATCCGTCTAGCAATCCAGAACCACTGGCTCCTAAGTGATCACCTGCCTGCCTGCCTGATACCCCTAACTGCTCCCCTACTGGCCTGATGGCCCTAACTGCTCTCCCGCCTGGCCTAAACCCCCTAACTGCCTATGTGCTCTTCCTTCTCCGCATCTTCAGAGCCTGTACAATTTATGTCATGTCATGTTATTTGAAAAAGTTATATTGGCAATATATTCAATAGCAATCTTTTTTTTTTATCCCCCCTTCTTTAGTTATGTTGGAGGCCTCTGCAGAGAACATTTTACAGCAGGACTTTTGCCATGCTATCAAAGTGGGAGTAAAATATTCACAACAAATAATTCATGGCATCCAGCAGTTGGTAAAAGAAATTGGTATTACCAAGAGGACCCCTCAGAAGTTATTTACCCCTTCACCAGAGATTGTGACATACACTCATAAGTAAGACCATCTGTGTAAAAGAAACGGGGAAAACTCTGGCTGGGGTGGCTCAGTTGATTGGAGCATTATCCCATCCACCAAAAGGTTGAGGGTTCGATTCCCAGTCAGAGTGCATATGACAAGCAACCAATTAATGTTTTTTTTTTTCTCTCTCTCTCTCTCTCTAAAAACTAGTGAATATATCCTCAGGTGAGGATTTTTAAAAAAGAAACAAATTGACACCAGATTTAATTTCCTCTCCGAAAAATACTTCATATAGAAGCACTGTCTATGTATTTCTCAAGTAGCACCCTGCTAGTTTTGTTTGTTTGTTTGTTTTGTTAATCCTCACCTAAATATGTGTGTGTGTGTGTGTGTGTGTGTGTGTGTGTGTGTGTGTATTTTCCCCCCACTGATTTTTAGTGTAAGTGCGGGAGGGAGGGTGAAAGAGAGAAACATTGATGTGAGTGAGACACATCAATTGGTTGCCTTCCATACGTGCCTCAACCGGGGCTGGGATCAAATCTACAACCCAGTATGTACCCTTGACCAGGAAATAAGCCTGCATCCTTTTAGTGCTGGGCCATTTCTTTTTTTTTAATATATTTTATTGATTTTTTACAGAGAGGAAGAGAGAGGGATAGAGAGCTAGAAACATCGATGAGAGAGAAACGTCAACCAGCTGCCTCCTGCACATCCCCCACCAGGGATGTGCCCGCAACCAATGTACATGCCCTTGACCCAAATCAAATCTGGAACCTTTCAGTCCGCAGACCATCATTCTATCCTCTGAGCCAAACCGGTTTCGGCGGTGCTGGACCATTTCTAACCATTGAATGATACTGGTCAGGCAGCACCCTTCTGTTTTAAGAGTCTTTGCATAAATGTCAATCTAATGCTTTAAAAAGGATAAACCCACATACCCCTTCAGTAGCATAAGTATGAATTTTAAATGGAAGGGGAGTTTATTGGTCAAGATTCAAATCACATATCACTCCGGGTCAAGATAAAAGAGAATAAATACAGCGTAAGGTATTTGAGTAAGGGAACTATTGAAGTTCTCAAAAAGAAATCAGGCATAACCACACTGTTTGCCAGTGCTTAGAACAATGCCTGCACATAGGCAGGCACTCAGTAAATATGAATCCCCAGAAAAGTATTTCACTTACTTAAAATAAATTGAAAAAGTTAGTATTTTTATCAGTCAGATTAAAGAGTATATAAACAGGCCGAATGGAGAGAAGAGAAAAAAAGCAAGAGATTAAAAAAGAGTATAAAATATATATAATACCATGTGTGAGTGATTTCCCTGAGAGGTAAGGAGAAATTTGTACTCTGTATTGTGTTATAAGTAGCAAACAGATTATCAATATTAAAGAATAATAAATATGTTTTTAAATTCTTTATGCAATTTTTAAATATTTTAGCTCATTAAATATTTCAGTTTTGTAATAGACACTGCCTTGTGTTTCCAAATATTATGCTGATGTTTATCTTGTCTTAAAATAGACTTGCCATGGAAAGACTCTACGCAGTTTTTACAGATTATGAACATGATAAAGTAGGTATACATGGATTTTGTCTTAAGTAATTGTTCTGGGAATTCTTTTTGTCATAACTCACATAAATTGTAAATGAATGGCAGTCCTATTTTTATTAAAAAATGTCTAAACAGAAAGCTAAATAACAGTCTAGATATTTGCTTCTCCATTCTTCTTTTGTTCATTAATACAAGTTATAGGGACATGTGTAAGTATATTTGAATATATTCAGTATATTTGAGTATATTTATATATAGGTAATATTTCTTATAAATCAATAAAGAGTTCTAATCTTTTAAAGAATTCTACCATTAGAGAAATCTGAGTAGTTACATGCTAATTGTAAAATAATTTTAAAATAGAAATGTTGAACTTTGTTGAACCTTATCTTTCTTTTAGATTTCCAGAGATGAAGCAGTTAATAAGATAAGATTAGATACAGAGGAACAACTAAAAGGTATTCTTTTTTTTTTTTTAAGGTATTTAAAGGATAGTTAATTGATTTGATACTGTGAACTTACAAGAAATCCTGTCTTCCAAAAAAAGAAAACCTTTGTTTTGTTTTTCTTTCTTGTATAGAAAAATTTCCAGAGGCTGATCCATATGAAATAATAGAATCATTCAATGTTGTTGCAAAGGAGGTTTTTAGAAGTATTATTTTGAATGAATATAAAAGGTAAATATATCATTCATTTTTTTAAGGAATTGAAGCATGCATTGTCTCTTCAAGTTGCCTTGAAAATGGCAACTTTCTCAAAGCAAGGAGATATTTTTTAAATAAACTAGAGACAATTATCATATTTATTTATAACTAGAGGCCCGATGCACAAAGATTCGTGCAAGAATGGGCCTTCCTTCCCCTGGCTGCTGGCACCGCCTTCACTCGGGCCGGAGACACCTTTTCACTCAGGCCAGGAGCCACCTTTCTGCTTCCCCACACTATCCAGAGGCCCAGAGCAGCTGGGATAGTGCGGAACACCTGCATTCTCGCTGTGGCAGCGACAATGCAAGCATCTCTCCCCCTGCTACTTGACGCCCGTGTATGCAAATTAATCCGCCATTTTTGTTGGGCTAATTTGCATACTCCTGATTGGAGTATGCAAAGGTACTGTCAGTTAGCATGTTACTCTTTTATCAGTGTAGATTGGGTACCTGTTGAAGGTATGAATTTTGTGGATGTGTTTGACTATCTCTGTGAGCCTTGTGCATAGAACAGTGCTTTATAACCCTGATGCATGTAACAATTACCTGCAGAGCTTTTTAACAGTACAGGTGTATGGGTCACAACCCCCAAGGTTCTGATTCAGTGAAGTAAAGTTCTTAAAGTTCTAAAAGTGATTATGATATGCAGCTAGAGTTGAGATCTTCCTGATAGGGATAAAGTAATATATTATTTTTCTGTTTTCCAATGCTGCTTTATACACTTACTTCCTTTATTGCTATAGGTGTGATGGTCGGGATTTGACTTCACTCAGAAATATAAATTGTGAGGTGGATATGTTTAAAATTCTTCATGGATCAGCATTATTTCAAAGGGGACAAACACAGGTAATTATATGTAAAAAGCTATAATTATTTGCTAAATCAGGATTGCTTAATTAGATCTAATAGAAGTACATTATGTGGACACTAAGTTTTTTATCATATGGAATGTACTAATCAGGTTATCTGATTTTTTAAAATTTTCTTAAAAGCTTTTTTAGGTACACATAATTGAGTCACTCAGATTCCTTAGTGTATGGGATATTGTCTATTCAAGATCTTCAATTTGTTTTCTCCATTTAGTTTGTTATTTTAGCCTACTCTTTTCCCTTACATTAGCACCCATTCTCTTGTACTTAACATGTATGTGTATCTATTGTTTTGTGTATATTATGCTTTATACCTTTTATTAATCCCTAATTAAACTTTGCAAATCTAATGTGTATCATTATTTTCATTTGCGTTGGCCTAATTATGAGTGAGGCATTCTATAATAATAAAAGCATAATATGCAAATTGAACGTTCAAACAGCAGAATGACCTTCCAGATGACCACACTATGACATGTGCTGGTGCCAGGCCAGCCAAGGCAGGTGCAATGCGATTAGTTGGGGGCCCCACCATCACCCACAATTACCACGCAGAGGGAGGCCGAGGCCACTAGCTGGTGGGGCAATCAATCAGGGAGAAGGGGGTGCTCCGTCATCACCCCAAAGAGGGAGACCCAGGCCACCCTCTGCAGGGTGATCAATCGGGGGGGGGGGGGGCTCTCTGATCAATCGCCCAAAGAGGGAGGACCAGGCTACCCAGCCGACAGCGCTGCAAGAGGACACAAGGCGAGCTGAGGGAATTCACTCCCTCAAGCCCTCCCCCATCTCACCCCCAGTGCACAAATTTCATTCACATGGCCTCTAGTCTTTATATAATAGCCAGTCAATATGGTCACTGTATAAACCATACGCTGCGGGGCTGTACACCTGTAAGAGCACTATTTTCACATAGTGTCCCTGGAGCTGTGTGCAAAGAGGTAGCACTGGTTCAGATTTGCACTTTTGTGATTTATCTGCTCATAGTCTTTGGGCAATCTTTTTCAGTATGGTTAACTGTCTTTTTTCTGCTATTTTTTTAGTGATTTTTTTTTTTTTTTTTTTTTTTTTTTTTTTTTACAAAGAGGGATAGAGAGCTAAAAACATTGATGAGAGAGAAACATCAACCAGCTGCTTTCTGCACAACCCCTACTGGGGATGTGCCCGTAACCAATGGACATGCCCTTGTCCGGAATCGAACCTGGAACCTTTCAGTCCGAAGACTGATGCTCTATCCACTGAGCCAAACCGGTTTCGGCTAGTGATTTCTTAAGTGTTTCAAATGTTATTCCTTTCAGTAACCAGAATTTGTATGTACTATCTCTCACTTTCTAACTTTGTGGTAGCCTACTATATGTCTACTACTATATGTCTAAAATGAACCTGAAATCTTTAGTTTTGATGTAATTAATCCTTCCCTGTTCAACATTTCTGGTTTGTGTTTTTAAAATCATATTTAGGAAATCCTTCCTTACCCCAAAAGTCACAAAAACATGCACTTACTTTTTGATCTATTAACGTTATAGTTTTAGCTTTCAAATTTAGACCATTAACCTATTGTGGAGTTTTTTTCCTGCACATGGTACAAGGTGTGAATGAGCCAGTTTTACAACACTGTTTTTTAGTAATTCGTTTTTTCCCATTGATTTGCAATGTCACTTTATTTTCAAAGTTTACAAATACATTTTAAAATATATCCTCCTCCATTTTTCTGTGAGTTTCCTGGCACATTTTCAAATTATTTTAATTATTATACTCTTAGTATATCTTAATATATGAAAAGCAAATCCTTCTTGTTTATTCTCCCTTCCTTTGATTATTGTCTTAGGTATTGTGTTACTTTTGTATCTTCGTTTGAATTTTACTATTATATCATGTCCCCCAAAAAATTTGGGATTTAAATTTCACTGAATTTATGAATTCATTTGAGAAATGATATTTTTACAATTTATCTCACAGTCTTTACAATGAATATAATCTATACCTCACTTTTGATTCAGGTTTTTTTATGCCTCTTAATAAAGTTTTTTAAATAACTCCATTAGGATAATATATACACTTTTGCTAACCATGCTGACAATCTCTGCCTTTTAATTGGAATGTTTAGTCCATTAATGTTCAGTTTAAGTAGTGATGTGGTTGAACTTAGGTCTGTTTCATTATTAGTTTTGTTTGGCCCCTCTGGTTTTTTTTTCTGTTCTTTCTGACTTCTTTTTGGATTAATCAAGTATTTTTTTAGAATTTCATTTTAATTTGTCTATTTGCATTTTAACTATACCTCTGCATTTTTCAATGGTTACCATAGAGTTTACAATATACATCTTTAACTTTTCAGTCTTTCAAGAGTTAATTTTGCACTACTTCCCATAAAATGAGGAAGTTTGCAACCAGTTAGGTCTATTTATCCCTCCTTCCGTTCTTTATACTGTAGTTGGCTTATGAGCTACATCTACATATGTTATAAACTTCACAAGGCTGTTTTAACTTCTATTTCAATCCTATGTATATTAAGGAAAAGGGAAAGATTTTTTTTTTACATATATTGACTCACATATTTACCATTTCTACTGCTTTTTCTTTCTGAAGATCCATGTTTCTAACTAGTCCTCCTCTAGTATTGTCCTGTGGATTTTCTGCATTTAAACACAAAGAATATTTTTGCTGGATATCGATATTGTGTTTTGGGGAGGGTTGTTTGTTTTACACATACAAATGTTCTAGTGGGGTTTTCCCCTCCATTTTCAGCTTATAAAAAGTCGGGACTTAATCAGATCATTGTTCATATTTATCCTACTAACAGTTTCCTGAGCTGAACCTATACATTTGTCTTTCATTTAACTTGAGAAATTTCCGCCATAATTTCTTCAAATTTTTTTGGTATCTCACTGTCTTTTCTATCCTTTTAGGGTTGAGGTACATCTGTTAATCCTTTTGAAATTGTCCCCGGGTCCCTGAGACTATGTTCTCCCCCATGCCTTCTGTCCTTTAGACTGGGCAATTTCTGTTCATCTGTTTTCTTGTTCACTGACTCTTGTATATTTTTCAGTTCTAGAATTTCCATTTGGATTCTTTTCTTTTTTTTATGTCCTTGAATATAATAGCTATTGAAAGTCCTTGTCTGTTAATTTAACATCTGAATTAGCTCAGGATCAATCTTTATTCATTGTCTTTTTCTCTTGAGGATGGAACCCATTTCCTGTTGTTTTTTTGTAGGTTGTATCCTGAATGTTTTGAATGATATATTGTACAATCTCTGGATTATGTTAAGTCCCTTCAAAGAAGATTAATTTTTTTAAATGCAGTTTTATTGACTGGATCTTTATTGAGGCTTTCTTTATGGTCAGGTTTTATGAATATTCCTTCCTCCTCCCCTAACATTTCTAGTACAGTGCTTTACATATGTAGTCTATGTGATATTAGACTTTTGTGTTTTTGATGATTATTGTATTAAGTACCATGTATAGGTTTGTATAGATTATACTTATCCCGTTTCTTTAAAAACTAATTGGGTTTTTCAGATATTTCTCATTTTCATCTTTTCTGTTAGTCAACGAAAGCCTGACAAATTTTGTTTCTTCTTTAGGTGTTTTGTACTGTCACATTTGATTCATTAGAATCCAGTATTAAGTCGGACCGAATTATGACAGCTATGAAGTAAGCTATGTTTTTTGGTTATGATGTTCCCTTGTATAATTGAAGCTCATGTGGTATATTATTATTCATTTTATTTTTTTAAGACCTGTACCTCTATACTTCTTTTTTCTATTTGCATAATTGTAATTTTAAGGTACTTTTTATATTGTCTTTTAACTCATTGGTCAACACAAATATTGGTAAAGAATTTAATTCTTTAGTATGGGTAAGTTTAGTTTATTCTCTTTCTCTAGAACCATTCCTCAGGACAGATTTCAGAGTTAATCTTGAATGGATAGATTTTTCTATTACGAAAAAGAGAGCAAATAAAAAAGCAGGAATCCTGTTGCTGAAATTATTCTAATGACTGTTACTAAATAATAAAACCATGTCTAATCCCAAGGCACATTTGAATTTGTGTTCAGAAATACTTGGCTCTCTTCTATTCCTAAAACGTCAACAATAAAATCCTGTTGTCCAATTTCATGATAGAAATCTATATTACAATCCCCACTAGCATTACTGCATCAACGTCCTAGGACTCATGGCCACCATAGGCTCTTTCTTTTCTCCGTGCCTAGCAGAGTTGCTTCCCTTTTCCTGGTTAAGGGTCTTGAAAGACTACAGAACTGCCTGCCTCTTCCTATTGCCCCGCTGATGAGGATAACCCCTATATTCATGATAGCATCACTAATTGCTAATAAAATTGACAGTGGAACTGTCATCATGGAATGTTCATCATAATCATAATGCTTTGGAGGAGCTCTTATACTTTGTATTATAAATTCTCATCTGGGCCAAAACTTGATTGCCCTGCTCTTCTTCTTTTTTTGCCCTGCTCTTCTTCATAATGACTTCTTTTTAGGAGGCAACACAGCTTCAGACCCTGAAAAGATCTTTGCCTGTCAGATCTTCTGATTGCTCTCAGCTATATCATTTCAGTTACTGATCTTCAATTCACATGTTAACTGGGAGAAAGATCCTGAGACTTAACTAATGAGTTTATAACATTTATTATTCTCCCAATAATTAATACTTTAAAAAATAGTTTTAATATTCAATTCTGGATATTTAAATGCAAAATTGTCTTCCTAAATCTGCAGAATTCAGTCTTTAGCCCCAGAAAAAAATACTCTATCTGACATCCTTCTAATTCTCAATTTCAGACCATTCTCTAATATCCAATTGTGTATTTTTTAAATCCCCTTAAATCTCTCTTAATTGTTTATTGAACTAAATTTGTTTGTATCTGTATAAGAGTTTGAATATTTTGCTTTTTGTTTGTAGTGGAATAAAAGATAAAAATTTCATGCTGCACTATGAGGTAAGGTGAATTTTTTATTATTAAAATATTTTATGAAAAATGTTTAGGATACAGCAGAGTTGAAAGAATTTTACAATGAATATCTGTATACTCAATTTACATTTTACTGTGCTAGTTGTATCAGATACCTTTTAAGGTGGATTTGAGAACTTTTATTGCATACAGAATGGATTTAGGAAGTAGTATCTTTCCAATCAGCAACTTCTGCTCTGAGTCATACATTAAAGTATAAGAGACAATATTGTTTTAGTCAAGAAAGACTTGTACTTATTCACGTGTCAAACAACCATGGGGCTTTTTTCAAATACCTCAACTGGCAAATTACCTTCTCTCTTGTAGTTCATTTATATGTTCATATTTTTACTCAGTTGATTAGTAGTCAGAGAACTGAGATATTTAATATTAAAGCACTTTATATGAAATTATTACATATAATTGAGTTTATGATTGACTTAAAAGGGCAGCTCTGAAATGTGTAGCTCTAGCTGATAATAGGGAAAGAGGTAGGGGAAGGTGTAGGACAAAACTATGGGTTATGTTGTATCATCACATTTTTTTAAATAGTTTTATTGTAAAGTGAAATACAGGTAATGAAAACCATGTAAAACGAAATATAGCTTAATGAGTTTTTATAAGGTAGACACTCATGTAACCTACACCCAAATCAGAAAATACAATGTTACCATTCCAAATTTTTATCTTTATGGTTAATTTCCCAATTTTTTAAATGATCATAACTAATTCATACCCCTTAAGACAACATAATCCTATATAATAAAAGGGTAATATGCAAATTGACCAAATGGCAGAATGACAGGTCAGTGTGCTCCCACAGGGGGAGCCACTCAGCCAGAAGCCAGGCTGACAGCTGGTGAGAACAGTGGTGGTGGTGGGAGCCTCTCCCATCTCCTCGGCAGCTTTAAGGATGTCCGGAAGCCATGAGTCAGACATCCCCTAAGGGCTCCTGGACTGCAAAAGGGCGCAGGCCGGGCTGAGGGACTCTCCCACACGCCACCGAATGCATAAATGCTATGCACCAAGCCTCTAGTAATCAAATAAAAGTTTGCAACCTCTGTCAAAGGAAAACCCTTACTGGAGAAGATCTGTTTCCTCAGTGTAGATTTCTTTTTTTATCTGTGTTTTGTTTTATTTTGTCTCATTATAAAAATATATTTTGCCCTGACCATTGTGGCTCAGTTGGTTGGATTATTGTCCCATAGACCAAGGGGTCACATACCTGAGTTGCAGTCGGATTCCAGCTGGGCGAGTATGGGAGGGATGCAACTGATGTTTCTCTCACAGCGATGTTTCTTTTAAATTTTTTTTTTACTGCTTCACTTCGTTACTGCTATGTATGTGCTCCATGTGAGTGACATAGGTGCTTATGTAGGTGGGTTCCAATTTACAGCAAAAATCACATTACATCGCACCATAGGAAAGGATCTCTGACATAACCCAAGGATCTACTGTATATTTGTTATTGTTAATAATTTAAAAATTATATAAATTTATGGCATAAATCCCTATAACTATTCACTTCCCACTTGATTTCATATACACTAGAAATACCTACTTTTAGCAATATGGTATATATGTTGGATGTCCAGATATTTTATTTTATTTTTTTTTTAATATATTTTATTGACTTTTTACAGAAAGAAAGGGAGAGTGAGAGAGTTAGAAACATCAATGAGAGAGAAACATCAGCTGCCTACCTGGGATGTGCCTGCAACCAAGGTACATGTCCTTGACCGGAATCAAACCTGAGATCTTTAAGTCCACAGGCTGACATTCTATCCACTAAGCCAAACCAAGTAGGCGTGTCCAGATATTTTCTCTCTGTATGTTTATGTATCTATATGTGTGTATATATATATATATTTTTTTTTTTTTTAAACAAATTGGAATTCTACAGTTTTGCAACTTGTTTTATTATTTTGGTAATATATCTTGGATATCTTTCCATGTCAGTCATATATGTATGTGGGCTTGTTTTGTTTTTTAGTTTCCTCCTTATGCAACAAATGAAATTGGCAAAGTCACTGGTGTAAATAGAAGAGAACTTGGGCATGGTGAGTACAAATCTGTAAACTTATATGATATTCTTACAGAGACTTAGTACATTTTTTTGCTCATTATTTTTTATTCTAATTTAGGTGCTCTTGCTGAGAAAGCTCTGTATCCTGTTATTCCCAAAGATTTTCCTTTCACCATAAGAATCACATCTGAAGTCCTGGAGTCAAATGGTATGACATTGAAATATATTTTTCCTATTAAAAAAGATCAGATTTCCTGTTATATTCTTTTTTTTTTTTTTTTCCAATATATTTTTTTATTTATTTAGAGAGGGAGAGAGAGAAAGAAACATCAATGATGAGAGAAAATCCTTGACTGGCTGCCTCCTATACGCCCCAACGCCCCCTCCTGGAGATTGAGCTCAGAACCCAAGCATGTGCCCTTGACCAGAATTGAACCTGGGACTTTTCAGTCTGCAGGCTGATGACTGAGCCAAACCAGCAAGGGCACCCCTATTATATTCTTAACTTTCCAGAAGTAACGTTACATTGTTTATTACTACAGTACCCAAACCCATTGCAAAAGAAATATGTGTTGCCGAAAACTGGTTTGACTCAGGCCTGTGGACTGAAGGGTCCCAGGTTCGATTCCGGTCAAGGGCATGTACTTTGGTTGCGGGCACATCCCCAGTGGGGGAGGGGGAATACAAGAGGCAGCAATTGATGTTTCTAACTCTCTATCCCCCTCTCCTCCTCTCTTCCTCTCTATAAAAAAAAAATTCAATAAAATATATTTTTTTTAAAAAGAAATATGTGTTTAGTTAATCATAGACTTGACTACATCTGTTCTATCAAATTAGTTATTTTGAAAGCAATACAAAACAAATACCTCTCTTTCTTTATCTGTTACCTGAGGCCCGGTGCACGAAATTCGTGCACTGGGGGAGTAGGGGTCCCTCAGCCCAGTCTGCGCCCTCTTGCAGTCTGGGACCCCTTGCTCCTTATCACCCGCCTGCTTGCTGCTCCTTACAGCTGTTGAGGCGAGAGAGGCTCCCACCACCACAGCTGCACTTGCCAGCTTCTGGCTGAACAGCACTCCTCTGTGGGAGCACACTGACCACCAGGGTGAAGCTCCTGCATTGAGCATCTGCCCCCAGGTGGTCAATGCACATCATAGCAACCTGTCGTTCCACTGGTCAGTCTATTTGCATATTAGGTTTTTATTATCTTATGTAATAAAGGGCTAATAGGCAAACGACCAAATGGCAGAACAACTGAACAACTATGATGTGTACTGACACCAAGGGACTTGTGTGGAACATGCAAGATGATGGAGCAGGGGCACCAGACCAAGGCAGGGCACCGGTTGCTGCCATAGATGAGCCTCTGGTGGTTACTGAAAATTCTTTGCTCCTGCGGGCCGCGGTCCCGCTCAGCACTAAGGCACTTGCCCCCGCTTCTGGTGCCCAGTGCTGGTTTCAGTCGCTTGGCACCATCAGAGGGTGCGAGCAGCAGCTGTTGGTCTTGATTGCCCCTGAAGACTTCTTCACCTCCCCCTGCACCTGGGGGGCGATTGGGGCAGCAGCTGCCGCTCACAACTGCTGATGGCACCAGCCCCACTTGCACCCACTGCTGGCGCTGGCCTCAATCGCATTACCTCCATCGGGTGCAACTGGGAAAAGCGCTGTCAGCGTGTGGTAATGGCGGCAGTGGGAGCAGGGCTGCCTGCAGATGGGACTGGAGGCCCCAGCAGGAGAGGCCAGGCAGGGGGCATGGAGGATGGGCCAAGACCCGCCCCTTTGCCTACTGCAGCCTCGCTGCCCACAGTTCCTTTCAAAGTATACAAATTCATGCACTTGGCCCCTAGCATAGGATAAGAGATCCAGTTTGGGTTGTTTGTTTACTTTCACGAACCACAGAGCAAGGGCCAAAACTGAGTCATCCATTAAGCAGTGGGCATAGCCACATAGCCACATGATAGCCACAGAGAGAGGCTAAATTTAAAAGTCAAATTTAAATTTTTAAAAAAAAATCAGTCCATAGGTTAAGGCAAGTCAAAGGCAGAAAGGGTACAGCATTTTCAAAGATGTAGCTGACATAGATCAGGAGGTCATAAGGTGTTTGTTTTTTAAGCAAAATAAAGCAAGTTCAGAATTTAAACTAGAGACTCTGTTCTTTACTGGGTGTGGTTAGGCTCCTGCGTATGGTCCAGTGAGAGAGCCAAAGCCCTGTATCTTTAACTACTTCTGAGTAAGCAACAAAAGTGGCTTGCTAGTGCTTCTGGGAGCATTCTTAGAATCAGAATCTCTAGCACTGCTCTCTTTGATGATAAAAATTTTCAATCTCTGCTCTCCATTGAGGGACTGAATTTACTTCAATTTAAATTTAGTATCCATATATAGCTAACAGTTACCATATATGCATCTCTATAGTTCATGATTTAAGAGAGCATGCCTTAAGTGCTTTTAAAAAGAAGGAAAGAATATTAAATTTAATATTATAGTTGAATGTTTATAAGGAAATAACCAATACCAATAATTTTGTGTATATATGTATTTTTTAAATTAGTATATTATAAAGCAAATATTTAACTTTCTTTTTGTAGGATCATCTTCTATGGCATCTGCATGTTGTGGAAGTTTAGCATTAATGGATGCAGGTAAAAGAATTATGTCTCAAAACTTCTAATGCTTTATTATACAATACTTGGTTAGTATAAAATATAAGATTTCTTTCAAGTTGAGTATTTATTAGTAAGACTTAGAGAAATCATATTACAAATTACCAACCAGGCCAGAAGCAAAGTAATCACAAAGTACAGCTTCAACTACAAATATCTGCTGGCATTCCTATTTTTTGGCTAAAAGCAATACACTCAAATTGTTTACTTGCCCTTGGTGGCCCAGTAAGCTTTCTCACCTTCCAAAAGGTCTGAGAGCACCACCTTTCACTAAAGTTGATTCCATTCACTAAAGAAGTTTGGATTAGCAAGAAGTAGTAGGACTGATAAGAGAAAATAACCATGTAATCGTCCAGCCATTTTGTGTACATTATGAGAAGAACAATGCCACTCATAGTGTGTATACATAATTTTAGGAAGGAAGACTATAAGTGGTTAAATATAATCTTTGAGTTTGAAACACGAAAAGGGAAAGAGTCAAAAAGTTGAGTCTTGCCAAAACCGGTTTGACTCAGTGGATGGAGCGTAGGTCTGCGGACTTAAAGGTCCCAGGTTCGATTCCGGTCAAGGGCATGTACCTTGGTTGCGGGCACATCCCCAGTAGAGGGTGTGCAAGAGGCAGCTGGTCGATGTTTCTCTCTCATCGATGTTTCTAGCTCTCTATCCATTTCCTTTCCTCTCTGTAAAAAATCAATAAAATACATTTTTTTAAAAAAACAACTTAAGAGACTCTAATACCAATTATTGCCAAATAGTCACTAATAATGCTATTCAAGAAAGAAAAAACGAATCTAAAGTCACTCGAGGCCACACAAGGAGTTCCTCTATAAGTTTACACATTTACAGTACAAGTTTGAAAGATAGGACAACCTAACGAAGGACAATATAAAGAATGGTGTGAATATATAACATTATCTAGGAAGGTTAAAATTTAAGCCAAAGGGAAAAAAGCTAAAAGCAATTAAAGGTGCTTTTCTAGTGGTATTCAATGGAAGGGAAACAATTCTACTAGGTAACTAGTAGAATACTATTCCTATTTTCACCTTCATGCATTTATTCAATAAATCTTTACTGAATGCCACCTCTGTACCAAGCACTGATCTTAGTAGGACACAAAACAAAGTCCCTGTCCTTGTGGAGTTTGCATTCTTCAGTCTTCTCATCTCAGACTGGAGAAAACAGAACAAATTCTGTAAAAGGTGAACTGAAAGGAGATCCTAAGAGTTTTCAACTATTTTAAATTAATTCTGATCTTTTGATTTAGACAAAAATCCATCCTAACTATGATCAGTACTTCAGATGAGATAACAGAAGTGTTTGAGAAATCACAGAGTCTAGTTAGTATACCAAGGACACAAAAGGTTCTTACTTCTGAAAACTAAGAAAGGTATCTTCTATAAAGTATAACTCTGAACCTGAAAGTGACCTTCAGCAAGACCCTTATGTACACTATAAAAAGAATGCTTTATAAGGATTTTGTAAGGGAAGGGCTGTGGAGAGAAGGAACCAGAGTCAAAATAAGTCATGCCATAGTAAACTAATTTTTTGTTTTCAAAAATATTACTAGATTTGAAGTGAGGAGGGAGGGACTGCTTATATAGTATATCTAGAGTTCGGCCTTTAGGATCTTTGTATGAATAATGCAGAAATTGACTGGATTCTAGGTGCACATTTCCTAACTGGTTGAAGGATCAGCAAAGAGGACTTGACCTGATGGGTCAAAGAGTCTCAAGTGTAATACTTCAGGATGTGTCACCCTAAACCTTGTCTTTTTCACTGTCTTTGTTCGTGAGTTGACTGACCACAGGCCTACCAATAAAAAGGATACTGATAGAAACCAATGAATGCATAAGTAAATGGAACAATAAAATGATGTCTATTGTCTCTTCTTCCCTCCTCCCCCTCTTTAAAATCAATCAACAAATAAAAGAGTTAAGGTTACTATTATTAGAGAGAGCTTTGTGCTAAAAACAGTTATTACTTGCTAGAATTGTTTTTAAAAGGCTTTTATTATATGTTTAAGAAAAATGAGATAGTTAGATGACTTACTAAGATCTTTCCATCCAGTGTGGCTCAGTTGGTTGAAAGATTGCTGGTTTGATTCCCGGTCAGGGCACATGCCAAGTTTCAGGCTCAATCTCTGGTAGGGGGCATTCAGGAGGCAGCCAATCATGTTTCACTCTCACATCAATGTTTCTCTGTCTCTTCTTCCCTCCTTCCCTCCCTCTCTCAAAAATCAATTTTAAAATCTTTAAAAAAAAAAAAAAAAAAAAAAAAAAAGGAATGGGGATGAGAGGGAGGACGAAGATCTATAACCAGAACCCAGAAGGAGTCAAATACCAAAGGACACAGCCAGAAAGGGTGACATCACAAGGAGGGAAATTTTTTTTAAAAAGACCTTTCCAAATTAGTTTCAGTGATTGTCAATTTAGAATACCATTCACTTACATTAAAATAAATGTCAACAGAATGATAAATGTATGTGTTACGCTGTATACATTACACAGAAGTTCTTTCTCTCAATTATAGGGGTTCCTATTTCATCTGCTGTCGCGGGTGTGGCAGTAGGATTGGTCACCAAAAACAATACTGATAAGGATGAAATAGAAGATTATCGTTTGCTAACAGATATTCTGGCAAGTATATTCACATTTTCTAATGCTTAAAGGTAAAGATTATACATAATTTACAAGCATCTTATGCTTAAAAGAATGCTAGGACTCAAATAATAAGAAGTCCTTGTTCTTGCTTTCCTCCACTATATTTTCTCCTTGTTTTTTATAGGAACTTAAAAGTCACAAATTAGAAGTAGTTAAAGTATGTCTGTGTCATCTTAGAGGACACAGTTTATTATATCTAAAGCTATTTTTCAGAATTTCTCCACAATGACAATGAGTGAATTTTGTTTGTATTTAAAACTATATCATATTTTCTTAAATTCCTTAAGGGAATTGAAGATTACAATGGTGACATGGATTTCAAAATGGCCGGCACTAATAAGGGAATAACTGCATTACAGGTATTTTTAAACCAAACTTGTTTCATTTTTATGATATTTAATAATATCATAAATAAGTATTTATATAATATTTGGCTTTTCCTTATTAGGCTGATATTAAATTACCTGGAATACCATTAAAAATTGTAATGGAGGCCATTCAACAAGCCTCAGGTAAGCTAAGCCAGTGTGCCTCATTCTCTTTCCATCATTATCTACTTTGTTAATGGAACTATAATTCCCAGTAGGCATATTATAAAAAAAACTAGAGGCCTGGTGCACAGAATTTGTGCACAGGTAGCGTCTCTAGGCCTAATCGGCAATCAGGGCCAATATTTACTAGCCAGGCCTTCCTTCCCCAGCTGCCAGCTGCAGGCTGAGGCCTTCCTTTACTCTGCACTTCCCCCTGGTGGTCAACACATGTCATAGCAAGTAGTCTCTAGGTCAAACTCCTGCAGGGACACTTTGCAATTAGCCTTTTGTATTTATAGATAAGCTTTGCTTTAGAAAATGAAATTTCACATAATACCCTCGATCAAGAAGTATTAAATTACTAGACACACAACCAAAATGGAAGGCCACTAAAAATTCCAATTTTTCAAATTAAGTAATTTTCTAAGATAATACTAGAGAAGAAAATATGAGTAAAATTGTCAAGGTAACAAATGTGAAGAGCTTTTATTATTAAGCTAAAAAATTTGAAGTTTATGCCATGAAAACTAAGATGATTGCTGCTATAATTTATCATATTTAGTTTACATAGTTATTATTTTTATTGTTTTTAATCTCTTCTAGTGGCAAAGAAGGAGATACTACAGATTATGAACAAAGTTATTTCAAAGCCTCGGGCATCTAGAAAAGAAAATGGACCTGTTATAGGTAATAAAATTATTACTGATTTCATGATAAGATAAATATTAATATTTGAAAGTATATTATTATTTTTCAATATTTGTAACTCCATTCACAAAACAAATCTATTTTTAAAGTTTTGTGATTTAAATTTGGAGGAATATTGATATTAGAACTTACAGTAATTTTAGTCACTAGCAAATTGTTTTCTATTTCATGCTGAAATATTTTTACACATGTAAAAATATCTAGGACAAAAAACTCCTAAGTGATTAGAAAATATTTTAGATTCATATATGTATTTATTTATATTTTTATCTATACTACATTTCAGAAACTGTTCAGGTTCCATTATCAAAACGAGCAATATTTGTTGGACCAGGTGGATATAATTTAAAAAAACTTCAGGCTGAAACAGGTAAGTGTTATATGAAGTTTGGGTTTTTTTAATGCTAGGTCATAAGTTTGTAACTTCATTTCTATTGTTTGCTCCAAAAATATATGTTTGGTAAAGGAGAGGAAAACCAAAAGAAAAGGATACAACATAGATATAGCTTTACTGTAAGTTTTCTGTATGCCTGTTAATAAATTAGCAAATGATTATCCTTAACTGTATTCAAGAAGGATGACCTAGAATTCCTAGTCTTTTTTGCAACAATTTAAAATCAAGCATTTAGAAAAATTTTTAGTTTTTCACTTTAGAGTTCTGCTTTCATTTTCTTTTACAATTACTCCCGCCATTTTTCACATAGTGTTCCTCTTATTTTTAAAGAGTAAGTATAGGAATAGTAAGCCTTAATTTTTTTTTTTTTTTTTTTTCTGAAAGCAAGCTTTGGGTTACCTAGTACTTACCAGCTTTGAGATTATTGAAGGAGAGTGAGGAGAGTCACCTTAGCCAGTTAAGATTGAGAAACTGACATGATTTCGTCCCTTATCCACTGTTCACCACTCTAAAGGATAAAAGGGAGAGAGAAGAAAAGTAGAAGAAAGAATTCTACTGTCGTGTTTATTAATAATTAAGAGAGCAAAACTAAACTCTCCAAAATTAGAACTTGCATACTTTATCCCATCAGATTATCGGCTGCAAGAAAGGGGGGGTTTATTGGCTAGCACAATCTGGATACATTCCAGGGGTGCAGGGTGTATTTGTTGGTGAATAAACCTCTTCATTCCTAAAGCATTGATTAAACATAGCACCATCCTGCCAACTACTTACAGGTCATTTCCTCCACTCACATTGACTTTTCATACTAATCTCCGCTGGAATGAGCAAGTTAACCTTACTATGCAAACTATCTTTTTAAAAGGTGTAACCATTAGTCAGGTAGATGAAGAAACATTTTCTATATTTGCACCAATACCCAGTGCTATGCATGAAGCAAGAGATTACATTATGGAAATCTGCAAAGATGATGTAAGTATAGATCTTATAACATTTATTTTTTTCTACTTTTTGTTGCTGTTTGCATAATGAATCTTACGGCTTATTTTGCACTTACAGCAAGAGCAGCAATTAGAATTTGGAGCAGTATATACCGCAACAATAACTGAAATCAGGTAATATCAATATGCTTTGCTGGTTTGTTTTTTTTTAATAAGATTTATATTATAAGCTTCATATATGTTTGCTTTATTTACTTTGGACTTATGTTTAGACTATATGTCAGTTAACATATAATCATTAATTATTTTAAGGAATAAATTTATTTGCTACAACAGTTTGTAGATTTTCAGTAATATGGTTCTGTAATTATTATACAAATTATAATAGATTCTTCTAATTCAATAGTTTAACCAAATTTCCCATCTTTTTAATTTTCTCAATAGATAATTAAACAGACTTAGCAATATTTCCTTTTTCTTTCCTTTTGCTTTTTCTTTCTTTGATATTTTTTTGTTGGTCTGTTTTAAAGATACATACTATTTATTGCCTTTGTAGTTCCTTTTATTTTTACCAGATAAAAAGATTGATTTTTAAGGATCAGAAAATCCTTTTCTACAAAAAAAAAATAAATTATCAGATGTAGCATGAATGTTCAAAGCAATTTGAAATGAATAATAAAAGGCAATGAGATCATCTTACCTAATAGAGAAACATGTAAATTGACCATACCTCCACTACACCCACAGCCAATCAGAGTGAGTATGCAAATTAACCCAACAAAGATGGCAGTTAATTTGCATACATACCTGGTTCCCAGGAGCCTCCTTGGCACCCAGGTCACTCCCAGCCGGCCATTGGAGGGGTTAGGGGGTCCCCCTTCCCAAGCTCCCAAGCCTAAAGCTTGGGGTGGAGGCTTTAGGCTTGAGCAGGAGACAAGCCTGGAATCAGAGGGAAAGGGAGGGGGGGGGGGAGAACCAATAGAAATATACTCAGGTAAGGATAAAAAGAAAAATAAAGAATTGTCATATCCTATGAAAGACACATCTTGAAAATGCCTAAAGAAAGTTGTCATTTTTTCATGGTGAAGAGACTGGAGCCCATGTTGATAAAAATACCTTGACGAGCCAGAACCGGTTTGGCTCAGTAGTTAGAGCATCGGCCTGCGGACTGAAAGGTTCCAGGTTCGATTCCGGTCAAGGGCATGTATCTTGGTTATGGGCACCTCCCCAGTGAGGAGTGTATAGGAGGCAGCTAATCGATGTTTCTCTCTCATCACTGTTTCTAATTCTCTATCCCTCTCTCTTCCTCTCTGTGAAAAATCAATAAAATATATATAAAAAAAATAAAAATACCCTGGCGGCTGCAGCAGCAGGGAGCACTTTTCCCTGATCAGCCTGGTTGCCTCCCACCAAAGGAGGCCAGACTGTGGCTTAGATCCACTTCCAGTGGGGAGCGGGCCTAAGCCATCAGCAGATCATACCCTGAGAGCTCCCAGTATATGAGAAAGGGCAGACTGGACTAAGAGACACACACACCCCTCTCCCCCAGTGCATGAATTTTGTGCACCGTACCCCTAATGTAATATTAAAGGTGAGAACTAAGAAATGGAATGGCTGATTTTAGACTATAGAAAATAAGAAATTTTTAAATAAAACAAGTATACCAGTTATCTAATCTCCTTCTTAAATCACTATGTAATAAGATTATGGTAATTCTTAAAATATTTAATGTCATTTCAAAATTTTTTGAAAAATATTAAGAGAAATACAGAAAAAGTATTCTTAAAGGCTTTTGACTGCATGTTTTTCTGTCTTCTGTCCTTTGATACATAGTATTTAAATATTTAAATAGGGTATATTTTTAATAAAAAAGTAAGTATTCCTTTTGGACAATCATACTTTATAGTTAGAAAAACATTACTGATTCATTGTTTTACACCTTAAGCTTATACAATGTTATGTGTCAGTTATATCTCAATAAAACTTGAGGGGGGGAAAAAGAAAAGCATGTATTGGAAGGATTTTTGGTTTTTTACTTTCTTGTATGAAAACATAACAACAGTTTGATTACCAATGGATACATAGATACTTAATGTTTTAACCAGGCCTATTTCCTTTTTTGTAGAGACACTGGAGTAATGGTTAAACTATATCCAAATATGACTGCAGTACTACTTCATAACTCACAACTTGATCAACGAAAGGTAAAAAAAAAAAAAAAAGACATATGATTTTTTCAAACTGCCTTAAAATAATCATAGTGAAATTTACTGACCTAGTGCGAACTCTACACTCTGTCTACTACAGGCCTAATATAGAAAACCAAAACTGATAGAAATGCTGCTGACAAAAGGTTTTACATTATTTATCACAGGTATTTGTTTCTCCTTCCATGAAGGAATAGAAACAGATCTTAAAAATTTTGGGGTGAAATACCATCTAGAGTTGACACAAAGCAATTACTTAAAATAGCAATAACCCTGTTTTCTCAATTTTCTTGACCAACCAATCATGGCAAGATAATTCTTAAGATGTTTTTACATTTATTTAATCTATGTTATAGTTCATAAGCAAAACTTGAAAATACTCAAGAAAACGATGGGTTGGAGGGCAGAGGAATAATAGGAGTATCTATTTTTATCATATATTAAATCATAAAGCTATAGAGAACAAAACAATGTATTACTGGCCCAGAAATAGATGATTCATAAAACAGAAATATACCCAGTTATAGACACGGGACTACATAATACAATATTTACATTGTATTTTCAGTTAAGGAAGAATCAAAGATTATTCAATAAATCATGTTGGTACAGCTGGCTATCATAATGCAGGATCTCTACTCTTTTATACCAAAATCCCATCTATAATAGATAAAGGAGCCAAATGTAAAAAAAAAAAAAAAAAAAATTAAGGTGGTGCCAGAACAGTTTTGGTTCAGTAGATAGAGCGTCGATCTACGGACTGAAGGGTCCCAAGTTTGATTCCAGTCTAGGGCATGTACCTTGGTTGCGGGTAGTAACATCCCCAGTATAGGGTGTGCAGGAGGCAGCTGGTTGATGTTTCTCTCTCATCGATGTTTCTAACTCCCTGTCACTCTCCCTTCCTCTCTGTAAGAAATCAATAAAATATTAAAAAAAAAAAAAAAAAATTAAGGTGGTGGAAGAAGAAAAATAAAATTGGGGCATGGAATGCTGTTGAGAGAGGACTAGAATATTTTAATCTTCCTACTGGGTAAATATTTCTCAGCACTATATCAAAGCCAAAATGTAAATAAAGTAATAATATTGTATTTCATTATATGGCAAAATTACAATAACATTGAAAGACAAGCAACAACTTAAAGAAAAAATGCTGCCGAAACCAGTTTGGCTCAGTGGATAGAGCATCGGACTGTGGACTGAAGGGTCCCAGGTTCGATTCCAGTCAAGGGCATGTACCTTGATTGTGGGCATATCCCAGTGAGGGGTATGCAGGAGGCAGCTGATTGATGTTTCTCTCATCGATGTTTCTAACTTTCTATTCTTCTCCCTTCCTCTCTATGAAAAATCAATAAAATATATTTTAATAAAAAGAAAAAAATGCTTGTAACATATGATAAATATTTCATATATTTAGATCTTATATAGATTAGTAAGATGAATATTCATAGGAGAAGGAGCAAATATGACAGACCAATTATTTTTTAATGCCAACCAAGATATTCAGTACCTACAGTATTTTTTAATGCAAATAAAGTTATCATTTTTCAACTTTATGATAGTTAAAATTCCCAATATAGATAAGAATGTGGAAAAGAAATAGGCATTCTCCTACAGTGCTGATAGGAATATAAATTGGAGCCAACTTTTTGGAAAGTATTTGGTAAATATATATGAATACCTTTGGACCTAAGAGTTCTACATAGGTCTTTTTCTAAGAGGATAATTAAGAGTAGATGAATACATAAGCATTCCAACACTGCAGTTAATTTTTTGTTAACTTTTTATTTTGGAAAATACACTGAAACCCATATAGCTTTCACCTATATTCACCAATTAGCATTTGCAGCACTGGAATTTTAAAACAAAAGTAAATGACAATATATAGGGAATCGTTTATACAAATTATATCATTTTAGTACTCAACTGTAATGTTTCATTTATTGCTATGAAAAGACGTCAGCACATTGAATGAAACAAGCTCAGAACGGTCCATTTTAATAAATGTAATACAAACACTAAATAGGGAAACATTTGAAGAGATATTCATTGGAGTGTTAGCAATAATTTATATAGAAGTGTTTTAGATGTTTTTTACTATCATCTGAATATTTATGTATTATTTTAAATCTTTATAATTATGATTTTATAATCAGAAAAACCACTAAAACTATTTTCGACTTAGGGAAAAATGTGTACTACCATAGATATTAAGTAATTATAAAATGACAACTAATAGTTTAACATGTTCTCTTTCAGATTCAGCATCCCACTGCCTTAGGATTAGAAGTTGGCCAAGAAATTCAGGTACTTATATTCACCCCTTTAGCCTAGAATTGTAAATTGTATTTGAAGTTTCAAAAAGTAAGCTGAAAGAATCAAATCTACATTTGTTGTTTCACTTATCTGTGCATGCAATATGTGCTCTGACTGGAGATAGAACCCACAACCGTGGTGTTTAAGGAAGGAAGCTCTAACCAGGGCATGCGTCTTTTTTAACCGCAGGGTTGCTTAAATAGACTCATTAAGGATTTAAGACAATTTGTTGCCTCAAGAAGTTTATAGTTTACAGTTTAGTTAGAAGAGTCCCATTTAGAGCTTTTAAAATTACATGATCAGGTCAGAGATGGCTATGCAGTTAGTGACTTAGTGACAGGACATGAGAACCCTGATAACTCTGTTGAGGGTCTTGAATGTCATATTTAAAAAGCTGGGACTCTTAAATTCTTCTACACTGCTTGAGGCTATAAGTTTTTTAGTTAGATAAAAGCCATATTGTTTAGCTCCAGAACTGATAACAAAATTGGTTTTAATAGTCCTTTTGGATTGATGAAAGAACTTATTGCCAGCCCGAGTCTCTTGGGCCACACCACCTTTCATTCCAGTTATACCTAATACCCATGATCTGAGTAACTATGGCTTCTAATTTATTCCCAGTCTACAAGCCCATTATTCAAGTAGCCTCTAGGGAAAAGTGAGAACTAAGACATAATATCTCTATATAAGACTTTTTTTTTTTTTTAATCATAAGGGATTTTTAAATACTCCCACAGTTCCCCCTGACTTTCATTGAGTAAGGTCAAGCCAAATAATCTCCAGTGATAGTCCTTTGAGCAGTAGTCTGAGTGACCTAGTGTAATCCTGTATAGCGTATAGCACAATTAGGCTCAAAAGCCCTTGTAGAATCATTTATCATACTTTCACTTGATTTCTGGTGTAGGGACCTGTCCTGGAGAGAATAAGAAGGCACAAATGAATCTAACAGAAGATTATAATTAGGCAAATAATACCCTCTCTTTTCCTTTGTTATAATCACTACTTAATCAAATTATATTTATTAGCATATACCCTCACTTAGCCCTGAGCTATCGTTTCAGTAAACAAGGAAAATCATTAAAAGTAAATTTGTTTCTTTAACACAGGTCAAATATTTTGGACGTGATCCAGCTGATGGAAGAATGAGGCTTTCTCGCAAAGTGCTGCAGTCTCCAGCTACAACTGTTGTTAAAACTCTACATGACAAAAGCAGTATTGTAATGGAAGAACCTGTTTCACAGTCATCTTCTAATTCTTCCTCATGATATGTTTTTTATAGAGAATTCTAGAGTAATAATCTATAGAGCAAAATTTCAATAGTATCTCCTAATGTATAGATTTATATATACTATAAATATATTCTAATGATTTATATTAAATTGTTCATTTACATGTGCCATTTTTTACTTCAAGTGTTACCTAGTGCCCTGGCCAGTTTGGTTCAGTGGATAGAGCATCAGCCTGTGGACTGAAGGGTCCCAGGTTCAATTCCAGTCAAGAACACATGCTTGGGTTGTCACCCAATGGGGAGTGTGCAGGAGGCAGCCAATGAGTGAGAGAGTGATACTATCTCTCTCTCACTCTCCCTCTCCCTTCCTCTCTAAAATCAATAAAAAATACATTTTTTTAAAAAAAGTTACCTAGCCCTGTTCAGATGGCTCAGTTGCTTGAAGTGTCCTCCCATACACCAAAAAGTAGCAGGTTCAGTTCCAGTCAAAGCGAAAACTCAGGTTGCTTGTTCGATCCCCAGTCAGGGCATAAGCAGGAGCAACCCATGTTTCTTTCTCTCCCCCTTCCTCTTTCTAGAAATAATTTTTTTTTAAGTAAACCATTCATACATATCTATATATATATATAAAACTCTAATATGCAAATAGACTAAATGGTAGAACTGAACAATAGGTCGCTATGGCGTGTGCTGAGCACCTGGGAGTATGCATGGAACATGGTGGGCATTGACAACAGGCCACAGAGCACAGAATGTGATGATGGAGCAGGTAAGCAGGGGTCCCAGACCAAGGCAGGGCTATATAGTTGCTGTCATCAAGGCGAGCCTCTGGTGGTTACTGAAATTCTTAGCTCCTGCATGCCACAGTCCTGCCTGGTGCTCATACCTGCTGTGGCCCTGGCCCTGGCCCCACTCACACCTGTTGCTGGTGCCAGCCCCAACTTCTCCACGCTGTCAGCAAATGTGAGTGGGGCCTGTGCCATCAGTGTGTGGAAGTGGTGGCACTGGGAGCGGGGATTCTGGCAGACAGGAGACAAGGAGGAACAATTGGAGAGGCTTGGCAGGGGCTCAAAGGATGGGCCGAGAGCCCGCCCCTGTGCCCACCACAGCCTCAGGGTCCACAGTTCCTTTCAAGGTACACAAATTTGTGCACTGGTCCCCTAGTACCTTAGAAAAGATAACTAACCTTTACTTCCTATAATTCTCAAATATATGAAAAACTTATAAATAATAGGTTACATTTGGTACTATCATGGATCTCTTCCTATTTACTCTTGGTCATCTGGTGGCTCACCTCTTTGCCCACTTGACTTTCTTACAAATACTTTACAAACTAGAACTTACCATATTCAGAGCTCATACCTATTTCCTTAGTATAGTTAACAAATATAGTAAGGAGTTGAGGTAGTTACTTTGGAGTTGAGGTAATTACTTTGAGCTGTTTTTAATGATATACTGCCCTTCTAACTAGCTGCAAAACCATAAACATGGTGGAGTGAATATTATTAGTGGGAATCTAAAATGAGGCAGTACATTTTTCAAATTTAGAAAATATTTAGGAAATATAGAAAAAGCATTTACTCATCAAATAGAGGTATTATTTTAATTGTGTGTGCATGGATGTTCTTGATGTAAGGAATCATGATTTTTCAGTTAATGCTTGAAACAGATATAGAGGCTGTTTATATAATTACTAGAGGCCCGTTGCATGAAGAGATTCCTGCAATAGGTCTTCCTTCCCTTGGCTTCCAGCACTGGTTTTCCTCCAGCACCCAGTGCCGGCAGCCAAGGCCTATTGCATGAATCTTCTTGCAACAGGCCTCTAGTAAATATATAAACACTAGAGGCCCCATGCACGGATTCGTGCACCAGTGCGGTCCCTCAGCCTGGCCTGCGGGATTAGGCTGGAGCTGAAAGCAGCTCTCCAACATCCTCCAACTGGTCCAGGTTTGCAAGAGGGCACAGGCCAGGCCAAGGGACTCCACAGGTGCACAGTCAGAGGTAGAGAGGGACCACAGGAGGGCTCCAGGGCATGTCCAGCCTGTATTGTTCAGTCCCAATTGGCCAGACCCCAGCAGCAAGCATCTGCCCCTTAGTGGTCAGTACATGTCATAGTGACTGATCAACCAATCAACTGTCCCCCGGTGGTCAGTGCACATCATAGCAAGCAGTTGAGTGGCCTTAGCATATCATTAGCACATTATGCTTTGATTGGTTGAATGGACGACTAGACATTTAGCATATCAACTTTTTATTATATAAGAATATATGTAAATTATATAAATATATATTTATCCTTGGAGTAGAACTTTGATGACTGAAGAAAATAACCTTTGCAAGGAAAAACACATTGTTTCAGTGCAATATTGCCCTCAGACCCAAGTAACCACTGGTCCCTGTGTTTTAGAAGGATCTGTTCTGGCTCTCTGTCCATGCTTCTCCCCTGAGGGTGATTAAGTACATGGAACCAAAGGATGTGTCCACTTCAAAGGCCAAGCCTGCTTCCAAGGTCTACGCAGTCCTCTTCCCAAATCCTATCCTTAAGAGTGGCCAAGCGGGGGATTGACTATATTCAGGAAGTGTAGACAGAGCTTGGGCAAACAGCCGGGGTATCCTATGTGTGCAATTAAGGACTGTCAAACTGCAGGACAGGACTGAGATATGAGAAGAGAAGGATGGCAGACTAGACGGGCCCAGAGGGAGACTCTGGAACTTAAGGAAATCAAGAATTCTATATTTGACTCTGGCTTCCTGGTCATTATGAAAATAGATTTTCAAAGTATACCAAAGGTTGGAGAAAATATATTTCAACAGTTTGTTTGCTTGATTTAAAACTTACAAATATTTAGACTTATGATATATGGTCTTCCATTTGTATATTTGCCCTGGCCTTGCAAATGTCAATCTCTACAAATGTAAGATGGGCCTACTGCAGTAGGTGAGAGTGAATTCCTCTGACCTACTGCAGTACTTGTACTTGAGGATCTAGTAAGGGATAGATAAAAGGAGTTTAATCTGCTCCTTTATTTCTCAGTCACCAGATCTCAGGGGCTATACCAGAAAAGAAATTCTGAAGAGAAGATGGGAGAGTTGCTTTGAAACTTACTTCAAAACTCTCCAAGAGATTTTCAACTCATTCAAAGTAAAATCCAAAGCCCTGCAAAATATCCCCTGTCCCAATTCCAACCTTATTTTTCCCCATTTCTCCCCTTTTCTGCCCCACTTCAGTCACACTGGTTTCCTTGTTTCCTTGCATCCCACTCACTCATTCAACACGCAACAGCCACAAGGCCTTTGTACTTGATTCCAGGTTCCTAATATATATCTCCTCTCCCTAGGGAAAAGCTTGGCCCATTGCCTTCTTCAGAGGACTTACTGATTAAACACTTTACCCTTTCCAAATTCACTCTCTAACCTTTTTATTGCTCTATTTTTGGTCATACTGTTTATCAGTACCTGGCATATATTTGTTTGTCTTCTTACACTAGAATATAAGCTCCATGAAAAGAGGAGCTTTTTCTAGTTTATTCACTATATAGACCAATGCCCACTCTATAGCATATGCTCAACAAATATTTACTGAATGACTGAATAAATTCAGAAAATGATTCATATATTATTTCCCAATTTTGTCCAGAGGCTATTAACTTCTTTAACACATAAAGTGACTTTTGTATAGTTCTCATTCCTTTGACATATATAAGTTTATACAAGTTATTTTAGGCCAGTAACACATCATCCCCTCAGCCTTGAACACCTTTGCAAACTAAACTCCTACTCAGGCATCCTCTAACACCAGGCTCAAAGTTATCTAGGTAAAGCTTGCTCTGACCCAAGACAGAAATGTTTTTCTCGGAGTTCAAAATGCCTTTTTTCCCGGATCAATCATAGTAATTAGTGGGTTCCGAGGTCCTCTGTAAATTTTAAAAACCTATTAAATTTAAATATCCAGATTTTGATATTAGTAATTATTTTTTAATCAGGCGCCTGCTCTGTGTAAAACATTGTCTCTCGCTTTAAAGTCCCTCTGAAGGGTGTCCACACGGAGGAGCCAGTCAAAACAAAAGCACGTTTCGACAAGACCGTTAAGTAATGACTACAATTCCCAGAATGCCCTGCAGGGTCAACACGTGCAACTCGCCGGATTTTCACATTTCAAGCGAGTGGATTGTAGAGAACCAGCGGCAGAGCGAGGTGAAACTGACATAAAGAAGTAAAAGGATTCTACCAAGAACGAACGGGGATTAAAACAAACAACTGCGCAGTGCGCGTCTTTCCGCGACCAATGTTTGACAACCGACGTGAAAGCCCCGAGAACTCCTCCTCCGCTTATTCAGTGCACAAGACATCCCGATAGGTAGCCCAAGAAATGCCCACAAGAGAAACTTAAAAAAAAAAAAAAAAAAAAAAAAAAAAAAAAAAGTCAAAACCATGCTCTTGGGTGTTAGAAAGGGGGCTCTCAACCCGTTCCCTAAACCTCTCTTAAGGCTTATTTTCTGAGGTTACACCACAATAAGGGGGCTGTATCTTCATAAAACGGAAAGTATGCTTTCCAACGGCCAGCTACCAAAGCTAACGGCGAAACGCTTTGGCGGGAAATAGGAAATTGTCAACGCTTTCTCTTTTTTTTTTTTTTCGGTTCGTTATAATCGTCAAGGGATGCAGAAAACAAACACTTCCTGAGGAGATGCTGAACTGTAACAGACTCCCATCTGGTTTTCAGATTGCCTTACAAAAGACTCCACGTCCCTACATTTTCACAGAAGAAAGAGGCTTCAGTTATTTTTCTCCCGTGGCTGACAGAGTGAGCTTGCACAGCGGGAGTTTTTGCTCAGGGTGGCTTAGTCCCGTCCCAGGATGCGTACCTCCCATGTTCGCTTTGCTTTTCCTCAGAGGAAGGGTCGCACGAATCGTCACACGCCGCGTGCAAAACGGACGAATCAAAACCAAGCCTCAGTTCTCCCCGCCTACTCAGGAAGTCTCGCGTTACCAGCAGAGGGACGGGGTTATCGCGAGAACCACTACCCCGAGCCGAGATCCCGCGCCCGTAGGCGTGGCCAAGAAAAAAAAGAACGTGCACTCAGGCCCTCCCCCCTCACTTCAGCACCCCGCCTCCTCGCGAGAACGTCGAGTACTGCGGGCGCTGGAAGCGCGAGCTGAAGCTGAGCGGCGGCGCGTAAGCCTCGTCGGCCGCCGTAGCCCCTGCTAGGACAGCCCGTGCGAGCCTGCTGGAGGAGGAAGAGAAAGGCAGGGAGAATCGGGTTACAAGATGGCGGATGTGTAGGAGTTTACCGCGGCGGCGGCGGGAGAGCGAGCGAGCTCCGGGGGGGCAAAGGGAGGGGAGGGTGGGTGTGTGTGTGTGTGGATAAAGTGAGAGGTCCCGGGGGTCCGGCCGAGAGGCCCCGGTGGGCTCTTGTGGCCCCTTCCCGCGGCTGAACCTTGAGAGCCATGGTGGACTGGGGCCTCTCCGGAGCCGCCGCCGCCGTCGCCGCCGCTACTGTTTCTCAAGAGTGAGGAGGGGCGAGGACGAGGGGGACGTGGAGGCGGCCGCGTCTGGACCGGTGGGAACAGCGGCCACGATGTCGGATACGCGGCGGCGAGTGAAGGTCTATACCCTGAATGAAGACCGGCAATGGGACGACCGAGGCACCGGGCACGTCTCGTCCACGTACGTGGAGGAGCTCAAGGGGATGTCGCTGCTGGTTCGGGCGGAGTCGGACGGTAAGGTTATTGGGACGGTAGGCTCGCGGGGGGGATGCTTCCAGGCAGGGCTCAGCGCCGCGGTCTGGGCCGGAGGCGGGGTGCAGGCCCCGCCGCCCGCCTCGCCCCCAGAGCCGCCTCGGGTTTGTCTCTGCACTTTCTGGACGGTCACAGCAAACCGCTCTGTCCGCATGTACCCTCTCTGCTCCCCCGCCTCCCGCCCCTTCCTCCCCAGCCTCTTCTTTCCGGGAGAGGGGAGAACATGTTGGAAGAGGGGAAGAGGCTCGCAGGGACCAGGTATCGATCCCTGCTCCCTCCTCTTTTTCATTTTTATCTTCGCCCGTGTCTGATGCACAAGGTTCCGTGGAGCTTTGAGTCTTTGTTCTTGAACGGATGTCCCCACCGGAGCCCCCAGTTGCCGCTGTGGACAGACAGGTGCTGGGGGCCCAGCAGGCACCTGGGGAAGCCCGGGCTTGTTGCCGGCTGTTGCCACGGTGCCCGCACGCACGGGCGCCTCCCTCCGCCGGCGGGGTCCCCCCCCCCGGGCGGCCGTGGGGGCGGGGGGGAGGGGGGTGCATTCTTCACATCCCGTGCAAGTTGGGGCGCCCAAGCAGAGAGTAAACACGTATTCGTTGACTTATTTATTGTACGAGTCCTGTGGCGAGTGTTCTTCGATCCTGAAATGTACAGTAGCGTTGAAAGCACCTTTCTCGTTGTAATCTGGGAACTACGTGCAGGCGGTAGAAACGTTAGATTTGTACTTGTACAAATGTATCTTGTACTTTTTCTTGAAATAGTCATGGATGTTTATTTCTACATGCGGTGTGTCCTTTCGTTCTTAAAGGAGAAAAGCAGTTCTGTAATTTGTGTACTTTGTTGTGGTCCTTTGTACTTTGTTTTTACTTGTTAAACTGGAAATGCAATAAAATAACTGTTAAAAAAAAGAAAAGAATTCGGCTTCAAGTGGTCATTTAGACCTTAAGATTTTGTTTCAATAAAACTTTTAAGAGTCATTAAGTCTCCTTATAGTCTTTTATTTATTTGTTTTAAATTCGTTATTGTTTAAAGTATTAACATCCTTTTCTTCTTGGTCTGAATGTCTTGGGTGGATTTCCCCTCCCCCCCCATTTAAGGGTTTCTTGTAATAGGATGGTATGTTGTAAATTAAATATGAAATTCAGATCTGGAGAGGAAAATGTGAATTAGAGTACAGTTGTTTACTGCAGCTATCTAGCTGAGTGGAGGGAACATGAGATGATTTTTTTTTTTTTAATGTGGACTCTGATTTTTTTTTTTTATTCGGGTTTTATAAATTGACACGTTTGTTTGTTTTTTAATCTTTTCAGGATCACTACTTTTGGAATCAAAGATAAATCCAAACACTGCATATCAGAAACAACAGGCAAGTAGTTGTTTATCTTTAATTTGAAAGACTTCATCTGTGATCAAGGAAGTATTAATCTGACAAAGATGGGAAAGCTTTCCTGACGAGAAAAAATGTTTGGTAAACAAAGTAACAGACCATATATATTTCCTTTACAGGTTAAAAGTCTCAAACTGAAAAGTGAAAATTTATGTACTGGAAATAATTTATTATCTTTGAATTGAGCCACTGTTCGATATATTTGAATACAATGTATTCATTAATCTTATTTAACTCACCGTTAGCCAGGTCTCTGCTATACCCTGTACACTAAGCCTTTTATTCCCAACCACAGTTAAAGGAAATGGCATACAAGAACATTCAAAGGGGTACTCTTGAGAGCAAGGAAAGCCTGTTTGTGGTGTGAAATTAGATCCTTTGACTCAAGCAGAGAGAGAGTTTTGAAGTAGAAGCATTGAAATCCTTTAATTGTATTTTTTAATATAATAATAAGTGATACTTTTGCAAAAGTATACATTGTCAATTATATAATGTTTTCTGTTAATATTTATTGTCTTATTTGGGAAAAGAAAACGTGTTGTGTTTTAGCATACCAAATTATTTAATCTGGAAATGGCAGCAGTGATTCGACTTTTTCTTTATTCTGTGAATGTTTTTATTTTTATTATGAAAGATTTCAAAATTGAAAAGTATAGAGAATAATATAATGAGTTTCTGTGTAACACCACCAGATCGAACAATGTTAACATACCATATTTGTTTCAAATCTTTTTGTAATTTTCAACCTTGTGGGTAGAGTTAAAGCCCCCTTTGTACCCATCTCATTCTATCCATTCTCTATCTTCCCTGTAGGTAACCACTATTCTGAAGTTGATGTGTATTATTTCTGTACATGCTTTTATACCTTTTCTGCATATGTATGTACCCATGAATAATATGTAGTCTTTTGTGTGTTTTTAAACTGATACAATTGATCTCGTATTCTTACATGTATTCTGCAACTTTCATTTTTCACTCAACGTTATTTTGGAGATTTGTTCATGTTAATGTAGATCTAGTTGTGTGTTTAAAAAACAAACAAACCACTGTACAGTTTCTGATGTATGGTATACACATATTGTTAGACATTTGGATTATTTCCAGTTTTATTTTTGTGTGTGGTATGTAAAGTGAATATGGCAGAGATTTTTGAAGGAAAAGATAAATTATGTTAAGATATTTACATCATCGATGCCTACTTTCTTCAGGGCCAATGAAAATTTCAGTACCCAGAAACAAATACTTCCTGTTGGAGGAATGAAACTATGTCTGTTGCACAATGCATTATTAGTAAAAGTCTTACTGTTAAACAATTGTTTTGTGTATGCAATATATTCTTAATTAGTTCTTTGAAATATTTTTTTTAGTTTCCAACATTCATTTAAACTAAATGATTTAGGAGTTTTTCCCCTCTAATTAGAAATATTATGTATCCTTCCTGATGGAGAATCAAACATTTGTCCTGTTTTGAACACTTGAAGATGTTTCCTATACCTTAAACATTTTAAGGTATAACACACTAAATTTAATTTAATTTCTAAGTCAGACAGATGGTTACTCTCTCTTTGCCCTGAATTTTGCCAGATAGCCATTTACGAGGTCTTTTGTTTGCTTGCTTGTTTGAGGGGAAAGAAATACTAAAATTTTGTGATTTTTTTTCTTTTCTTCCTATCTGTGTGAATATAAAATTCTCAGGAACTGTGGTTTTACATGTGACACCCTACAAACTAGTTATAATATGGATTCTTCTCAAATTGTTTTCAAGATCTTTTGGCTATTGTTACTATTGGAAAACACATTATGACAGAGGTTGGTATATAAAATAGTCCCCCAGCATTAGTCCAAAAATATACAGTGGTATTTAGAAACTTTGGGACATGGTTTTGTTTGTAATGTTACACTACTAGAAAATTAAAGTATTGGAGGGAAAAAAATTTTAATTAAAAAAAGATTTTGTGCTATTAGGAAAATGTTTTCTGTATTTAATCACATTCAAATAATACACTACTGGACTATACATTTTTTTCTAATTGAGGTACTTTTACTAAAAACATTAAAGTTTAAGAAAACTGGCAATAACAGTAATTTGGAAAATCATGAATGTAAGAATGATAAACCTGTGTAAATGAAGTCACTTTATTTTTGTTTAAATTGAGTGTACTTTTTAAATATAAATCGAAGAACCATTTAGAGGTTATGCTAAACTTTGAATGATTTTTCATATTTTCACCAAAGTCTTGTTCCTCTTGCACTTTTTACCAAGTTACACAAATTGGGATTTCCAAACACATTGCTATTTTTGTAGAAAGTCGTTTAAGTTATTCAGTAAATTAGTCTAGAAGTTATTATTTCCAAAATTTATATGAAGTATATTGATCATTAGTGGATTTTAGCTTAAAAAAACTACTGAATGAATGATATATTCATAGTTTATAGGATATTTTACTATATTAAAATACATTGAATAAATTCAGAGAGGAATATTTTTTTAACATTATAGTTCTAAAGTGAGCTAAGTAATAAATTGTGTGTTCAAAATAAGTTTAGTTAAATGTTACATACTCAAATATCAGTAGGCTATCATGATTCACATTATTTTTCTTGCATACTGTGTACATTACTGATGTAGTAAATGGGAAAGAGAAGACATACTTACCTGAAAAGAGCCAATACACACTGGAAAGGGAAGAGCATTACCATACAGCTTATTTTAAATGGATAATAAAGTGCCTGATATATATGCCAACAATTTTTTTTAAGTCATGTAGACTCAGTCCCACTGGTCTTGAAAGTGTCATTGGGATATGTACCTCTTATGTAACACAATTTGTGTTCATTTGGTTTTAGGAAAGGTATAAGTTCTCATCCTTGGTTTTATTGAGAGTCAAGACCTAACAGGTGAAACAATTACAGAATGATGATATGCTGATAAAGTGTTTTAACTCCATTGAAAGATGATTAAAGAATTTCACAGATACAGCAACTAGGCACAGAAAGGCTAAGTTTAATGACTATACAGTAGGTATATACCTACACAAAATATAAAAAGCAAATTATTCCACAGACTTGGGCAATAGAAAATTAGAAGGGAGAGATTGATTTTGGCTAGAATCATTAAGAAAAACTTCACTCTGGTTGTGTACAGTATCTGCTATAGGAACTGTGATAGAGAAGAAAATAGTACACCTAAAACAAAAGGTATTAAACCTATTTGCAGCCTAGATTTCTTATTTGAGAGCTTAGTTCACTAAACAAAAGGGAGCCATTATAGGTTCTTGAGTAGGGACCCAACAAGAAGAAAGTGATACTATGTCTCAGAAGGTGTATGACAAAGGCATGAATAATGAATTGAGGGTGTGGAGGGAAACGAGCTTTAGGTAGCAAAACCTTTTGCAATAATTCAGGTACAAAAAAGTGAAAGTCTTTCAGTGTAGTAAATGGAATTGGAAAGGATGAGAACTCCAGTATATTTCAAGGAAGTGCTGGAAGATTTGGTGAATGGTTATATATGAAAAAGAAGGAATCAAAAGTTACTGGTAGTGTTTTTGAATCTTGGAACCAGGAAAATGATGGCTCCCCTCAGAAACTGGGAAGTTGAGAAGAAAGCAGGTTTACATTAATCATTTGGCTAGAGGCTTGTTTTAAATGGATAATACATTCACATTATTAAAAATTCAGACAGTATTTGGCAATGTCTCCCATCCTGGACTCCATCCATACAGTTTCCCTTGCTAGAAGCTACCAGTGTTACCATTTTCTTGTATAGTTTCTTAGAGGCTCTATACATATGTAAAAAAAATATATGTATAGGCATATACGTAGATGGCATATAAGAAGCATGCCATAAACTTCTGTGCCTTGCTTTTTAAATTTTAATTTAGGCTTTAAAATCATTTGTAGAATAAATTGAAAAGTCTTATAAAGAACACCCGGGACAAGAAATACAGTAGGAGTTTGTTGTGGTGGAGATTCTAATTTGAAAATCATTAAATGATATTTTTAGCTGCAAGACAGCCTTTGCTCAGAGCATAGAATAGAACTGACTTAGCCTTGTCGAATTGTCCACATTAATTTATTCAGCCAGTTATACTTGGGTGAGTGATGCTATGGGTTAGTCACTATCTATGGTTTTTTAAAAGTCCATTTAAACATTTCTGAACATTTTCATTCAAGGAATGACATAATCCAAAATAGTAACATCAATCTGGGGAATTGAAGAGGGCCAGTACCTGGGATGGGATACTAGTTGAGAGATCACTGCATAGTCTAAGCAAGAGATAATGTTGGGTCAGGTTAGAAGTGACAGTGAAGATGGAAAGGGATGGATGGATTTGAAAAATGTATTGGAGATAAAATTGACAGGGCAGACTGTGGATTAGGTGTTTGGTGATCAGGAAGAAGGAAGATTCCGTAAAGAGGAAGATGAAGCAATTGGAAAAAGTAGAGAATCAGGAAAATGTCTTCAAACCAAGGAAGAACAGAATTTTGGTAAGGGAAGGACGGTCATTCATTCAACAAATGGCTGTTCCATATCCTGTATGAGAAAGATTGCAAATATTCTAGGTTTTGGTTAGTATTATAGAATGTCCTCTGAGATGAAGGTATGGATGAAAATTATCATATTTATTGTATCTAGTTCTTAATTGGAAAAATAAAGCGATAAAATTAGGCGCATTGGGGTTTAGCCTGAGAGTTATTGTAGGGAATGGACTAATGAGTATATAAGGGAGAATGAGATTTTTATAATTTTGAATGATGCTTTAAATGACAGCGTGAATTTGTAATGAGTATTCTTCACTCTGTTCTTTGAGTTATAGATCAGTTGCATGACTAGAGGATGTGAATGATTAGCTTTAAAGTATTGGGTGAGTTGTGTTCTGGGTGGTGGTTTGTGGTGGGACCAAGGAGGAATCTGGGAATCAGATGGAGACAGGTTTTTCTTATCTATGTGTTTAGGGAGATGCCTAGATAAACAGTGCCACCGGGGAGAAGCTTGGGAGGCAAAGTTGTTAAGAATTTTATGGGGGGTTTTAGAATTTGATCACATTTTTCATGTGGCATAGAAATAGAAATGTGGGTTTAATTTCTAGTTGTGTTATTTTGAGCAAATTTTCCCTGAATCTCATCTTTTAAATAGAGATATTACCTGCATTGTAGAATAGCAGTGAATCAATGTATGAAAAGTGCTTCAGCACAGTACCTGACACATAAGTTCAATGAGAGAACTATATTCATAATAATCTTACAGTAAGGCCAATGCTGTGTGCCACACACATGAGCAAAAAACATATCACAAAACACAGTGGTGAAAAGCAGACCTTACTATGAAAAATTGAGCTTGGCTCTATCTATGCTTTTTAGATAGGCTGACACTTCTCATTGTTTTATATATTCTGTGCCAACTCTCTGCTCATATAAGAGCTTTTACACTAACCTATGGAATAAATAAATCTAAAGAGTGCTTCTTCCCAATAATTTTTTCATGCAACAACAATGTAGAGGGGGAACAGAAGGAAGAATGGGGTTTGTCACCCTTTTGGGTAGATACATAGAGCTGAAAGGTGACTACTCTGATGGCACTTCCCTATCCTCAGTTTATCAACTAGAGATATACTTGGGTCAGGTTCTCAAATTTGACTTAAAGAATTACCTCGCATCCTAGTTAAAAATAAGGATTCTTGGGCTTTGCTCCAGATCTGCCCCCAAAGAAGGCATTTCCCAAAGTCAATCCTTTTTGCATTGAAAAGGATTCTGAATATAAATCCCATTTAGTTTCAGGGATTTTGGCTTATGGGGAAAAGTTTCCATTAGGAATTGGAAGGAAAGAAGAACAACAACAACAAAAATGATTAAGTTTCAGGTAACCTTAATTCAGACTTTGCTGCTTACCTGGACTTTCTCTTAGAAGGTAGATTAGAACCAAAATTGAAAAGGCTTTGGTGCCTGGAATAAGGGTTTCGGATTTCATCCTTTCCAAAATGGAATGCATAGTTTGAAGCACTAGAATTTGAGAAGAAACCCGTTTTGAGAAATTATTTTGCTAAATATTTAATATAAAATTACATGGTCAAGAGTCAAAAACATAACGGCTTTCTGAAAGAAGAGTAATATTTCCATGAAAAGCGTTCTTCATTTATTATGAATTATTGTAGCCTACCTGTGTAAATAACTGTTTACAGGTATTTTTCAATTTAACCTGTAACCCTAACAAAAGAAACAAGTGTCTTAAAAATGGTTGGTAACAAAAATGTAAATGCAAGTGAACAAGGTAATAATTAAACTGACATTTATACTTCTAGTGTATTGTTCAGTCAAAAAGAAACAATGATAACATAGATCTTACAAGAAGTTACCCCTCCCAAAAATTCAAAATTACTAAAAAGGTGATGTTAAATACAGATTTGTGTCTGTTGTCATTTGTGAATATACTGGGCCTTAAATGTATACTGAATCTTAAAATGTTAATAGTATAGAGAAATTATAATTCAAACATTTAAAAGTATTATTTTATCTTTATGTAAACCTTTCTATTTCTGTTTTAGAAGTATTGCTATATTAATATTTTGTTCCTATATATAACCTAAGTAATTTGAACACAGGTAAAAAATTTTTGGAGACCACTGTTCATGAAGCTGTTTTGAAGAGGGATCTAAGACAACTCAGAGACTGAATAAACTACATAGACCCTGAGCAGTTGTCTTAGTACTTTAACCTAACTAGGACAGTTTTTATCTTTTTTTTTAACATGGAGATTTTTAGTAAATTTTGTTTGTAAAAGGTTTTTAAAAAAAAAAAAAAAAAAACTTTTTGTTTAAAAAAAAAAAAAATCCAAAACCTCTCCTGTAGATGGAGGAGCCACTCAGAGTTTTTAAATAAAATTTTATAATCTGGTGGCAAATTTTCCTTCCAATTTCCCTTCTTTCCTTCCTAGGCAGAAGCTAGAAAACTGATTTTCACCTGTTCTTTTTACCTGATCACACAGCAAAATAGGTAGTCACCTGAGGCCTGGGTTAATTAAAGCATTTTTTTTTATTATTATTTATTGGTTAGGACTACCAAAATATTGAAAAGTTTTTATTTTAAAGACTTTGTCTTTTTTAATATGGGACTCACAATTTTATATTTTTTAGTAGGAGGTCAGATGAACAATTATTAAATAAGGTGTTTTTGTAGATTATATTTTTGCTAATTAGGGTATAAATTCAAATATTTATATTTTGAAAATCACAGTTTTAGCCATATTAAACTTTCATTATGTACCCTAAAAGAATTTTTGTTTTATTTGAGTGTTGCAGTGATTTTAGTGTTTAAACATGTTTGTGTGTTTTAGTTTAAACCCAGACCTTAGTTTTTAATAAAGACAACTGGCTTAAGGGGAAAAAAACTTGTAGGTGGTTAGTGAGTGGAACAACTGACTTTCTGGAAACAATAGAAAGTAGATGATTAGAATATCTACTTACAGTTTAGCCAAGAATGGCTAGACTTTCCACTAAACATTATCTTGGTAACAAGAGCCAGAGCCTGCTAATCTGTTTCGGTCTTTTTTTTGTTTTACAATATTGCTCAATGTCAGTTTTAGTGTCAAAGCTACTATTTCGTTGCCAGTATATCACTAAAGTTTCATTGGGTAACAAAATAGAGTTATATGATTTCAGTTGAGTGTACATAATTCCACTTATGGGAGGGTATTTGTCATTTCTGTCTTTTTTATTGTCTTTTTTATACTTTGTTTCTCTTCTAAGTGTGATGATCTAGAATTTTTTGTTTTTAAACAGGATACGTTAATCGTTTGGTCAGAAGCTGAAAACTATGATCTGGCTCTAAGTTTTCAGGAAAAAGCTGGCTGTGATGAGATCTGGGAGAAAATTTGTCAGGTAAGGCTCTTTGAATAATATTTAACTTAACATTTATATGCCTTCTTGAATTTTTTTTTTCTTTTTACCTAAAAGATGCATATTATAATGTGGAGAGGTAATATCTTCATTGAGATTTTGGTAACCTAATATAGAAATTTCTTTTATATTTTACAGCAAAATTTTTTACTTAAAATTCTTTTAGTTATAATTTTATCACTTTAGATTTTAATACTCTGTAAAATGTCAAGATCTTTCAACAACAAACAAAAAGTTAAATATTTATGTTCTAAAGCTTTAAGATTTTATGTATTTCATCACCCATTTGCCTAATGTTCATGAATACTATGTACCACACACTAATGATCAGAAGTGCTTATGGCTTCAACTTGTGAAGAACTTACATGATATAGGATAAATGGTAACTCTCAGCTAATTGAAATTTTTTAAAATAAAGTTTTTATTTTAAAAGATTCAGATTTACAGAAAATATGAACAGAAAGTAGAGTTTCTATGTACTCCCCTCCCTGACATCACCACCCCGGTTCTCCTGTTATTAGCATCTTACATTAGTATGATACACTTGTCACAATTAATGAACTAAGCATTTATTATTATTCATTATTATTCATATACCATTATTAGCGAAAGCCCATTCTTTATTCAGATATCCTCAGTTTAAAATCCAGTATCCTTTTTCTGTTCCAGGATCCCATTCAGGATTCCACATTACATTTATTTCTTTTTTTATTTTGTATTGAATTTATTTATTAGGGTGACGTCTGTTAGTTACTAAAATGTAGGTTTTTAGGTGTACAATTCTGTAATACATCATTGATATATTGTGTGTCTACCATCCCAAGTCAAGTTCCTTCCATTACCGTTTAACCCCCTTCTACTTGCCTCCACTTCCCCTCATTCCTCTTTCTTTCTGGTAATCACCATACTATTGTCTATGTCTATGAGTTTTTTGTTGGTTTGTCTTTTTGGGTTTTTTTTTGCTTGATCCCCCTTCACCCTTTTCACCCAGCCTCAGCAGCACTTATCCCTTCTGACAGCTGTTAGTCTGTTCTCTATGAGTCTGTTTCCATTTTGTTTGTTTATTTTTGTTCAATTAGATTCTGAATATAAAAGAAATCATTTGGTATTTATCTTTCTCTAATGGACTCATTTCACTAGCACAATGCCCTCCAGGTCTATTCATGCTATCAAAAAGGATAATATTTTCATCTTTTTTACTGCCAATTAGTGTGCCATTGCATAAATGTATCACAGCTTTTTAATCCACTCATCCACTGATGGACACTTGGGCTGCTTCCAAATCTTGACTGTAATAAATAATGCTGCAGTGAACATAAGGATGCATATATTCTTTCAAATTAGTGTTCAGGTTTCTTCTGATTTAATCCCAGAAGTAGAATCGCTGTGGTCATAAAGCAGCTCTGTTTTTAATATTTTGAGGTAACTCCATATGCTTTCCACAGTGGCTGCACCCACATTACATTTAATAGTAATGTCTCCTTAGGGAAATGTTTGCTGTGAACTGTCACTGAAATTTGAAATTAATCATAACATTCATTTTAGCTGCCATCCTTTATAATAAAAGCCTAATATGCTAAGTGTCCAGTCATCTGGTCCGTTGTTCAACCAATCAAAGCGTAATAAGCTAAGGCTTCTTATCTGCTCATGGGGGCAGATGCTCCAACCGGTAGGTTAGCTTGCTGCTGGGATCTGGCTGATCAGGACTTAGCAAGTCTAACTGGACACACCCTGGAGCCCTCCTGCGCCTACACCCAGCCAATCTCCATCATCCCTCCCTGGGCTGCACCCTCTTGCAATCCAGAACACTTTGGAGGATGTTAAGAGCCAATTTCGGCCTGAAGGTGGAACAAGCTATGATGTACACTGACCACCAGGGGGCAGACTCTTCAGGAGCCGCCCCCTAGTGGTCAGTGCGCTCCCACAGAGGGAGTGCCATTCAGCCAGAATCGGGGCTCACGGCTGGCAAGTGCAGCAGCAGCAGCACTAAAGATGTCCGACTGACAGCTTAAGGCATCACCTGAGGGCCCAGGCCAGGCTGAGGGGGGACCCCCACCCCGTGAACAGATTTTGTGCACTGGGCCTCTACTTTCCTATAAAGTGGCTGCCTACTGTGATAGCCTACTTAGTTTCTTTTAACTGTTATCATTTTCATTAACGTCATATTTTCTCTCTAGCGATTCTTATCACTGAAGGTTTTTGGTAGATTTATGCATCTGACTGCAGTCATTTTCCCCCCTAGATCTTCCCAGTAATAGTGCTACACAGTGTAATAAAGTGGCCAAAGAGCAGTGTGAATCTTCTGATTCTCTTATTTGACGTATGCTTAAAATCACTAGACTTTTCTTAACTAGGAGTAGATAGTTTATTTTTACTTAAGTTCAATGATCAGTAATATGATTTGCAAAAATTTGAATGCATTTATATTTTAAGGTAACCAGCTATATTTGGATATTTTCAGGTTCAAGGTAAAGATCCATCAGTGGAAGTCACACAGGACCTCATTGATGAATCAGAAGAAGAACGATTTGAAGAAATGCCTGAAACTAGTCATCTGATTGACCTGCCCACATGTGAACTCAATAAACTTGAAGAGATTGCTGACTTAGTTACCTCAGTTCTCTCCTCACCTATCCGTAGGGAAAAGCTGGCTCTGGCCTTGGAAAATGAAGGCTATATTAAAAAACTACTGCAGCTCTTCCAAGCTTGTGAGAACCTAGAAAACACTGAAGGCTTACACCATTTGTATGAAATTATTAGAGGAATCTTATTTCTAAATAAGGCAACTCTGTTTGAGGTAATGTTTTCTGATGAGTGTATCATGGACGTCGTGGGATGCCTTGAATATGACCCTTCTCTGGCTCAGCCAAAAAGACATAGAGAATTCCTGACAAAAACTGCAAAGTTTAAGGAAGTTATACCAATAACAGACTCTGAACTAAGGCAAAAAATACATCAAACTTACAGGGTACAGTATATTCAGGACATCATTTTGCCGACGCCATCCGTTTTTGAAGAGAATTTTCTTTCTACTCTTACATCTTTTATTTTCTTCAACAAAGTTGAGATAGTCAGCATGTTGCAGGTAAGTAAACTAAGGTGTTCATCATAATTTTGTTTTCAGATGTTTAGTTTCAGTAATAGTTCAAGCTGCTCTTCATTCCTTTGATTTTATCTCATGGCTTTCTGAAGGAGAATCTTAATGTGACCTTTTATATTTTTAAGTGTCCTATGATGTAGCTCAGTTTTATTTAACTTTTTTTTTTTCTTCTTAAAAATTGTTGTAGAATATACATGACATAAAATTCACCATTTAACCATTATGTGTACAATTCTTAACATTAAGTACATTCACCTCTGTCCATATTCAGAACTTTTTCATCATTCCAAACAGGAGCAGCTGTTTTTAAATCATTTTTTGTGAGACTTAGTTATTATTGGGATATGTAGAACTATGAGTGTTTAAAACTGCCCAAATAATTTCAAAGTGCAGCCAGGATTGAAAAATATTCATTTTCAGGAAATGATGATTAGATTATTTGCTATGTGAGGTTGATTTTATTCTGTCTCCTTGAGTTGAAAATTAGGATTTTTACACCATATTTATCATGTTAATCTTTTATATCCTAACAATGTAATAAACAAGATTATGAAGAGTTTTCTTCACTTGTGATAGTATGCTATATGCACAGTTTCCTATAATATATAATTGTTGTTATTTCCCTATGAGTCACTAAGTTTATTGAGCAGCACCTATATACTTAGTGTAGTGGTTCTCAAATATGGCCCGTAGACCATTCAGGATCCCTGGAGTCCTTTTAGACAGGTCTGTGAGGTTTTCCTTTTTCCAGCTTCATGTCAGTGTAAGGCTCTTATTTTCTTCATTATATTTCAACCAAAACATCACATCACAGCAGGCTGAATGCTGAAGATGATATATGTGAATCAAGCTGTCCTTTGTTAAGGCAAACATGAAAAGATTTGCAAAAATGTAAAACAGCCATTCTTTCTAAGTTTTTAAAATGGGGGGGGGGGTCATATAGTTTGTTCTCATAAAAATAATATTTATATAAACATAATAGCTTACTTTTAAATGAGTTAATAAATATTTTTAAATATCTCAGTTTTAGTATGGAATTGATAAACATGACCCACATAGTAAAAACTCTTTTGGCCCCTCAGTAATTTTTAAGAGTTTAGGGGTGTCCTGAGACCAAAGACAATCTCTGGCTTAGTATTTAGTAATGAGATTCCATTTTATGATACTTCCAACCATTATTTACCTTTCTATTATTGTTACTTTACCTTTCATGTAACATTTACTTCTCCAGATCATTTTTCACTGAGCAGTTTTTTGTTATTCCGCAGTAATAAGTGTAAGGGAAGTTAGACTTACACATTACGCTTCATTTACAATACATGGGACCTGCCTTTTTTTTTTTTTTTTTTTTTTTATTTCAAAGGGGAAGAGACAGAAAGAGATAGAGATAGAGATAGAAACATCAATGAAGAGAGAGAATTCTGGCTGCCTCCTGCATGCTCTCTACTTGGATTCAAGTCCACAACCCGGACATGTACCCTTAATGGGAATCGAACCCAAGATCCTTCAGTCCTCAGGCCAGTGATCCATCTACTGAGCCAAACCAGCGAGGGCTATGGAACTAATTTTGAAAAATCATACTGTACAATTCAGGATGCCATTTCATTTCCTGATAGAAAAAAAAGCCAGGAAGTAGATCCACAGTCAGTATAGCTGATGTAAAGGACCCAGTGACAGAAGCTGAAGTGTATCTTTCAAATGATTGCTTTTAACTTCAGAGCATTGATTACCAAAACCAGTGTTTTAAAAAGAAATTATGCCAACTAATTTGTAAATATTTATAACATTTTATATGTCATTTTATATATTTTATCAGAGGTTTATTTGTGAAGGCTATAATTATATAAATCAAGTGTAGTTTTAAAAAGAAAAGTTACTTATTTCTGTTCGATGAGATGTATTTGCTACTGGAATTTCCAAATAACCCTTCTTGTGGTGTACATATCTGTAGCTTCTTAAGTGTGTATTAACCTGCTATTATATAAGTTATATAAGGCAAGTTAACATAAGAATTTTAGCTAACTGGACCAAAATGAGGTAGTGTAAAGGTATAAAACTCCTAGACCAGTGGTCCACAAACTCATTAGTCAACAGAGCCAAATATCAACAGTACAGTGATTGAAATTTCTTTTTTTTTTTAATAATAATAAATCTTTATTGTTCAGTTTATTACAGGTGTTCCTCTTTCCCCCTTCTTCCCCATAGCTCCCCTCCACCTGATTCCCAACTCCACCCCATGCCCTTACCCCCGCCCCTGTCTTCATCCATAGGTGTAAGATTTTGTCCAATCTCTTCCCTCACCCCTCAGACTCCCTTCCCCCTGAGAATTGTTAGTCCAATCCCTTTCTATGTCCCTGATTCTATTATGTTTACCAGTCCATTTTGTTCGTCAGATTTTTTATTCACTTGATTTTTAGATTCACTTGTAGGTGGGTATTTTATGTCTTTTTGTTGTTCGTAATTTTTACCTTTACTTTTCTTCTTCTTCTTCCTCTCCTTAAAGAATACCCTTCAGTATTTCATGTAATCCTGGTGTGGTGTTGATGAACTCTTTTAACTTTTTCTTGTCTGTGAAGCTCTTTATCTGACCTTCAATTCTGAATGATAGCTTTGCTGGGTAGAGTAATCTTGGTTGTAGGTTCTTGTTGTTCATCATTTTGAATATTTCTTGCCACTCCCTTCTGGCTTGCATAGTTTCTATTGAGAAATCAGCTGACAGTCGTATGGGTACTCCCTTATAGGTAACTAGCTGTTTTTCTCTTGCTGCTTGTAAGATTCTCTCTTTGTCTTTTGCCCTTGGCGTTTTAATTATGATGTTTCTTGGTGTGTTCCTCTTTGGATTCCTCTTGTTTGGGGTTCTGTATACTTCCTAAACTTGTAAGTCTATTTCTTTTACCAGGTAGGGAAAGTTTTGTCATTTCTTCCATTAAGCCTTCAATATCCTGCTCGCAACCCAAAAATCCGGATGTTGATATGCTTTAAGCAGTCCTGGAGGCTCCTTACACTATCCTCACATTTTTGGATTCTTATTTCTTTCTGCTTCTTTGGTTGGGTGATTTTTTTCTTCCTTATATTCCAGATCTTTGGTTTGATTCTTGGGGTACGTTGATCTATAGTTGAGTTTCTGTATATTCTTTATTTCAGAGATTGTATGCTTAATTTCTGACTGGTCCTTTTCCATTTTTTTGGTATTATCTTTAAGGTCCTTGAAGGTCTCACCAAGCTTCTTGGAGGTCTCATCAAGTTTCTCAAAGGTTTTTAGATTCTTGAGTAATCTTATAAATGTGATTCTGAACTCTGTGTCGTCCAGTAGTTTACTTTCCTCCATCTCTCCCATTCGTGACATGTTTCTGTGTCTCCTCCCTGTGTTGATGGAGTGGCTTTGTGTGGTAGGTGACCTATCAGCTTCCCCAATCACCTGGGGTGGTCGCTTTTGGTATATCCCTTTGTGGGCTGAGTGCAAAGTCTTAGTATAATTAAGCCTTGTTTGCTGTTGGTACTCTGGGAGGAATTGATCTCCAGGCCAATTGTCTGTGAGGGCCCGCTCTGTCTATAAAGGAAGAACTGCTGTGCTGGAGACTCGGTTTGTTTTAGTGGGGCTTTGGTGCTCATTGAGTCCGTCTCCCGAATGTGTCACTTAAGGGTGTGAGTGGTTGAAATAGACCACTAGGAACACTGGCTTCTGAATCTCCAATGGGATTCAGTTCAAGAGCTACAGCGAGTACTACAGTTTTTTCCTGTTTGCTTGGGTCTGGGGGGCGGGGGAAGAGTTGTGTGTGGTGGTTGGGTTTTTTTTGGTTTTTTTTTTTGCTGGAGCTGCAGTTTATACATGGTTAAGCTGCCTCAATACAGGCCATTCATATGTAAAAGTAGCTTTGTGGTGCCTGGGCTGGTCTGTAGAATCTGCGCCTGGGGCAGGGCCTCAGGGCAGGGTGGGGCCTCAGGATGTTGACATTTTAACATGTCACTAGGTTGGGGCTTGGCTAACACCAATGGCTGTCCCAGCCCCGAGCTTCCAAGTCCCCGCTTCCCTGCCATCCAGCGCAGTATACAATGATTGCTGCCTGCACCTCTGCAAGATGGCCCAGCTTCTCCCCATAGGCGTCTGGGTCCCCCACGTGACCCCAGAAACTGGATTTCAAAGTGATAGGGAGCTTGTTTCCTTTCGGGTTGAAAAGAAAAGCCGCCAAGTAGCCCACCACCAGCCCGATTCGCGTGCCTCGTGCCTCCGTACCAAGGCTCCTCAGCTTTTCAGTGCTTGCGCTCCCCTCTTTCAGCCAGCCTTCCTGTGGTTTTGGATGATGGATGTCCTTTGTATTAGTTTTAATTTTTTTAAATTGTTGTGCGAGCAGCACCTACGCCGCCATCTTGGTCTTTCTCTAGAATGTGAAATTTCTTTTGAGAGCCAATTTTTTTAAACTTAAACTTCTAACGCCACTTCTTCAAAATAGACTTACCCAGGCCATGGTATTTTGTGGAAGAGCCACATTCAAGGGGCCAAAGAGCTGCATGTGGCTCACGAACCACGGTTTGCTGACCACAGTCCTAGACTAAAGTTATTTAACTGAAATTATTTAGTGTGATCATTGGTTCCTAGTATGTACTCTAATACATGTTGAGATTTTCTTTAGCATAATAGAAGCATAATATTTTAGTTCGCCTGAACTTTTCTAGTTGTTCAAAACCCCTTGTGCCCAAAATTCAGAAATACACTCTAAAATATCTTCAAATTAAATTCCTAAAAGCCAAAAAAGTGAGGTTATTTCCACACAGACAGCTACAGATTAAGATCCGTTTTAGAATAAGTTGTAGGACAGCTCTTTCAAATGTTGACATTTTAACATGTTACATGTAATTCCACTATTACATAGATGAGAGTTGAGCTAAAAACAAATCCAATAAAATCAGAGATTCATTCTTTTTGACATACTTTTGCCTATATTAAGATTTCAGCACTGAAAGAAATTTTTAACCTTTCATTCCAATTACTAATTAAATATGTAAAATCTTTCAATACCTTTTCGAAAACAACTGATGATAAACCTGGGGCTCTTCATTTTGTTTTAGAAGTTCTCATGCAAGAACTTGGATTCTAAATCTCTGTTGCTAGCTATCCACAGGTAAATCCACTCTGTAACTCAGTCTTATGAAATTTAAAATTGGACTAGGTAATCTCTTAAAGCCTGATGTAATTCTAAAAACAGAATGTGTGTTTGAATGAAAAACAGTTATGATAGTATTTTCATTTAGTTGTAGCCTTACAAGTAAGACTCTACACCAGCCATTTCAACCTTTTTCCTCTCAATAGTATGAAAGGCAGTTATTGTAGTGTTTTGATGTTTAATGGTATTCTTGGAGACGACAGAACATGTAAGACTAGACTCTATACCACTGATTTTCAACCTCTTTCATCTCATGTTACTTGTAAACTACTAAAATTCTGCAGCACATACACACAAAAGAAGTTTTAATCTGCTATGGGTTAAAGATCTTCAAACTTGTTTGAATTATGTTTAAATTAAGAATAAATAGACCCCAAAAGGAAGCTAAAAGGCGCTTAAGTCAAAGTAAATGAGTGTTTATGCATGACTTCTAGAATATTTTTGTTTTCCAAAAGAGTTCTTTATCGTTGACATTTCTAGTTACATGAAATATTAATGTATATATAACTAATAGTGAATGGTGTAGTCAAGTTTTTAAAATTAAAATATAATTTGTATATATCATATAAATGAGTAAAATTTATACTTTTAATATTTCATAGTAATTAATGTTAATTTTAAAATTAATATTTTTTTCTCATGTAGGAAGATGAGAAGTTTTTGTCTGAAGTTTTTGCACAATTAACAGATGAGGCTACAGATGATGATAAACGGCGTGAATTGGTAATTTATTCTTGAAATTCAAACCCTTAAAGAGCACTTACTCTTTTGGCATGCAGGCTTTGGATACTGAATTTGTTAAGAGAAAATTTTTTATAACTACAGTATGAGATAAATTATATGTACTTAAATTATACTATAAATAGTTGTTCTCAAACTTATTGTTTTATATATTTTAGAAATTTCTTAGGATATTTTGATGTGGGTTCCCCTCTCCATGAGAGAAACTGTCCCTTACAAATTCTAAAATCAGATATGTGATTTATGTTAGGACAGAACTACAACTCATCCATTTTCTTGGTTATAGATACTCACAGTATAGGGATGCTTTTCTTTTTAAACAAGTGGCAAGAGGACTGCTTCTTAAGTAGATGAATAATAAATAGTTGCTTCTTGGAAATTTTTTTCTTATGAATGTGTTTATAATAACTTTTTTGAGATAAAAACAATGCCTTGGGGAAAGAAAATAGTGATTGCTGTTTACCAGCAGTTTGTTAATTTTTCAAACATTATAATCAGGTACATGGGTTTTAAGAAGTAATGAAGGATTGCTGACTTAAAATCAGCCAAGTCACTTTTGGTGTAGTTATTTATTAATAGCCTAGTTAGTTTTTTTAGTTATGAAATCAGTCCTTTAGGGAATTTGTAATGTCCTTTCCAATTCTTAAAACTTAATACTTTTGAGGCTCCCTGGAAACCCAGCTACTGGGTTTCTGTGAAAATGTTTGCTCTAATTCAAAATATTCACCTTACATGGCATTTTTACACCTTAGTCACGAATAGAGAATAACATAAAAGTATATACATTCCTCAGACTCCACATATAACTTTTGTACACCGTAATTTTTTTTTAGAGAGGTAATTGTTCAAAGCAAGGTTTACTTTTAATGGGTTGCTGACTTCTAATGTGTCCTATAGGTACTGAGGATCAGAATACCCTAAAAAGATAATCTTTGAGAAGGGTGTTGTTGATCACATTACCACATTACCGTGTGCCTTAAGTTTACTTTTGTGTGTATCAAAGTCTCACTGTACTTTCTAACATTACAGGTTAATTTTTTCAAGGAGTTTTGTGCATTTTCTCAGACATTACAACCTCAAAACAGGGATGCATTTTTCAAAACTTTGGCAAAGCTGGGCATTCTTCCTGCTCTTGAAATTGTAATGGTAATTATACATGTTTTTTTCTTCATGTTTTTGAAATTGAGATTTGTAAAAGATTTATATTATGGATGGAAAGTACTTATTATAGTAATGCATATTAAATTTTATAATTTAAATTATGCTTCTCTCTTTTTTTTTTAAATATATTTTATTGATTTTTTACAGAGAGGAAGGAAGAGAGATAGAGAGCTAGAAGCGTCGATGAGAGAGAAATATCGACCAGCTGCCTCTTGCACACCCCCTACTGGGGATGTGCCCGCAACCAACGTACATGCCCCTAACCGGAATCGAACCTGGGACCTTTCAGTCCGCAGACCGACGCTCTACCACTGAGTCAAACTGGTTTCAACAAATTATGCTTCTCTTAATAGTGAATTATACGAGTGTTTTCAATCTTCAGATTTTTATTAACTTAAATTTATAATAATACTATGTAATTACTTGCATATAATATGACTTCAGGTGAATAAAAATCCCATATAAGACTTTCTCTTCTGTAACCATATTAATTATGTTTCATAGAAACAAATAAAATGTCTTTCCTTTTTAGACCACTGAGTAGAGTGAGGGCAGACTGAATCAAAGGTGCTCATGTTGCAATATGGGGTTAGGGCAATGGTTCTGATACTTTTGCTTATTAGTTTTATCCACTGATATTTATTACATGAAAAATTAAAACGAGTTTTTTATGTGTTAATTTATTTTAAAATAATAACAACCCAATTATATGTTAGCATAAATAACTTTTATGAAAAAATTAATTTTCCAAAACAAAATATATTCAGTGAAAAGAATGGTATTTTTTCATGTTTTTTTTAAACATTTTTCAAAAAATTACTTACTAATTTGAGGGGGGATGGAGGAGATGAGAGAGAGAAACATCGATACGTTGTCCCAGTTATTTATGTAGTCATTGGTTGATTCTTGCATATGCCTTAACCAGCAATCAAACCCACAATCTTGGCATATCCAGATGAGCTACCTGGTCGTGGCCTGTTTCATATTTTTTACCAATATCTCTAATGTCTGGCTTATTAAAAAAAAAAAAAAAAAAAAAGTCATAGTAACTTCAGCATTTAATTTGTTGTGCTGCCACAGGTTGTGTAGCCTCTTGAAAACCCAATACTTGTGATAGACTGAGAGTGAAGAGGCTATTAATACCATAGTATTATTTATTATTATGAAAATAACTAGTAGCCTGCGCACAAATCCACGTGCCAGTAGCTCTCTGCGGGGCCTTGCCGCTCCAAAACCGCTGCCCAGAGGCCCATATGCAGCTGGGCACAGAACACTTGCCTTGTTGCCACGGTATCAAAGCAAGCATTCCACCAGACTACTCACACTGCCGGCTTTCAGCAGCTGCCCCCCTGGGGCTGGTGGACTGTGAGGCTGAGAGGACTGGATGCCGCCATCTTTGTGATGGAGTGACAGTTAATTTGCATATTACCCTTTTATTAGATGGGATTTTATTCTCAAGCACTTCCTGAAAAGAGTCTTAGACTCCTTGTAGGAATTCACTGTACCACATTTTGAGAGTTACTGAGTCATAGAATGTTTTCAGAATCTCTTGAAGATTTTGTAACTTAAATGATGTATTCTTCACATGTTGAAAGAGGACAAGCATTCATAATCATTACCTTAGAAAATTAAGTTGTGGAAAAGAGTAAATATACCCAAAGTGTTTTCAAAAGCATTCTCTAATAGGAAAATTATAATTGAGAAATCAGTTACTAAATTGTAAAGTAACTGGCAAATCCAGGATCAAAGACATTCTATAAGATTTTAAAGACTTAACTAGGACACATCATTCACATTTTTGCATATACTTAAATCAATAATTCTTCCCTCTCCACCTCCCCAAAGAAACCCAACCTTTTGTTACAGTGTTGCTTTATAATCCTGTGCTGATGCTTAACTTTAAATTCTCTGAGTATTTATTTTGTGGTAGAAAAAAACTGGCGGAAACTAATCATTGAGCTATCTAAAACTTTTTAATATTTGTAAAAGGATAGACAGGTTAGGTATTTTGATTCCAGTACTATTAAATCCAAAAAGTTGGAAGTATACATAGATTTGGGGAAAAAGTAAATCAAGCATAATATTTGTTACAGTCTCTAAGTAATCTATTTTCCTTTCATCAGGGCATGGATGATTTGCAAGTCAGATCAGCTGCTACAGATATATTTTCTTATCTAGTAGAGTTTAGTCCATCCATGGTCCGAGAGTTTGTAATGCAAGAAGCCCAGCAGAGTGACGATGTAAGTAATAATGTTTTGGTTCTATGTGAATTACCTATAGAATAATGTTTGAAAACTATTGAGAGAAAATGATGCTCATTATTTTAATCTTTTATGAAGCAAAATAATAAATTTTTAATCATCTATGACTATTATTCTCATGCACTTCCTGAAAAGAGTCTTAGACTCCTTGTAGGGATTCGCTGCACCACATTTGTGCCAATTGATTTGCATTGTATTCAATTGGCAATTGGATTTACTGTTTTTAAAAAAAAGCATATTCAAATTAGTATTAAGATTGAAATAAATGATTGTCATAGAATCAAATTCTTACATGCTAGTCTTAAAAATTTTTTCAAGTACTAATGAAATATAATTTTAAGCTTCATAGGTCAGGCACTTACTGAGTATAACTAATAAGTTACTTTCACTATATTCAAATGTGTATTTTCTTTTTAGTGTGGATGAATGTTTAATAAGACCAATGTTGTGTTTTCCCATTACAGAAATATTTACACATTTCCTTTAAAATATTTTTAAGACAATATGATGTAATATTAAGTACTCTTTCTTATATTAGTGTTAAGTAGAAAAATAACTAAAATATACTTATGTCCCTTCATTTTTTAAATATATTTTTTTACTGGTTTCAAAAAGGAAGAGAGATAGGGAGATACTGAGATAGAAATATCAGTGATGAGAGAGAATCATTGATCAGCGTATTCCCCCCACTGGGGACTGAGCCTGCAACCTGGGCATGTGCCCTGACCCAGAATCGAACCTTGACCTCCTGATTCATGGGTGGATGCTCAACCATGTAGACCAGGCTAATAATCTCCCTTCTTAATGGTTTTGAATCCCGGTATTAATTTGATCCTTATATTATTGAATTAAACTGTAGTTGTTCTATATGTTTTGTGCTTAATCTCTTAACTTGTATTTTTATGTCTGTCTTTCATAGATATTTCCAGTGTTTTTTTTAAAGCAATTTTATTTATAATCTGTTTGGGCTAATGGTATAGTTTAGGCAGTAGAAAAGAAATAAAAGACATATTTTGTGTTAGTATTTTAAGGTTTGTTTTTTTCCCCCTACTAGTGCTAATCTGACTTTTAAAGAAATAAATATCTAGTTTATCTCACTGTTGCCATTACTATCTTAGTGCCATCCTTTACAAAAGGTAATACTTTGAAGTTAATGCTCAGTATTACATCCTTAGTGATGAGTACAATTAAAGGTATTTATTATAAAATCTCTCAGGCCATGAGAAGAATAAGCAACTAATTCTAAGAATTCTTATTTAAATATATATATCTATATATATAGAGAGAGAGATATAGATATATATAGATAGATTTTTTTTTTTATTGATTTTTTTTACAGAGAGGAAGGGAGAGAGATAGATAGAAACGTCGATGAGAGAGTAACATCGACCAGCTGCCTCTTGCACACCCCCTACCAGGGACGTGCCCACAACCAATGTACATGCCCTTAACCAGAATCGAACCCGGGACCTTTCAGTCCATAGACTGACGCTCTACCACTGAGCCAAACCGGCTTCGGCTAATTCTAAGAATTCTTAACTTTCTGTTTTTATTAGAACCATTTTATTCTATGGCTTTTTTTTTTTTTTTTTTTTTTTCATTACGGTTTGCATTCAGTATTATTTGTATTAGTTTCACGTGTGCAATATAGTGGCTAGACAATTATGTACTTCCCAAGGTGTTCCCCCAATATTTTCAGTACTCACCTAGTGTAGTTATTACAATATCATTTTTTAAATATGTTTTTATTGCTTTTAGATAGAGAGGAAGGGAGAGGGAGAGAGAGAGAGAAACATCTATGAGAGAGACATCTATCAGCTGCCTCCTGCATATCTCCTACTGTGAATGGAGCAGCAATCTGGGTATGTGTCCTGACTGGAAATCAAACCCAAGACTTCTTGGTCCGTGGGATGATGCTCAATCCACTGAGCCATACCAGCAGGGCAACAATATTATTGACTATATTCCCTATGCTGTACTTGACTATTTTGTAACTAGCAATTTGTACTTCTTAATCCCTTCATCTTTTTCACCCAGTCTCCCAACTACCCTCTGGCAACCATCAGTCTATTTTCTCTATGAGTTTGTTTAAATTTTGTTTGTTCATTTATTTTGTAGAACTATTTTCTTGTTTACATTTAATTGATGCATGAGACTTATAGAAACCCTTACTGATTTTTTAAAATATATTTTATTGATTTATTTTTTAGAGAGAGGAAGGGAAAGGGATAGAGAGTTAGAAACATCGATCAGCTGCCTCCTGCACACCCCCCACTGGGGATGTACCCACAACCAAGATACATGCCCTTGACCAGAATCAAACCTGGGACCCTTCAGTCTGCAGGCCGATGCTCCATCCTCTGAGCCAAACCGGTTAGGGCTGTTACTAATTTTTAACTATAAAAAGTCTCTTTCTCAATTTTTTTTTTCTAATCATAGTCTTTAAGGCCTTTCATTTCCCTGAATTTTATGATATCTAGTAATTTTATAATTTAAAAATCTTGTTGCCTCAAAATAATTCTTATCACACAAGAGTATAAATTATTTACATATACACACACACACACACACACACACACACACCCCGTATTTTCCGGCGTATAGGACGACTTTTGAAACGAAAAAAAGTCAACCGAAAATCGGGGGCAAAAGACTAAAATTGCACAAAAATTACCTGCAGATCTTGACGGCAAAGTAAGTCTTTTCTTTGAAGTGGGGGGTAGTCTTATACAGCGAATATAGGCCTAAACCTATGTTTTAACTGTAAAATTAGGGGGTCGTCTTCTACTCCGGAAAATACTGTGTGTGTGTATATATATCCCTCCCTCCCCTCAAAAGTAAAGGAGCCTACATGCTGAATTCTATATTGGGTTGGCTGCAACCTTTAAAAAGAAAGAAGAAATAAGTTACTTGTACATTCAGTGGAGTGTTGATATTTTGATGTTCTTTTAAATGCACAGCATTCAAACTCAAGTTCTTCCTGATATGATGGAGCAGATTTGTTTTCAGGATCACAATATTAACATATATGTTTGAGACACTAGGAAATAATAACATTTTTTATTGTAGTCATTTCTGTCCAAGCTGTAAGGGTGGATTTAGCAGTAACTGCTGTCTTCTCTTTGTTATGCCACAGATTTCACATTTTTATGCTAATGGCCTTTGAAACATCCAGTAAAACTTATTTTAGAATCTGACTGAATAAGTAATACAGCTATTACTGAACTGCTTATTTTGGCAAGTATTTTCAGTGTATTTCTCACTTAGGAATAAATATATGTTAATTTTTTTAGATATGACAATAGCATTGGGATTTTTTTATTTATTTTAAGTATAGTTGTTGTGTTTCTTTTTAAGATTCCTTATTTTTATTTTTTAAAGGATTCTTAAAACACTTTTTAAATATTTTATGCTGAAGTATTTATAAAATTATATATATGGAATTTGCTTCAAAATAATTTTGGAGGGTGAAATTTGCCATAATAAAAACTTTTTAAAAATATATAAATTAATCTCCATGAGTTGGTTGACTGTTTTTTGTATTGAACATATCACATTTTATTTCCTAAAGTTGCATCAGTTTTTTTAACCTTTTATTCAGAAGTAATTTTAAATTTGTACCAAAGTGATAATAGTACAAAGAACTCCCATATACATTTCCCTCAGACCCCCTAGTTATTAACATTTTGTCTCCTATTTATCATTCTTTTTTTTTGCTCATATTTATATATACACATTTACATATATAATTATTTTTGTCTGAACCATTGAAGAATAAGGTACAAAAATGATGGCATGATATCCCTTTATCCCTGTTTACTTTATTGTCTATCTACTAAAAACTCTGCATACATAACCACACTATAATGATCAAAATCAAGCATTTAACATTTTTACTTTACTTAACTGCAGCCCTAATTTCAGACTTTGCCAGTTGTCCCAGTAATATCCTTTTAGCCTAGACTAAAAAAAGTTTCTGGTCTAGTGTTCAACAATTTGGATTTGTCCTGATTCACTTTAGGTTATGTCTTTGTCTCAGGAATAGTACAGAACTAACATTTCATTCAGTGCATCATATCAAGAAAATCCCCCAATTTTACAAAGAGTTTTAGTTCTGTTTTGTCTGTAGGCTGTTTTGCTATTCCACGAATGTGAAGAATTGAACCATTAAGTTCTTCTAATTTGAGAAACTATTGTTTCTTTTACTAACATGTGAGAATGGAATGAAAGAACTATTGGTTCTATAATATGTGTGGCCTCTCTGTAAAAAAATCAATAAAAACATATTTTAAAGTGTTCTCTAAAATAGATATTGATGCCCCAGCATTGCAATAAATTCATTGCACTTACTCTGTAATGGTATGTATGTATGTAAATATGTATGTATGTATGTATGTATGTATGTATGTATGTATTTTCCTTACCTGAAGACATATATATTTTTTATTTTTGGAGAAAGAAACATTGATATGAGAGAGAAACATCAGTGTGAGAGAAAAACATTGATTGGCTGTCTCCTATACACATCCCCTCTGAGGATTGAACCCAAACCTTGATGTATACCTTGAACAGAAATTGAACACACAGTCTTTTGGTGTACAGAACTGGCTACAGCTAAATGAGCTCCCCAAACATGGCTGTAAATTTTTAGATTAAATTATCATTTGACATCGGAAGGAATTTTCTGGTAGTTTGTCTTATCATCTTCATTATTTTGCTGCAATTGCTTGAGCATGAGTTTTCTAGCCTGAGTAATGACAAAGTTGGATAAGCAGATTAAGGAAAATTGGATTTATGCTTGTGTTTTACTGTCAGTAAAGAACTCTAGTAGATAATTAGCATTGCTAGCTTGGAATTTTGACAGAGTGGTCTCAACTTCGATGATCGTCTGTTCCAGCTCCCTTGTTATGCCATTAGAGAAACAGGCCTGTAAGAATTAATAGGGCCACTTGGATAGCTGGTTATTGGCAGTACTGCATTTAGAGGCTGGGTCTTTTGATTTAGCTATTCATTCAGTTCACCAGGCTTACTCTATTGTGTTAATTAAGAAATGAAACATGCCTTACAGAATCCAGGTGAGAGGTTATAGCACCTTGGTGGAACACAGAAATGAGAAAAAATGCATTGAAAGGGTAATAACAGTTTCACTTTACCCATGTCCTTCCTTCCCCAAGACAACACAGAACAATGCTGAGAAAGATCCCCTGGACAAATGAATTCCCCCTGAGGGAAATAAAAAAAGAAAAGTGAGGGTCTGACATCCCCAGCCTTTCAGGGTGCTACCAAGAGAATCACTCTTTTCATACCTCAGCCGGAACACTGAGGGAATCACCTCACAATAGCTCAGAACAAAGACCACTGCACAGGTCTCAATAGGTCTTAGTACCCCAGTAACAGACCCCACCTGCTGGCCCAGCCAGAACCTCTGGCCAGGCTGACTGGTGAAGGGCTTTCTTTGCCAAAGCTGGTCTGTAAAGACTGGGCAAGCTATCTGCTTCTTAAGATGTGCAGACACCAATGCAAAACTACAAAGATCATGGAGAATCAGGGGAATTTGATACCACCAAAGAAACAAAAAAACGGAGAACTACAGCATACGGAATATAGTCAGTAATATAATAACTACGTACCGTGCCAGATGCATACTAGAATTATTGGGGTCATCACTTCGTAAATTATATGAGTGTCTAACCACTATGCTGTGCACCTGAAACTCTTATAAAATAGTATTAAATGTCAACTATAATTGATAAGTGACATTTAAAGAATTAAAGATAAATACAAAAGTAAATTTGGGGGGAAATGGAGAACTTTGAACTACCTAACAAGGAATTTTAAAATAATTAAAGAAGAAGCTCAGTGAGCTACAAGAAGACAATTAGATAACTAAATGAAATCAAGAAAACAATAAATACATAAACAAAATGAATTCAACAAAGATATAGAAAAGAACCAAAGGAAATCCTGGAGCTGAAAAATACAATGACTGAACTGAAAAAGATCATTAAATAGCTTCTTCAACAGACTCGATCAAGCAATAGAAAAAAAAAAAATCAGAGAATTTAAGAATAAAAATTTTTTAAAAATGAAGAAAGCCTGTATGAATTAATGGAACACCATAAAGTAAAACTATACGGGATAGGCAAAAGTAGGTTTACAGTTGTAATACAAAAAAATAATACAATTAAAAGTAATTTTGTTTTGTAATTCCTCTTTGAAGAAATTTCATTCTGTCTCTGTTGCCATGATATAATTTATTTACTAGTGATCAAATTTGGAAACATGGTAGAGGGTAGGGTTCTAATATTTTTTAAAGTATATTGTTTACTGATTTCAGAGAGAAAGGGAAAAGGAGAGAGATAGAAACATCAGTGATGAAAGAGAATCATTGATTGACTGCCTCCTGTACACCCCCTTTTGGGGATCAAGCTCGACACCCCCTGCATGTGCCGTGACCTGGACTTTAACCAGTGACCTAGTTCATGTGTCGATGCTCAACCGCTGAGCCACACCACTCGGGCTAGGGTTCCAGTTTTAAGAAGTTAAGTTGCTTTGACATGGTTTTGTTGGTTCTTTATTGCATTGAGTTTATAAATAAACAGTTCACAGGAATATATTATTTTTGGCTAAAAGTATATAGTTTGGACAGGGCTAGCAAAACAAAATAGTAACAAAGACTGCTTTATACTGAAGTTTTCCAGAATTCTCCCAATATAAGACATTTGATTCATTCCATGCAGTTCCTTTATTTCATCATCTTCAGTTACTACCGTTCTTCCCCCAATAATAAACATTTTTAAATCCACCAAGTTGATGTCAGAACTTTTTGACATGATAAGTTTGTATCATAATTTAATGTTTAAGATTCCTACTTTAAAGATATAAGCAGAAGCTGCTTTATAGCTGCAAGCTGCTTGGTAGCTCTGTATGTTAAGGCCCAAGAGCATGTTGCTAACATAACAATAAATCTAGTTGATATTCGGTCATTATATAACACGTGCATCCACTCACCTGTGGAGAATTGTGTACTGGTTTATTCATATATTCTCATTCTCTCTCTCTCTCTCTCTCTCTCTCTCTCTCTCTCTCTCTCTCTCTCTCTCTCTCTCTTTCTCTTTCTCTTTCTCTTTCTCTTTCTCTTTCTCTCTTCCCTAGAAATGATTTTCTAGTTAGAAGCTGAGATAAATTGTGTTTGGGAGTGGAGAAGATATCACATGTGTAATCTTACTTGTTTCCTCAGCTTCTAAATTCATACCTGACACTGAAACCTAGAATGAGAATCTGTTAGAACCTCCAGTGAACTAGAATCACTGATAAATGACTTTATTTTCCACTTCCTATATTAATGGTATCATAAGGTATAATATGCTTATTGTAAGGTGTAATATATATATGAATTTTTTTCTCTAGTGTGCTTAAATAGAACTTTAAAAAACATCATTAGGAAGAAAAGAGCTTAAATAAGTTATACATTCTTTGGAGGGTATTTCCTATGTGATTCTGATTTTGTTCTTTCAACTGGTATATTTGTCGTATTTCCAAACCAGGTCTAATGGAAACTTTTTTCTTTCAGGATATCCTTCTCATCAACGTAGTAATTGAACAAATGATCTGTGATACTGATCCTGAGCTAGGAGGTGCTGTTCAGTTAATGGGGCTTCTTCGTACTCTGATTGATCCAGAGAACATGCTGGCTACCACTAATGTAAGGAATTATTCTGAGATTATTATTTTTTTTAAGTTTTGATCTAATCAGCTGTAGGTGTTTTTTAAATGTAATTATAGATTAGAAATTTTGAAAATGTGTACAATATTGAAAAACAATAAATAGTTTCGTATTTGTATACTTGGTATTCAAGTAGCAATGGTATTCCTGTAGCAGTTCACTTGGCAAAATACAATCTTGTAATGTAGAAAATCTTAGTGAGATATTAGCATTTCGGTTTATGACCCTTGATCACTGTACGTTAACTTCTTAAAAATTAATATACAACAATGTGAATATGCTTAACATTAGTGAACTATAAATGTAAAGATGGTTAAATGGTAAGTTTTGTTGGTTTTTTATTATAATAAAAAAGGAAAAAATATGCTACATCATATACTGAATGCATGTACACAAACCTAAATAGTATAGCCTACTACACACCTAGGCTATTTGGAATATCGCCATTGTATATGTTTTTGTCATTGACAAAACTGTCATTATGTAATATATAAATAAAACATTAAAAATATATCCTCTTGCCGGGACTGGTTTGGCTCAGTGGATAGAGCGTCGGCCTGCGGACTGAAAGGTCCCGGGTTCAATTCGGTCAAGGGCATGTACCTTGGTTGTGGGCACATCCCCAGTGGGGAGTGTGCAAGAGGCAGTTGGTCGATGTTTCTCTCTCATCGACGTTTTTAACTCTCTCCCTCTCAATTCCTCTGTGTGTAAAATCAATAATATATACATATATATATATATCCTCTATTATTTAAATAATTATACTTATAAAAGTACTTACAATTGATATAAGCTATACCATGAATTGTTTATTTAATCATTCCTTCATTTTTTTTTTTTATTTTTTTTTTTTTAAAGAAAGCAATGTGTCCTGAATGGTCTCAACTGCATAGTAAAAAATTCCAATAAAAATAGAAAGACTTAAGGAACTATACCAAAATATTAATAGTAATTATCTCAAACTAATGGGGTATTTTTTCTTTATAAAATTTCCTCAAATTTAGAAAACATGTGTATTACTTTTATATTACATACAAGTATATTGGGCCAGTTGAATTAGAAAGTAGTAGCCCACACAATAAAAAATCATTATTTTCCAAATTTCCAAAAACATTTTAAAGATAGATCTAAATTCTGTTCTGTTTATTGTGGCTTGATAAATTGATTTGGTGGATTTCCAAATTTGGATACATTGTGAAATAGGGTTATCAACTTTTAAATAGTTAAGTTGCTCTTATATTGCTTGATAGATTCTTCATTGCATTTCAGATCATAGCATATTTGAAAAAAATTATTCTAATTTCCTAAGAACAAATGTTTTTAATACTATCTGATCTTTTTCTTGCTTTCATTTTCATTTGAATATGAAATAGATTTGATTTTTTAATTCTGCAGAAGTAAGATTAAGGTGTATATAACTAATTTTTTGGTTCTTTCACAGTATCTTAAAAGTGTCTATTGTTTGTGTATGGCCCATACTGCTAATTCTTTTTTTTTTCACACTGCTAATTCTTAAAGATATGTTATTAATAACGTATTTTTTAAATTCTTTGTTTCAGAAAACTGAAAAGAGTGAATTTCTAAATTTCTTCTACAACCATTGTATGCATGTCCTCACAGCACCACTTTTGACCAATACTTCAGAAGACAGATATGAAAAGGGTAGGGTATCTTATCTGATTATGATTTCTGTTTTTAAAGAGTGAAATAAGTATTATAAGTGACAAGCTGTTTACTTAGTTCTTTATTTGGTGTAGTTTATATATTCACAAATCATCAGCTATAATTTTTGGCTTCAGTTTATTAAAATGGAGTGATAACCAGAGATTTTTTTTAATTAAATCTATATTGTTGAAAGTATTACACATATCCCCTTTTTCCCCCCATTGACCCATCTAAAGTTATTTTTTAAGCAGTCTGAGCACAAAACCTGCTATGGTTTTATATATTTCCCATTAATTATTCATAGTTGTGTACATCTCATTTGGCAACAATTTTTATTGATTTCTATGTATTTCTATATTCTGTAAATCTATTGTATTTAATCAGTTTGCAATATTTAAATAATATAATTATACTACCAAATATAAGTAGCATAAACAAAATCATTAATTCTTATCAGAATATAACTCGATTTATGAAATAAGATATGTGAAAGATATATTCTCTTAGACTGTTAGTTAATTTAAGTCAGTTAAGAGAATGTTTACTAAACTAATAAAGTTGTAGAAGAGGCACACCCACATAATATCAATTCTATTTCTTGAGTACGGTATATATCCTAGGGAACATTTTTGCATATGCATGACAGATACAAGAGTTCTGTTGCTTTGTTCATGGTAGGAAAATTAAAATGTGGTATATGTATATATTGACAGTTAAAGTAATTGAATATATATATTGATCTGTCATCTGATTAGTTCTCAAAAACGTAAAGTCGAATGGGTAAAAATTGCAGAATGGTTCCATTTACATAAATTAAAATAAATACCCTTTAACATTCAATTTAAAATAAAACATTTCCAGCATAGAGAAATATTTAGATAATAGCTTGACAGACATCCATATACATCCTATTGGCATTTCACTCCACCTACCAATATCCCTGAAGGAATGCTAAATTTGGAGTTTATCACCACTATGCTCATTTATGTTATTAAGACATGTATAATGTATTACTTCTCATGTTTTCAAACTTGATATGCATTGATTTCTATTGTGTATATTCTGCAATTTTTTTCTTTTTACCCATTGCTTTTTGTTTTTTAATCCTCACTGGAGTATATTTTTGGAAGGAGCGGGGAGAGAGAAAAATCAATCAGTAGCCTTTTATTGATTTCAGAGAGGAAAGAAGAAAGAGAGAGATAGAAACATTGATGATGAGAAAGAATCATTGATCAGCTGCCCCTGCATGCCCCACACTGAGGATCAAGATCGCAACCTGGGTATGAGCCCTGACTGGGAATCGAATTGTGACCTCCTGGTTCATAGGTTGACACTCAACCACTGATCCTTGCTGGCTGAGTCCGATCAATTCTCTTTAATTATTGATGTTTCTATATCTCTCTCTCCCTTTCCCTTCTCTCTGAAATCAATAAAAAACATTTTTTTTAAATTCAAAGCATAAATCATCTATTATTAACATTTGTGTTATTATAGAACTTAAGAAATATCTATATGGATAGACATTCAGATTGTTGGAGGATGGCTGAGAAAAGATAAAAGCTGGCATATCAGTCTTATCTCTGGTTGTAATCTCATTTTTTGAGAACATTTATAATTGTCTTTCAATATCTTCTTGTGTTTAACAAGTTCTATAAAAAACTGCAGATAGAGGTATCTAATTTGACTGAATATAATAACAACTAATTCTTAGTGGTTATTATGTAGGTAAAGGAGATTATGTGCTTTACATATTATAGTGCCAGGGAAGTGTGAGATATTATTACTGAAGTAACTGATTTAAAAAATTTTTTTATTAGATAATATAGTTGGACCTAACAAAAACAGCATGATTTGTCCCGGTAAGTATATGTTTTTCTTTTATGAATTAATGCAAATAGTAAAATTTTTCCTCTTCAGAGTATAATATACTTGTACAAAGCTAATAAGAAAGGCATATGTTCAACAAAAACTGAATCCAAAAGACACATTTTTTCTTTATTACAAAGAAAATATTCCACTTTCTCCAATATTAAGAAAACGGAAAACCATTTGGAATTAGGTTTTTGTTTGTTTTTGTAATTTAGAACTTGTTTTTTGATATTTTTTGAGAAGACGTCTGGACATTGGAGATTTAGTTTGTGGTTATTTTTGAAATCTAGTAAACTAAGACCAATTAGTGAGGAATTAGTATTTATAAGAGCCTTATGTTTAAAATTTATTTATCAATCTGAGTGGAAACCCTTGCTTTTACTTGTAACACACATACCAGGCTTGGGCCTGGTAGAATAGAAAATAGCTTGTGTACCCAGCATCCTGTCTTTTCTATGTACCAGGTGCATCAAAACTGTAGAAAAACCAGTTTCAAAGGAAACAGTTCAGATATTGGATGAGTAATTTTAATTAATATTGTAGATCATTGTCACAAAATCTTTTATAAGTAAAATTTGGTAATTGAGAAATTAAAATTGTTTAATTGTAAGGGTACTAATTCAATTGTTGGTTGTTATACAGATTGGTCCAGAGCAAGTAAGACTCTACTTGATTTAAAGTAGAAAAGATCTTTGAAATACTGGAATTGTATTTTGTATATTTAATGGTCATTCTGTTATTTAAAAGAATATTAGTTTATTACTAAAAAAATAAAATAGTTGTACCAAGGTGATGTCAGTTATTTTTTTTCTATGAAATTAATGATTCCATAAATTGCTCACAGTTTAATATTTTTTTATCTAAAACTTTTATAATAGGTATAGGTAATTACCTATATAAGCTCTTCAATTATATTCAATTTTGATGCTCAGGAAGCAGTTTGAAATCATTCCATGAATGTATAAACCAAAGCCTCTTAAAAATAAAGCTAGTATATTTCAGTAGGCCTCTCATGGGTATTATGGTTTGATGTTAAAAAGTGTTTTTAAAAAAAAAAAAAACCTGATGTAACATTTTTCACTTGATATTCAAGTAGCCAAAACTGTCCTTTCCTTAAAGATATTTTTAAAGAAAGCATATTAATTTTTCTTGGGAAATTTGCATTGCACTATTTTAGGCAAAAAGTTCGAGGTACATTCTCTTTTACTGTGGACCCTTTTATAGATTTATTAATATTTACTACAGTAGTATGTATTAAAGAAACATTATCAATAAAAATCTCAGTTCATTGAGGGTTTTATTATCATGTTTGTAAATTTTTATTGAGGGTTTTTTCCCTCTTACCATTATTAAATATTTTATACAGAATTTGGTGTACATGACTGGCTCTTAATCTCTTATTTGCTAATTACTAGAAAAGTATATAGTAATTAGTAGGTAAAATTGACAATGCTTCTGGAGAGTCTGCCTAATGAAAAAGTAAAAATCTATAGCTTTTTTAATTGATATAAAAATGAGAAGGAAATATAATTTTACTTTTGTTCTAAAATATAGGATATGAGCTTTATTCTTTTTATTGAGATGTATTGTAATATTTGATTTTCATGTGATGACTTCTCTTTGTAGATAATTATCAAACAGCACAGCTGCTTGCTTTAATTTTAGAGCTACTCACATTTTGTGTGGAACATCACACATATCACATAAAAAACTATATTATGAACAAGGACTTGCTAAGAAGAGTCTTGGTCTTGATGAATTCAAAGCACACTTTCCTGGCATTGTGTAAGTAACAATTTAAGTGAACGGTCTAGTAAAATGTTTTAAGGAACAATATTTTTAATAGAGATAAAAGCCAAAATTACCCATGTAAATTTATTTTTTAGCAGAATATTTGCTATTAAGATGATTATGAGAAATACTGATCTTGTATTTAATGGATAACAGGAATAGGTCATAGTGCTTCCCCACCCACATATATTTGCTCACATTTAGATTCAATTAGCTTATTAATTGGGATCCCTGTGCAAAGATAGTATTTTACTAATAGAATTAGTCCTGCTATCTTTTATATCTGCTTCATCAAATTGTCATTTAGTAGGGATTCTATATTTTTGAAATATGGGTCTTGATATATTTTTGTTGTGTAACTCAGGTTATTTATTGAACTTGTAAAATAGTTGCAACGATGTTGATTTTTGGAAAACTAAATTTTTCTTTCTTCTTCATAATTTCACTTGCAAATAGAAATAAAGAAGCTTTCTTCTCCTACCAAGTAAAAAGAGTTATATGGGTATTTTCTGAGCATAAAAATTATAGTTTAAACATAAGCATTAACTTAATGTATAGAGAAAGATTAATCCGCCTAATACTTCTTTTATTTTTAAGGCCTTTTATTTTTAAGGTATTTTTAATACCTGTACTGTTAACTACCTGTACTGTTTATTTTCCATATTTGTACAAATTTACATAAACATATTCACACACGGGGTTTTTTATTTTCTTTTTACAAAAACAGGCCTATCTTAACACACTTATAAGTCCCTTAATAATACTGTAAGAAAGTGGATATGGTGTGAACCAATTTTTGTTTCCTTACCACAGTTGAGTAATATTTCTTAGGGTGGTTCTTCCACATTTAATTTATCTTTCTCTAATACATGAATTGCAAAATTTTAGAGTATTTTGCCACTCCCAACACGGTAGTAAATCTTTTATGTACTAGTTTATTTTTTCCATAGGATAGATTCCCAATAATGGGGTTGCCAAGACAAAATGTTTATATATTTTAATATGTCCTTTTAAATTTTAATTTAACATATAGCTTCTAGATTTCTTTCCCAAAGAATAAAGCACTTGACATTCTTCTAGCACTTGAAGTTACTGTGTTTTTTTTGTGTTTTTTTTGTTTTATATTTTTATTGATTTTTTACAGAGAGGAAATGAGAGGGAGAGAGTTCGAAACATTGGTGAGAGAGAATCGTCGATCAGCTGCCTCTTGCATACCCCCTACTGGGGATGTGCCTGCAACCAAGGTACATGCCCTTGATGGGAATCGAACCTGGGACCTTTCAGTCCGCAGGCCAACGCTCTGTCCACTGAGCCAAACCGGTTTCGGCATTACTGTTTTGTTTTTTTTAAATGTTATCAAACTAATGATGGAAAATGTGGTATTCCCTTTGTGTGTTAATTTACAATTTTTTTGACAAAATTTTTTATGTTTTAGTGCTTTTGTATATTATCTGTTATACCCCCACTGTTCTGAGTATTACAAACATTTGTGTTTTGAGGGTTTTGTGTGTTTTTTAATATCTTTACTATGGACCTACCTGCCTGGGTAGTTTATCTTCCATTAGCCAATTATTGGGGTTGTTTTTATTATTATTAGCTCTGGCTACTAATTTGTACAGGTTTTGAATGATCTTTCCCTATTTTTTTCAAAGCCAAATCATTTTTAGTGCACAATTTTACTTTTTATTCTAGAAGACTATATACATTATTTTTCTTAAAAATCCTTGTATAATTAATATTAGTAAGACCATTGACTTGTTCCCTGTCTTATTTTTAATTAGGTGCTCTTCGTTTTATGCGGCGGATAATTGGCCTTAAAGATGAATTTTATAATCGTTACATCACAAAGGGAAATCTTTTTGAGCCAGTTATAAATGCTCTTCTGGATAATGGAACTCGGTACAATTTGTTAAATTCAGCTGTTATTGAGTTATTTGAATTTATAAGAGTGGTAAGTTTATATTAAAAATTTCTTAGTAAAGTAGAATAATTATATATTTAGTGACGTTAATATTTTTAAACTGTAAAATTTAGCATAGTCTTTGAAGCCATATTTATTCTATAATCTTAGTTCCATTTTTATTTGCCAAGTGTTTCAGGATGACATTTGGCATATGTGGACATTTTAGTCAAGCATGCCATTCATGTGATCTCTTCGGTCAATGGTAGGGATAGTGATAAAAATGAACAGAAAGATTGAAAATAACTTATTTGTTAGACACTCATATGGATATTATGAGTTTTAAGTTGGAGTTTAAAAATAGGATATTATGGAGTTTTAAGTTGAAGAGATCAGGGAGTTAGATGGATTACTCCAACTGCCTTATTTTACAGATGAGGGACTTGAGATGCCCAAAGTAATTAACTGATCTATTCAAGAGCATCCATTTAGTTAGGAGAACAGTCAGGGTTTGAAGTTATGTTACAACTCAATTTCAGACAACAAAAGATTTGTGATACCAACAGGGAAAGTGGCCACATGGTTAGAAAGAACTTGGAAAAAAAAAAAAAAGTTAAAGCTAGAAATTCATTTTCTAGTTTTGTTGCTGATGAATCAGATTTCTATTGATGACATGCGATTTTCACATGGTGATTATTTGAGCAACTGGATTATTTTTCTAATATTGGTCACTTGCTAAGAAGAGTATGATACTCAAAAGGATGAAGAGGATAGAACTATCTTTAGTCTTTAGAAAAGAGGAAATATTGGGTTTTTTGTTTTGTTAATTTTCTAAAAATATTGTTTAACTATTAGCACAAACTCACCAAGTATCTGAACCCAGCTTCACAGTACACTTTCTAATGAATCAAATTAACTTTTACACATTTTTCCTTTGAAATTTTTAATGAGATACTAATAAATCATAGGGTTGACATACCCATTCCTATTCCTGTGGTTGATTTTGTCTTTCTAAAAATACAAATGGTTGATAAATGTACATTGAATCCTAAAAAATCCTTTATGCAATCAGATTATGGTAGATCATTTAAAGAAGTGGCCTTGTATTTCTTGTTATAGTATTAATGTCCTGAATCACAACTTTAATTATTTTAAGTAATGAGCCTGCTTTGTACCCATTCATTGCAATGATCATTTAGAAAGGTTCATTTGGAACTTAGAAATTGTCGCTACCAGTTTATTTCACGTATATTATACCATTGGAAGACTGGGAATAAATATTAGTATTCAATTATATTTTACCTAAATTATGTGTATAATTTAGGTAAGGCTTATCAATTTTGATAGATAGGATATAATGTTAAATGAGAAGTCCTTAAGTAATACCTAACATTTATTGAAAATGTAATTTCAAAATTTGCTCTTGATCAGGCCATTCAACTTCTCTCAGAGCCTCAACTTTTCTTTTCTGTATAATCAGTATGATAGAGCTTATTACGTGAAAGTGCTTTTTAAATTGCATAAATTAAACCCATTTACTTTTGAAATGTTCTTTATAATCCCCCAGAAGGGCTCCAGTGAATTGCTTCTCCTTTTTTCCAAGTTTTCTGTGGAGTCCTGGCTCATGTATAAAGAAACTAGAACATTTATTTTTAGAAGGTGATTTTGAAAAATCTTTTTTGATCAGTTTTGGAATTATTTTTAAAATTTTTAAGTCTTTCTCATAACAAGCATTGTATTATATTTGAAATCTAAATTTTGTGCTTATACAGGAAGATATCAAGTCTCTTACTTCACATATAGTTGAAAATTTTTATAAAGCACTTGAATCGATTGAATATGTTCAGACATTCAAAGGATTGAAGACTAAATATGAGCAAGAAAAAGACAGACAAAATCAGAAACTGAACAGGTATTGTTTAAGTATATTGCATTTATAGCATATCAATTTATGTCCAAAATCATATATAGTTGGATTTGAAATTTACCCAGGAATTTTCGTTCCATCATTAGATAGGACAGGATTATATGTAGGAGAGTAGATATCCTCCCTATCTCAAAATTTTTATATGAAAAATTATTGCTTCATATTATAACTCAAGATAAATTTTAATTAATATTAACCAACTAAAGTTATTTCAGCTCTTCTAGATTATACATAATTATTATCAGTTTTAATCATATGAATTTTGTCATTCTCAATATTTATGGTATGTTTCTTACAGTGTACCATCTATATTGCGTAGTAACAGATTTCGCAGAGATCCAAAAGCCTTGGAAGAGGATGAAGAAATGTGGTTTAATGAAGATGAAGAGGAGGAAGGAAAAGCAGTTGTGGCACCAGTGGAAAAATCTAAGCCAGAAGATGATTTTCCAGATAGCTATGAAAAATTTATGGAGACTAAGAAAGGTATTAAAATTTTGAATTTTTAAATAGTGCACCCTTCTTATAACACAGAAATTATTCATTTGCTTGTAAAAGTCAGTCCTTGTTTATAAAGCATAAAAGACAGTTTATGCTGAATCACAATTTTCAAATTATGCACTTTTTCTAAATTTGGGATTTTTTTTTTTATGGTTTTCTGAAGCTTGCCGTTTTATGACAGTCTTTATTTGCTATTTAGAAATTGCATTCCTTTCTTATGCTTTACCTTCTGTGAACAGTCTTGGCTTCTTTTCTATTCTGAATCTCCAATAACAACAGACACATACAGATCCATAGAAACTTTACAGAGCTCTCCACCTTTTACTGCCAAGGAAACTAAGCTTGAAGTCACTTTGCTCTTAAAAATTTAAAAACCATTATAAAAGTTTCTTTTTATTATTTTTTTATTGTGGTGACATTGGTTAATAAAATTATATAGCTATTAGGTGTACAGTTCTATAATACATCATCGGTATATTGCATTATGTGTTCCCCACCCCAAGTCAAGTCTCCTTCCATCACCATTTATCTTCTCTATACCCTCTTCTACTTCCCCCCATGCAGGTTTCATAAAGATATAATATCAAGAGAAATAAAAGTAAAATTTCCCATCTTTCCAGAGAATTTATCACTTTAATTCTCTGTCCTGAGAAATTGCCATTATTGGAGTACTATTCTGCATATGTCATCTAAATATTTAATAAAAATATATATCTTAAAAAGGAAAAAGCATTTTCTAGACTTTCTGTAAGTTTGTGATTTTGAATGTGAGATTTCTAAAGGTATTTCTTATTTGTTAGGTTTCACTGAGTTATTACATTTTCCCCTAAAATTTTCTCTCAGCCTCATTCATTCTCCACTCATTAATACCATGAGTTCCATTTATTTTAGGCTGCAGGGGCAAATAGCATATTAAAATGTCCTAAGGAATAGGCACCTTTTAGTAGCCAGATTCTTCTACCTTTACTCATAGGCACTGTGCTGAAAACTTGAAGTACTCTGTCCAGTTAAGAATCCTATATGATAAAAGCTAATATGCAAATTGTCCCCTCAACTGGGAGTTCAACGGGGAGGGGAATGGGGGGGAGAGAGGGTACCAGCCATTCACAGCTCCTCCCCCAACTGGTCGCACTCCCCTCTCAGCCCCCCCACACACATACCCTGATGGGGGGGCGGGGCTGGCCATCCAACCAACTGCAGCCCCTACCCCCAGCCAGCCTGTCCCAATCAGCCCCTATTGGGGTGGGGTGGCCAGATCCCACCCATGCATGAATTCTTGCACTGGGCCTCTAGTCATATAAGAAATGTAGTACCAACTAGGTGTTAAAGGATGGTAGACACCTATCTCATAAAAGAAACCCACACAGGAACCTGGTATTGTCAGGAAATAAAAGACTGATAGACGTGATCATATCATTTTCTTTAGGCATTTGAAATACTAACTTGTGGGAAAGGTTTTTAGGTATTTACAATAGAAGTATAGAGTCAGGGAGTGAGACGGAGTCAAGCAATTAATGAGTCTTCGGAAGTGTCCTGTATCCGGCTGTGTAGAATTCTAGAATAAGATGGCTGATTTGTTATATGATTCTTAAGGTCCTTTCTAATCCTGAGATGTCCAAGATTCCAGTTACTCTATATATATCATATTCTTCTACTCTTTTAGCTCTTACAAAGACAGTGCTTTCTAAGTTTTTAAATTACTGTTCTTTTGGGATGCTTTGACTTAGCAATATTTACTGATATAGGTTCAAAATTTTACTTTTGTTTTAGCAAAAGAAAGTGAAGACAAGGAAAACCTTCCGAAAAGGACATCTTCTGGAAGCTTCAAATTTACTTTCTCCCACTCGGCCAGTGCTGCCAATGGTGCCAACAGTACAAACAGTAAATCTGTGATGGCACAGGCACCACCAGCAAGTTCCAATGGGTCCTCTTCCAAGACGGCAACCTTGCCTTCATCAATAACAGCCACCAAGGTATGTGAACCTTCTCTGCACATAAATAAACTTTTATTTTTCTCATCTGTAAAAATTATGTTTAGTGAAGAAAATTTGGATAATAAAAATAATCTCAAAGAAAATGTTGCACAAGTCATCAGATAATATGACTGCTAACATGTCACTGATTTTTCTTTAGGTATGTGGGTTTCTTTATCTGACATATACTAGTAATTGAGATCTTTCTATAAACAATTTTCTATCCTGATTTTATGTCTTTACTGTAATAATTTGTTATTAAAACATTGTTGATGACTATAGAATTTCATTTTACTTATCTGCATCATCATATTTGTAAACATCCCCTCCCTCCAGTGATATTTCAGATGTCTGTTCAGAGTCTTGCCTTTTAAAAGTTAATGTTTTCTTGATATGAATGAATCTTTAGTTAAGAATATTACCTTTTGTCATTAGCATAGCAAATGTATTTCCTTTTGGTTACTTTTTTAAATTTTATATGAAACTTTTTTCTTTTACTTACATTTTTATTATATGTAACCATCCTTTTCCCCAAAATGGGAAAGAGAAATCAGCTTAAAATAAAAAGGCATAAACATAGGGCAACTGTTAGTAAAAGGGTAAAAAGACGTGGGAAATGCCATAGTAGAAAACCTAAAATGAGCTGAAATCCGTTTGGCTCAGTCGATAGAGTGCCTCAGGTTCGATTCCGGTCAAGGGCACGTACCTTGAGTGCGGGCACATCCCCAGTAGGGGGTGTGCAAGAGACAGCTGATCGATGTTTCTCTCTCATTGATGTTTCTAACTCTATATCTCCCTTCTTCTCTTTAAAATATCAATAAAATATATATATTTTTTATTTTCCAATAGGGAAGTTTGGTTGGTTTAGTGGATTATCCAGATGATGAAGAGGAAGATGAAGAAGAAGAAACATCTCCTAGGAAAAGACCTCGCCTTGGCTCATAAAATATTTACTGGGGACCTTCAACATGGGGTCTCCCGAAAATGCTGCAACTGTTAATGAGCTGAAAATCTGAATCAGAAAGCTTTCTCACTTGAACTTACAAAAACACAAGGAGTAGCAACAGACATTCGGTGTATCAGCAAGGAGAGTTTACTTCTGTAAAAAACAAAAAAACAAAAAAAACAAAAACAGGCTTCCCAGGAATTTGATTGCTTGCTAGTAATTAAGGGGTTTGCCTTATAGGCTGACCAGAAAAAAAAGGTTAATAACCAGAACCTTGGAGATAGCTTCTCAGCAAGGAAGCTCTCAGGTTTGGGGATGGTTTGTGGGGCGGGACAAGGTTGATAAAATAATATTAACACAGGGTTGCTCCAGGGGGGCATCGATGTAGAAACAATTATAAAACTTCATTTGAAAACCCAACTTGTATAATGGTGCTGGCCATGTTCTATTAATCAGTTGCCTCTTTTTAAAAGTTTTTATGGAAAACAGATTCAACTATCATTTAAAAAAATGAATCTGTTGAGACCATTTCTCTGAAGATTTAACATAAATTCAGCCTTTCCATGTAGTTGGAGGGAAGTACATGTTGAGTTTTCTACACCAGGAATTTTCGTATGTATTTTGATGAAAACAAGCTGGATTCAAAATGGACAGTTTTGTTAATGTAACTTGAAAATCAGCACTTTCTGAGATAACAGATGCCAAGAATCAGTACAATAGTATTCCAAAATGATTTTCTCCAGAAATGGAAGTAGATTGAATAAAAGGTTTTTAACTGCCTATCAGTACAGTCTTTTGTGGAAGACACTTTGATGTTACTTTCTGCTTTGTTAATAAATTGTCTCTCCAGAGCTGCAGGCAATTTTTAAAGTGTAATTTATAAAGACTGACATACAAAGAACAGTGCTGAATTAAGCAGAACTTAATTATCTAGAGACCATTTTGATCCAAGAAATTACTTCATTGTCAGAGTCAGTATGCAGCACATGAAGCTTTTCCATAAACAAGGGTGTAATATGAAAGCTGCTTTTTTTAAAAGAGTAAAAGCACATTCCATGTACGTAAATGATTTTAAAATAAGTTGAGGCAAACAGTTAAAGAGGTTTTTATTTTTAGAACAAGCAAGTTAACTGTAAATATTTTAATGTTAGTTTGCTCATTTATGATCTGAGATATGCTGAGGAAAAACATCCCCCGAACTACAATTTAATGCATTGGTTGGGGGGGAGGGGAGTAAAAATAGCAATTCCAGCTGCAATCTTTAGGTCACCTCTGTAATGTGTTATGGGTCCATTTTTCTTGGAATAGTTTAAACTAAAGCAGTTTTCCCTGTTTTGGAGATTTTGTAGTTAATTTTAATTTTGGCTATTGTTTGGAAAAGATGGGCTGTCTGTGTAGATATGAAGTATAGTTTTTCCATAAAACAGATGTTTATTTTGTATTAAAAATACCACTGTACTTGTTTTACACCATTTGTATACATGTGGTGATATTAATGCTGAACTGTACAATTCAGGAATTAAAATGTGACCCTGTAATTCTATGATTATTGTTTTTGTTTGATTTGTTGTAAATATGAGTTAACTCCATTTGAGATATGTCCATTTTACAATTATCTTTTGAAAGGTAATAAATTATCCATATTTATTATAAACCACTAGGTCGCACACCAATCTGAATGAAAAAATTCTAAACAAACAAGGGTCAGCTGCACTTTAAATATCACCCACCCTACTTATAGAAGGTGTGCCTCGGGCAAATATAGTCCAAGCACCAAATGCATCAATCACAACACAGGGCTATTACAAAACCCTTCTTTGATTATAGGTACACATAATGAAAAAGACCTTCCACCTCATAAGGCCAGTGACTTAAGATCATTTAAACCATGATCAGATTACCATATGAATATATTTTCTTTCAAACAAGTTTACACTTGACTTTTCCTGGTTAAGTAATTTTAAGTTCCAGTAGGAACTATTATCTTTATAGTTTATGAAGAGTTTAATTTTCCTTTCTGAAGAACTGCCATGAATCCTAGACATTTAAATCATCATTGTCATAAAAACCTTTTCCTATAGCACAAATGTGAATTTTTTTAATTACAGGTTAACACTTTCCTTGGTTCATATGCTCATCTACAATGATATAAGAACAAGACTTAAAACAGCTCTTAAAAGAATAACTGTTACGATACATGTTAGCTGCTCTTAAATGATTACCCTCAGGCAGATCAGGGTTTGTCTACCATTACTTTCACTCAGTGAAGCTAGCCAAAGCCCATTTTTGTATGCACAGCCTGAGGTTCTCTTAAAATTATTTCTGTAAATATGTATCAAAAGTATTTTTAATAAAAAAATTACATGAAACAGATTTCTGTGTTTTAATCACTAGTTCTTCCTCTTGTCCACTAAGTGATAAAAATGTAACAAATATAATTTAATACTGTTTTTCTCTGCAGGTTGAAGGTTTGTAACTAAACTAATTTTAGTATCCCTTTTTAAAATTTTATGACTATAGATTTAAAAAAATAAAATGGAGTTACAAGTCAAACCTCAGGAGTGGCCCATACGTAGCAAAAGGGGACACAACACGTTTCTGAAAGAAAAATCTCTTCTACACAGTCCCCAACTTATGGTGGTCCCCAACTTGTGGTTCAACTTTTACTTTATGATAGTGCAGAAGTGATAAGCATTCAGTATAAACCATACCTCAACTTTTGAATTTCAGTATTTTCCTGGGCTAGTACCAGGTAGGCATGATAGTCCCATGCTGTAGTACAGCAAGCTGCAGCTCCCAGTCAGCCATGCGATCATGAGGATAAGCAATACCATACTGTACTGTGTTGCCAGTGTTTTGTGGGTACTGTATGTTTTCACATCCCATAATGTTTATAAAACACCCATCTGGCCCTTGCCGGTTTGGCTCAGTGGATAGAGTATCGGCCTGCAAACCAAAGAGCCGATTCCGGTCAAGGGCATATACCTTGGTTGTAGGCTCCTCCCCTAGTCAGTGCTTGCAGCAGGCAACCAATGTATTTCTCTCATGGATGTTTCTCTGTCTTTCCCTCTCTTCCACTGTAAATAAAAGCACCTATCTGTGTCTCATGCTTCTGGTGAGAACAGAGGAAAGCAATACTCTTAACATGACACTTAATTGCCCAACTGTAGAATAAGTGTTCTGAACACATGTAAGGCAGGCAGGGGTAGGCTATGACATTCAGAAGGTTATATATATTGAACACATTTTCAACTTACCATATTTTCAACCGGGGCATTAGGACGTAACCCCGTTGTAAGTAAAGGAGCACCTGTATTCTGGTTATCTTTGAACAGACTATAGAAAACCATCAAGGATCCCTTCACATACGAAAGATCTACACTCATGACAGCATTCCCCCTCATGGGCTCAGTTGATTGTTCCCGATATCTGTTTTAATAGTAGTTTTTTTAGAAAGAGTATTTTTAAGACACACGCATACCACCTCATCTATTTTCCAAGTGCTATTTGCTCCTGCCTCAAATGCAAGATGCTAAACCCTATCTTACCACTGTCCAAGATAACTACTCTTTATGACTGAATTACCTTAAACCTAGTATACCCACAGCTACACTAACACCAGACTTAACCAATAGTATCCACATAGCAGCTACACATCTTTCTTAAAGTGAACATTATGACCATGTAACGTCTCTGCTGTAAAACTTTTCAGTGATCTCCAGTGCCATTAGATTAAAATCCTCACATTGTCCGCAAGGGCCTGCAAATCAGTATCCCACCTATCTCCAATTTCATGTTAACCCTCTCCAATCTATGTATACTCCAACCATTCCAACGGCTCCTTAGTATGTGCTTAATGACTTCCTGCTGCAGGACCTGAGTGGGTTTTTCCCACCCTTCTCCCTGCCTTCTTTCCAATCATCTTAAACATTGCTTTCTCAAGAAGGCATGGCAAGCCCTGCTTATACCAGTGCTTCTTCCTTCTAACACTTTTCTAACATTTTGCTCTCCAGGCCTTCTTCCCCAGCCCCATAAAGGCAGAGGCCCTGTGGATCTAGTTAACTACTGTACCCTTAGTACTTAACACAATGCTTAGCAGAAACAATAGGTAACCAAGTTTTGAACAAATGAACACACTATCAATTAGTTTTCTATACCTTCTCTCCAAGAAATTATTCAGAAATTTATATTAAACTGGTCAGCATAAGTGGCTGCCTTCTCCAACTGCCCTTTACCTTAAATGTTCAATAAAACAGTAATAATGAGTTTGAATTTGCATTTATAAATGTAAGTATTTGAAACTAACAGGTTTAGGGTAAGGATTAAATAATTTATTTTTGAGAAAATTTTCGTTTCTGTTTTGCTAAATTGGTTTTAAAGTTACTTATTAATAACTTCTTCTTTAAGTTTCTCTGCAAGCAATCTCCTCTTTAGTAATGTTTGCATCTCCTCTGCTGTCATTTCTGGTTTCTCTGTCATTTCCTTAAATAAGAAAAAGAAAAAGAAAAAAATTGGCTACAATATAAGATGGGTTCATTTGTTTAAAATTCCCAATATACTGCCTTGAACAAAGAGCATTTTTAGTGAAATTTTTTAAAAAGTCACACATGGATTAAGTTCCATAAATCTCTTCCTTACCAAAATTTCTTCTTGGGGAAGCCTCTTAAAGGTGGTGACTAGGATACTGATGCTGCTCTACAGTAAAATATGTCAAAAGGCTCAGGTGAAATAGACTGCTGACCTTTACACACTCAGAATAGGGCAAGTAAAGAAATAAGAAATGTATAATGAAACTGTTATCATATCTACCTCACAAAATCCTCATTACATAACCATCTTATACTTCCTAGAAAAGACAGAAGGCGCTCCACTAGCAGGGAGGTTAATATTATATAAATGGATCTACAAGCAACATTGATTATTAGTAAAGCTTTCTTCCACATATTCTGATTTTGAGAATTCCACCTCTAGATGTACTAGTTTTGACATAAGATCAGCCATACCTCTCCTTCCCCAGTAGGTTTTCCCTTCTGCTCTGCAGTTTGCACCTGCTTAGTCTTCATATCCTTTCTCATGGACATCAACTTATCTCTCTTCTGCTTGAGATAGTGCTCTCGTTGCCGCAGCTCTTCTGTTCCAAGTGTTGATAAATTCTGGGCCAAAAGAAAAGGAAGTATTTTAGATTCAAGTTCATATAGGAAATGACAAAGATACCTGACTAATTCAATTAGAAGTTTGAGTTCAAGAGAACAAAAGTATATGACTGTTTACATTGCTTGCTCCTAGTACTTTGTCATTTTGTTCATAGTTCTTAAAAAGTAATGTTCCTTACTGCTATTGGTCCTTCGGTCCTTGCAAATTCAAAGCCAGGAACCTTCAGGCCTTTTTGTGGGAGTGAAGATGTTTCAGGCAACATTTCCAGTTTTCCTGCCAAAGGTTCCGCTGCTGAATTAGCAAAATGCGCTTTCGCTTCTGGCAGTAGATAGAGACCAAGCAGAATACTATATTAAGTATTAGACTAGGTTCAGCAAAATGAGCTAGTATTAATAACACTCGTTTTTTTCTCACACTCATTCAATCAACATGCATTGATTCAGTGCCTATTCTGTAGTAAGAACAATAAACATGGTCTCTGTCCTCAAAGACCAGTTCTTACAAACAATGACATTTTAATACCAAATTTCTGCTGTTTAGTACTACAGCTACAAAAAGATAAATTTCTCATCTAAAAATCAGGACTCCACTATAATGTAATACAAGATTGCCACATAAGCCAAATAAACAGTATTAGAATCCCAAACTTTTGCTTGTGGGTAAAAACAGTAAGTGAACCTATATTTTCAGAAACGTTCATGTAAAGTTATAATTTTTTGTAGTGGAAGAGTAAATACCAATAATATTAATAAATTTTGTTTGTAATACATATTAAAGATAGTATCTATAAACCTATCAACACATTAAGAAAATGTAAAGATTTTAAGAGAGACAATATGGCAGTGGAATAGATGGATGTGCCCCAAGCCTTGTCCCGGAGCAATAGAATGAGCAACTAAAACAAACAACATCCCCCCTGAAATGGCGTAGCAGACACAGCTGGTGAGACGATTCGGAGCTCAGAAGGGCAGAGGACGCCTGGAGAACGGTAAAACTGGGGATCTGGGCTGGAGAGAACTGCAAGAGCCCAGAGGGTCAGAGGGAAACTGCACAGGGAAATATCAAACCCATATTAGCTATACTAATAAAAGGATAATAAGCTAATTAGGCTGAGAGACCTTCCAGATGTCCTTTACGGACAAAGCCATGGTGACAGGGCTGAGGCAGAGGCAGTTAAGAGTGATCAGGCCAGGAGGGGAGGGCAATTGGGGGTAATCAAGCCAGGAAGGGGGGCCATTTGGGGGCGAGCAGGCCAGCAGACGGGATCAGGCTTAAACCAGCAGTCAGACATCCCCCAAGGGGTCCCATATTGGAAAGGGTGCAGGTCGGGCTGAAGGACACCCCACCCACATGAATTTCATGCACTAGGCCACTAGTCTCAATTATAAAAGTTCTTCTAAACTAAAGTGTAAAAGAACACAAGATTTAAAGTCAGACCAAGCAGGTTAAACCACAGCTTAAGCATTGAATAGTTTAGTGATTTTGGACAAGTCACCCAATTTCCTTAAATTTCCTGTTAACAAAAAAGAAGGCAATATCATATCTACCTGACAGAGTTATGTTTTTATTTTTTAATTGAGAAAAGGATGTTTCTTTAAAAACACAGAAATCCATAATAAAATGAACTGAATTCATGATCATTATTCAATTTCTATTTTAGAATTACTTGTTTTCATATAAAGTAAATCAGAGCATATTGAAAATGGATTTCTACATATTCAACAATTTCATCTGCTAACATTTCCTATACAGATTCTCAGTAATTTTGCTTTCAACAATAGTTTCTGATTAAACATCTGGATAAATTAGCTACCTCTTATTTTTAAGATGTGCTTTAATTCACTTGGGAAATAATATTATCATTCCAAGTTTAGCTTCTTACTTTCCACCTAATTGTGATCAAGGGTGAGAATACCAACTGTTATGTGAATCCATTTTAGATGCTACAGCTGTGATACCAAGGGCTCGTGGCAGGACTGCTGCTCTGGGTTCCAGGCTTCACTTAGACATTTGGGAACTGAACTATTTCTGTCAGCTGGTATTTCCTATCAGCAATCTCTTTAGCCAAATTTACAAAGAACTTTAAATACCAATGGCCATTCAATATTCTGTCCAGGGTTTAGAAAGTATGTCAAAGAAAGTTGTACACTCTTTACAATGTTCATGTATTGATATTATTAGAGAAAGTTTAGTGACACATCAAGCTTACCTAAGGGTGAGTGTGCATCATGTTCACCATCCCCCTGGGAATTACTCATTTTTGTGGTTTCATCAGCATTCGCCGTGGGTTTTTCTGTTTTAGCCTCTGATAACTTCAGGAATTCATTACACAATTTAAAAAAAAAATTTTTTTTATTAATCTTTACTACTTCATTACTTTAAAAATCCAAAGACAATAGTTTTTTTTTTTTAATTACTGTTCTGTTTTTCCAAAGTTTTTAAGATGTATCCAGTAATTTATATATCCTCCATTTTTTTTTAATGTTTTTATTTCAGAGAGAGGAAGAGATAGAAACATCAATGATGTTTCAAAACTGAAGAAATCAAGGAGAGTGGGGAAGTAAAATATTTTTCTTAATCTTCTTTTATTCATAAAACTAAGGGAAATTTTTAAAAGGAATCCCCCAAAATACAAATGGCATTACAGTGATTTGGAGTTAATAATGTAGTCTTTCTTGGAAATATAAAGGTAGGTTGTTGGATTAATTATAAACTTATAAAGTTAAATACAAATGCTTAGAATTGCCAAGATAATATGAATACTTTTAGGAATTGTGTAGTTCCATGTAAGCTTAAATTTTAACAAAAACTAGATTAACAATAATGAAATACTTCTATTATATTAATATATTCTGTAGGCACCTGCTTTTTTCTCTTTCTTTCTTCCTCCTGGTCATATTCTTCTTTTGACTTTCTGAAATATATAAAATAAGGTAGAAAAGTAAATTTTCTTTTTTGGTCAAAGAAAAATATTCAACAAGCAACATGTTAACCTAAGCTTATAGTATGTGCAAGAAATTTTGAAAACAAAAATGAAAATTATTAGGCTTTGCTTACATCAACTGAGAGAGATATACATAGGCTTTTATAGCACACAGTGAGTAATATAAAATACAGGCATGCCCAGTTCTTCTGGAAATGCCAATGTCCCCTTGATAAACAAAGATCAAGATGTTGAAAAAACTAGCCAAAACCGGTTTGGCTCAGTGGATAGAGCGTCGGCTTGGGGACTGAAGGACCGGGGTTTGATTCCGGTCAAGGGCATGTACCTTGGTTGCGGGCACATCCCCAGTAGGGGATGTGCAAGAGGCAGCTGATCGATGACTCTCTCTCATCAATGTTTCTAACTCTCTATCTCTCTCCCTTCCTCTCTGTACAAAATAAATAAAATATATATTTTTTTTAAATGTTGAAAAAACTAAACCCAAATTTGAATGGAAAATCCCATTAATATAGACTTTGACCTCTCTCTCGTTAGTTATAGCCCTCTTGATAAAATCCACTGCTCCCCTCCTTCTACCTTTCCCAGTTATTACAAAGCTTTCCTAATGCCATTATGCCCAAGCCTTACCAGCTTTCATAAACTGCTAAGGCAGTCTGACTTAGGAGAATAGCCATCACCTCTCTTACGTGTTCATAAATAAGCTCTAAAACTTAAACATTATTACACACCCCTCAAAAACCCTTAGAAAATAACATTTAAAAATACAATGTTGATCAGTTTTCAGACCGCCAATCAACCAACAGAGGCAACCAGGATAAATCAAAACTTTACCAGTCTTCTAACCCTAACACCAAACATCCTTACCTCTTCAACACTGTAAACTCAAAGCATTCTGTGTTATCTCAGGCTCCCATTGCCCCTGCAGTGGAATGTAGGATCTGGCAGGAAAAGGCTGGGTTCACTCACACATCTGCCTCCCTCCCCGCAACCACTCCAATCCCCTGATATTAAGCAGTGAGTCCTAGAGCTCCTTCCATCAACCAGCCTCTCCGCCCCTTCAGCTTTAGAGTTGGGGACAAGGTGAGTAGGTGGGGGGGTACAACAGGATTCTAGATCTGTGGTTACAGCCCTTCCTTCCCTCTACAGGTGACACAGAGGATGCAGACTTTGCTATATATTTCTCACAGATTTAAAAATAGGTGCTAAAATTGCCCCTCCAAAGTTTCTATGGGGTCAGGGACAACAGGCCCTGTTAGTGGACTGCACGCTCCGTGTCAGGCATTTGGCTGAGAATCATGTAACTGGGGCAAGCAAGAGAGGGGAAAGACAGTCATCTGGATAGGCACCTCCCACTATCCTCTTCCCCTTGCAAGTTACCTGCCACTCATTCAGCTATTTGGTCTCTGGAGTCTGGATGTCCAGCCTCCTACTGTGAGACACGTGGCTTGAGCCACCTCTGCCACTGAGATCCAAAAGCCATGGAGTTTCCTGGTCAGCTCAGGCCACTACTCCCCTTTCCAGGCATGGATCTACTGCATCTTATTCCAATTTAGCTTCCTATTCCCACCACGGAAGTAGAAGAAACTCCCATTTGTATTGACCTGGTATGAATCATCTGAAAATAATTTTTTCTGTCCATTAAGAAATGTACTATACACATAGCTATAAACAAAGTAAAATGACAAGTCATTTTCATGGTCTTCAGTAGTAAATTTAGATATTTTACTAGTTCATAATATTTTTGGGGTGAAAAGCATATATACAAGTCATATTACAAAATTCTAGTGATTCATTCAAAAAATAATTAAAGAAGGATACCTAAGAACTTCCCTCAGGATTTTCATCTCTTCCTGTTCAAGATCACTGACCACATCAGAACCATCTGTTAAGCAGTCAGGTAATACACCTGTTCAAAACCAGACCACATGGAAGAATATCAACTCAACTGAAAACATTTATTTCTCACTCTCCTAGTTCATCAAGAAGTGCAAATAACTTATTAATATCTGTCATTTTTAAAAAGATTCTAAACTATTATCTTTTTATCTATGGTTTTGTTTTTTTTGGTTTTTTGGTTTTTGGTGTTTTTTTTACTTTTTCTCCTTTCAGGGAATCAGCAGTTCTCAACACCACTGTCACAAAAAAAAAAAAAAAAAAAACACATCACACCACACAATATTACCTAGAAATGTCTCTTATTTGTATTGCTTATTAAAAGTAGCAACTATTACATATGGTAGTAAAAATTAATTTAAGCTATTTTCTTCCATAATCACAACTAGTAGAGGGTATAGCACTGAACTCAGTAGGTTCCTACTAATGAAAGTATGCTCTCAAAAAGTATCCCTTAAAAGGGGAAAGAGTTTACAAGATAAAATATAAAATACTTTGTTAATTAAAATAGCATGTTACTACTCTTCCTTCATATTACAACAATGCTACTGAAAGGGCCCTGCTTACTACATGCAAAAAGCCTGGTGCTAAGCACTTAGGGGGAATATAAAGATGGATAAAACAATCTCTGTCCTTGAAGCTTCTATGCAAATATTGGGCTAATAACTATAAACCAGGGCAGTACCAACTGCAGCCCAAGGCAAATAATAATTTATAGCAAGTAATTATAAGTATTAATTTAATTTACTTTATTACCTATATTTTCTTAATAAGCAGGTAGACTGGTAATAAGTGTTCTGTCTACATTTATAATTAATTCTCATAATATTAGCAGCATGTCTCAAATTATTACCTTCTATTTTTCTGTCCACATATGACAATGGGCCTTTGGATCTAATCTAAATTAAAGTAGCTTTATTATTTTAATCCCCTTGTTGTTTAAGTGTATTTTTAATTAAACTTTTTATTTTGAGATAATTAACAGTTTCACACACGGTTGCAAGAAATAATACAAAGTGATGCTATGTACTCTTTACCCAGTTTCTCCCAATGGTAACATCTTGCAAAACTACAGTACAGTATCACAATCAAAAAACCGACATCTATATAACCCATTAACCTTAAGTGCATTTTTGCTAAGACAAAAGATATACAATTAGTATTCTCCTAATACACTTTGTAAGGAAAATGGAAAAAACAAAGGAAAGAATAATGTAACAGTATGCAATTCTTCAAAACCATCAAAATAATGCTCTGATTTGCATTTCCCCAAAATTCTTTGATAAAATACAACAAAGAATCCAGAGAGCTTTTGGATTTTTCTCACCACAAATACAATTTTCAAATGGTCTACAGATTTGAGTAAAATCAACGTTCCTCTAAGGTCCTCAGCTGTGGATCTAGTTACTAAAATTCTGCAGCACACCAAAAAAATATATTTTTTGCTGATCTGGCAAAAAAAATAGGTATATTATTGATTCATTCACAGGGATGGCTATTGTTCTGTTGGTTGTTGTCATATTTTTATTTGTCAACCTAATAGAAAAGAGGTCAGTGCCCCTGACTGAATAGTCAGTATTGCGTGTTTTTTAAATTCTTGCGGCACAGCAGTTGAAAATCACTGTTCTAAGGGATTGAGTCTCTACTCAGAGGAGACAAATGAGAGGAGAATCCACAAGGGCCCTGCAACATTTTATTGTTTTCCCTGCAACATGAGAAACTCTATTGTTGCATGTCCCAGGCCCTTAGAAGCAAACAGTATTGCTGACCTATAGCTCTCGTACCTTTGAGAAACAATCAAAGAAAAGGTGCTGCTGTCAAACCATTAAAAAGTACATAGGCCTGGTAAAGAATATCAGTAGTAGTCTACTGAGCAAAGGAACACATAGGTTATTAAGGTCAGGTTTTGCCCTACAACAGTAGTTCTCAGCAGTAGTTCAGTGGTCCCAAAACCAAGAGCTTTACCATCATCTGGGAACTTGTTAAAAATGCAAAGTTTTAGGCCCTACTCCAGACTTACTGAATCAGAAACTAAGGGACATATGTATTTCCACAAGCCCTCTCAACTGCTTCCAATGCTTTAATCACACAAGCAACTGGATCAGGGTTAGGGATTGAGCCTGCAACCGAGGTATGCACCCTTGACCGGAATTGAACCTGGAACCCTTCAGTCCTCCGTCCAACATTTTATCCACTGAGCCCAACCAGCTACAGTTGGAAATTAGTTTCTACTTTGGTTTCCTAAGGTCCTAACAATGATAAACCAGAGGAAGGGTAGTCACATTCTCTCAACTGTAACTACAACTGTGATCACTCAAAAATACTGAATTTCATAAACTCTTTGGCTGAAGAGAAAAATCAAGCTCTCTGAAACCTAAATCACCCTTCCATCAAATTCTGGTCTGCATTTGAAATGTCAAACACCCACTGATCAGGAAGTTTACACTCTTGAATCTCTTAAGCCAGCCACAGACTTTCAAACTTGGAATAAATATAAATATAAAGGCAGCTACATTTAAGACCAGGTTAGAATCAGCATAGTCAAAATTGCAAAAAACAAAAGTGCATTTAGCACTTCGATTTCTAAATTCAACATTTTACCATTTCTCTCTTGAATTATTCGAATGGCTTGCAGCTGCATTTCAATGTTTTTCTGGACCATCATTGCTTTAAAGATAGTAAAATCTTCTGCAGCCAACACGGGTTGCAAAATTGCCTGTGGAAAGAAATCTAGAAGTTAAATTCACATTTTAAAACTACATGCATTTATTGCACTTCTTAGACAATGCATTTTCATCAACATTGAGGCAAGACCTACCAACACAAAGATTATAACTCACTAAGGCTCAGATGATGTTACCATTTTTTAGTAATAAAATATTTTTTAAATTTTTAAAATATATTTTATTGATTTTTTACAGAGAGGAAGGGAGAGAGATAGAGAGCTAGAAACGTGGATGAGAGAGAAACATCGACCAGCTGCCTCTTGCACACCCCCCACAGGGCATGCGCCCGCAACCAAGGTACATGCCCTTGACCGGAATCGAACCCGGGACCTTTCAGTCCGCAGGCCAACGCTCTACCACTGAGCCAAACCTGTTTCGGCTAGTAATAAAATATTTTTAATTAAAATATGTACGTTGTTTTTTTACACATAAAAAGAGGATCTGAATTTGTTTTTCTGCCTAAATAATCTATTTGGTTATATTCTATCACTTGAAATGTACTGTTTAATGATAAATCATTGACTACAATATGATCCCTTAATAAAAATACCCAATTAAATAAAAGTAAATGGAGTCTGAAAAGTAAGTGTAATATGTTATTAGTAATGTGAGAATGCAATTGTAATTGTCCTATATGTAGAAAGTTTCATGGAAGAGGCAGAATTAGAAATTAAGATGGAAAATCCTTTTCTGTCTAAAACTGAAGTATAACAATTTAGAAGAAAATAAATAAAGGTGTCTACCCCTCTATACTGAAACTAACATTTCCTTAATTACAGAAAACTACTGTTATATTGAAGAGCAAACCAATTCCCAAGCTAACCAATAAGAAGTAGATAAAATTTGAAATGTGTAAAAACCCAAAAGAAAACACTCAGATGTGATCCATCTTACTAAAATCTTACTTCAAGTTTTACATGATATTGTGGAAAAGCTAATCACACAAAATCGTGGACAGGCAATGAGGGGTGTGCTATTATTGTTCACAGGTAGGCGGCAGCAATGTCAAAGACACCTTAACAAAAGCACCATCAGAGAGTCTTAAGCAAAGAGGAAGGAGCCCTTCCCACAACCACCAGCTCACATCCTAGACACCCCTAATATAGCAAAATAAAGTGCAAATGTAGCTCTCTGTGACAATTATAGGGTCAACCATAGGAAAAATGTATCTTTTCCCTTAAATTCAATAACACTATTCGAAAGGCCCAGGGCAGAGATTTCATCTGTTTTGACTGAAAGTTGCAGCCCAGAGCGCAGTAATTGAGGGCAGCCTCTAATAGATAGATCAGTGATGTCCACCAGGGCCTCTTTATGACATTATGGCACTACATAACTTCGTTCTGGGCTTTCCAGACTTCTTATTAGTAATATCAAATACGTTAAACGCATCACTAACAAACACTTGCAGGGCACCACTATTGATGGCAATGTGTCAACTAGAGCTTCTTCTAGCAAGTCAGTTTGAGTTGATACTTAAAAGCATTATGCATGGCTTCTCAAAGTGTGCTTTAAGAATACAGAAAGGAGGGGTTAATTAAATATTCCTAAGCCCTGCACTAGACATAATGAATCTAAATTTCCGACGGATGGGTACCTACCCATGTATCTCCCCATATAATTCTTAAAATATTAAAGTCTGAAAGCTACACTGGTGAAAAAAATTAGGCCTTGACATCAAAAGCCTCTGCTATCAGCTCAATTTTAGGTAAACTTAAAACTGCTCTAAAAAAGTATATTAATTTTTTTAAAGCCTTACACAAAATATTGCTAATTACCCTGTGTAGTATTTTTAGGAAATGAAAGTTATACCACATATGTAATCTTTTCAATGGTCCAGGTTATTGAGGGGGAAGCATAATTTTCCTCAAATTACTAATATTACAAATATCTAATAAAAGAGTGATATGCAAATTAACCATCACTGCTACACACAAGCCATGCCCACCAGCCAATCAGAGTATATATGCAAATTAACCCCAACCAAGATGGCTGCTGCCACAAAGAGCAGAAGGGAGGGTTGGGTTTCCCTGGCAATGGAGGAAGCCAAGTTTCTGCAGCCCTGGCTGACTCAGACTTTCACTATGGGCTATTAAGTTTCAATTACAGAAGATACATAAATGCCATCAGAAATGGCTGCCGCCACAGTGCAAGCAGGAGGTTACAAAGTTTCAATTGTAGAAGGTAAATAAATTCCAGATACCAGGGCCTCTGCTTAGGTCGCCAGGGGGTAGGCTGGCCTGCAAACCACCACAGGCCCCTCGCCCAGGCCACTCCAGGCCTCAAGGGAACCCCACCCTGATCTGGGACACCCTTCAGGGCAACCAGCAGGCCCCCACCCATGCACCAGGCCTCTATCCTATCTAATAAAAGAGTAATATGCAGATTGACCATCGCTCCAACGCACAAAATGGCTGCCCCCATGTGGACACAAGATGGCCAGCAGGGGAGGGTGGTTGGGAGGAACCAGGCCTCCAAGGGAGGGCAGGTGAGAGGGATAAGGCCTAGAAGGAAGGGCAGTTGGAGGCAAACAGGCTGCAGGGGAGCAGTTAGGCATCAATCAGGCTGGCATGGAAGTGGTTAGGGGTGATGAGGATGGCCGGAAAAAGCAGTTAGGGGCAATCAGGAAGGCAGACAGGTGAGCAGTTGGGAGCCAACAGTCCTGGATTGTAAGAGGGATGTCCCAGATTGGAGAGGGTGCAGGCTGGGCTGAGAGATACTCCCGACCCCAGTGCACGAATTTTGTGCACCAGGCCTCTAGTATTAATAATATAATATAGTATCAATGTCTTTCTTATAAATGTTAAGATAATCAACTAAATAAACAAAAACAAAATCAAAAAATAGTTTGCCTCTTGCCATATAGAAATCTCTGGTTTTGGCAATACATTGATAACAATGATGAACTCAATTCTCACCAAAAAAAATCACAAGCAATGAAGTCACTGTTGCCTATTTCAATTGGAAAATAGCACATAATTAGTAATATTACTGAAGACAAGTGAAATAATATCTACTTATTATATTGTCATAATTTTCTCAACTATTTAGAAAGATATCCTAAGTCATAAGCATTTTTTTTAAAATATATTTTATTGATTTCTTACAGAGAGAGAGAGATATAGAGAGTTAGAAACATCGATGAGAGAGAGACATCGATCAGCTGCCTCTTGCACATCCCCTACTGGGGATGTGCCCGCAACTAAGGTACATGCCCTTGACTGGAATCGAACCTGGGACCTTTCAGTCCACAGACCGACGCTCTATCTACTGAGCCAAACCAGTTTCGGCAGTCATAAGCATTTTTAAAGAAACCACACATATATAACAGAAAATCATGCTCTTAAAAAGTCTTTTTCTTTTCTTTTTTTTTTTAACAAGAGTTCTTCATTTAATAAATGTCATTAGACCCCTTACCATTCCCACTGACTTTAATACACAGAGTATTCCAGGACCAGTGGTTTAGGTCTGATAACCAAATCAGGTAAAAAGAATCTTTCAAGTTTGCTTTAGCAATACAATGGTAACTGGCAACTGATTTAAAAAACAAAATCAAACTAAGCAAACCAAAACAAATAAAAATTAGCTCCTAAAATTATCCAGGGCAAGCAACTGGTTTCTTGAACTCATTCTTAAGCACCCTATTGACATAATGGAATTACCTTCTTGTCTTACATATGGAGATTATATGATTGCCCTAGCTGAGTAGCTCAGTTGATAGAGCATCCTCCCTATACATGAAGGCTGCAGGTGCACTATCAGATCAGGACAAGAATCAAACAATGACTGCACAAATAGAACCATAAATCAATGTTTCTCTTTCTCTCTTAATAAATAAATAAAAACTTTAAATAAAATTAATTTTTTAAAAATAATTTTAAAAGATTGTATAATTGCTGCAAAGCAATATGAAACATACTTTGAGCTGTTTTTCTGATAACGGTGACAGACTTAGCTAATTCCATCAGTTTGATATTCAGTATTGGGTGCTAAGGGTTTGCGCAAAAAGAGAATAAAGCTAACTAGTCCACATGGGGATTGAACCCATGACCCTGGCCTGATTAACACAGTGCTAATCAACCACCAAAATAGCCACAGTTAATTAAGAGGCACTTCCATATATACCACCTTATACATGTCAAGTATTGTGCTAAATGCTTTATGAATGCTACCTCTGAAATTGCACAAAAATCTTTCAAAGAAGATACTATCCATATTTTATGGATATGGAAATTTATAATCAAATTGGATAAGAAAGGAAAACTAAAGCAATTTTTGTCTGAGGTTTTAGAGCTAATGAATGAAAAATGTATGACTCAAATCAAGTTCTGTCTGTGTCAAAGGCTTGAGTCCTTGTACCAATCAAATCCAGATAAATCAAAAGGTGTTGTATAAAAGAACAAATGAGAAAGATGTGTTACTTTGATCTGAAAGCAATATTTTAAAATTCTGAATACCTTCATTAAAATAATTTAAACTTATCCTGATAACAAAAACAAAAGATGGATATGTCTAATATTACTGTGAACATCTTTATTCAGGAAATATTCTGGAAAGACAAGGAAAATAAAAACAAATACCAAAGTCTTAAAAATAAATTTAAATGCTGCTTAATAACTTTCAAATTCTTCCTATTTCTCAAAGGAGAAAAAAATAGTGTCTATTATTATTCCTTAAACTAAAACTATCGTGTATATACAACAAAAGCTACTGGTGCCCTGAGTGGTTTTCTCAGTGGATAGAGCGTCAGTCTGTGGATTAAAGGATCCCGGGTTCGATTCTAGTCAAGGGCATGTACCTGGTTTGCGGGCATATCCCCAATGAGAGGTGTGCAGGAGGCAGCTGATCGATGGTTTCTCTCTCACTGATGTTTCTGACTTTCTATCCCTCTCCCTTCTTCTCTGTAAAAAATCAATAAAATATATATTTCTTTAAAAAGCTACTGGTGGACTGTAAAACAACTTTTGTTTTTTATAATTATGAATCAACAAAATCAGTTTGCTTACATTCATGTTGGCATATCAACAGCATTTAATATTTCTTTTTTTATTATAAAGTCAGTATTTATTAACATACAGTTCATTTTGAAAATTTAAAAGAACCAACAAAAGTGAATAATATTTTTTTTACATTCCCTGTTTTCAAACTGATGACTTATCCACCCATAATGAAAAGCAATGGAATCACAAACATCAAGAATCATGTTGTTTGATATTTGTGCACCCTCAATTAATCGACTGTTGCTGGTTTTGTATCATAAACTTTATCTTTTATGTAGCCCCATAAAAAAGTCTAGTGGATAAATTTTCTTTATTCAAAACTTAGTTTGGCTTCCCACATTATTTCAAACCAGTTAAACCTGAAAAAGAGTAAAAATTGAGTTATCAGTTGTTTTTAAAATGTGTATACCTTTTTTTTTGGGGGGGGGGCATTTAATATTTCTTTAAATGTCATGTTATATTAAAAATTTTCTATCTCTAGAATCAGAGGTGATCATTCAATGAGCAAAAGTTGTGCAAAAGAAAACTGAAGCAGAAAGTGCTTAACAGTAGTTAAGGCAAGCACTTCTAAGCCACAATAAAGAGATAATTTAAGTTAACAATAATTTATTAAGAACTACCTATTAGGAATTAAGTTCTCATCCTGTGATAGATGCTGGGAATGCAAAGAGACTTAAAACAGCTCAAAGGACTTACAATCTAGTAAAGCCAATAGAGCTGTAAGAAACTATAAATAAAGGCAGAATACCAAAAAATTATAAATGCCCAGTGAGGCACAATAAGTGTTTGTCAGACTAGAAGGATCAGGAAACTTGCCTTAAGAAGAAAATTTAAGCCGGGCCCTGATGATGAGGATTTCCTGGGTAAGGAAAGGATGGTGGGTGGGGAGGTAGGAGCCAAATATTCCAGAGTAAAGAAATAGCATAAGCAAAGTGACTTATGAGAGCAAGTGCCCTGAAATGACTGTAGTACATAATATATTGGAGAACTATAGCAGGAGAAGAAGGCTAAAAATATAATTTGGGGTCACATCATAAAGAATCCTAATTAATATCTCACTAAGGAATTATCATTTGGTAGATTCTGGGAAGCTAAAGCAACTCTTTCAGAAGGCTATTTAGTAAAAGTAACATATCCCTATCCTCAGCCTCTGAGCAAGAGGCTCGCAGGTGGGGGCCTAGGCTGGTATCCTGATTCAACTTCCTACTTAGCTGTGTACTTTGCACTAGTCCTTTAATGTATTTGTGCATTCGTTTTCTCAGTTCTAAATGGAAGCAAAATATTTTTTTAAGGACTATCAGGAAAATTAAATGAGATAATACATATCAAGTGCCTAAAACAAGCAACTAACATGAGCCCTCAATAAATATTAGTTATAAATTCACACTGCAGAACTAATCCTATATAATAAGAGAGGAATATGATAATTATCCGTTACACCATGAGGCATAACGACCGACAGTGTAATAACCAGGTCACGGATCTGCAGGAGGGTGGGACAGCGAACTACAAGGGGGCACCAGAGAGCTACAGAAGGGGGCAGGGCAGCAAGCTATGAGGGGAGAAGGGGGAGGGGGAGGGGGTAGTTACAGGAGGGCGGGGCAGCGGGCAGAGCACTACAGGAGGGCAGCAGAAAGCTACTGGCACACAGATTCCTGTGCAGGGCTACAAGTAAGATAATAAAAGTAGTTCCAAAAGAAGAAAGCCTCAGGAACTGTGTTCTATGAATTTGCTAGATTAAAAAAGAGCAATTACAAAACTATCAGTGATCTATTATATTCTAAATTCAGAAAGTTCTTTTTTAATTGCATCAGTTCATTAATGCCTCAAATTATCACTTCTCAAGGTATTTACAAAAAAGAACTCATATGTGATGACTTACTACAATGTCAAGAATAATCTTTGACAATCAAACATAGCAAATTTAAGCGAAACCCTTTTTTGGGTCATTTTTGTCAAAACCATATGTTATGGAATAACATGAAAGCAAAAACCTGTGATGTCCGGGTCTTTGCAAGAGGAGAAGTGCATGCTTCTTGAAATTGATCTTCATTAATTCCAATTTCTTTGAGATAACCTTCTAACAGCTTTTCAACCTAAAAAAGAGAAAGTTTAACTTTTATAATTTACATAGAAAAATTCAAAATGAGTTTTCATGTTAAGTATGAGTTTAAAAGAGTATAAACAAATGTTTGTTTGCAATTATTAATCCACATAAAATTATACTACATGAGAGTGGCAATGTTTCTCATTGGAAAAACAAACAACAAAAAATTAAAAATTTTCACAAAGTATCTAACGAAATTTTATTTCTTCTACTGAAAATAACTGAAGTCAAGATTATGAAGTTTGATGAGATACAACTCTTCTACTACCCAGAGGAGTCATTTTTAAAAACCACAAGACAATTTACTAAATTAATAACACTTCCCAGGATGCATCAGCAAAAGAATAATAAAATTTAAAGATTAGATGCAAGATTCCTTAACATAGTCATCTTAATCTATTCCTTAGATTATAGAGTATAATAGAAGAGATATGAAGTCATAAGGATGAGATGCTGAAAGAACCTTTGGAGCCTGATGCAACTAGTAGTACTATTAGGATAGACTGAATTTTTTAAAGAATTTTGATGGACAAATCCATTTTTTTTAAGTTTGTTTATTTATTTATTTATTTATTTATTTATTTATTTTTGTCAGTATTTATTTTTGTCAATCCTCACCTGAGGATATTTTTCCGTTGATTTTTAGGGTGAGTGGAAAGGAGGGGGAAGAGACAGAGAGAAAAATATCTATGTGAGAGAGACACATTGATTGGTTGCCTCTAAGATATGTGCCTTGGAGAAGCATTGAACCCAAGACCTTATGGTCCTTGGGCCAACACTCTATCCACTGAGCCAAACCAGCCAGGGCACCATTTTTAATTTAGAAGAGCTAAAATTAATATTATTCGAATTACCTTTAAAAATCAGTAAAAATATATATATATAAATAAAAGTACTTACTAGTTCTTTGTATTCCTGATGAATCTCTGTATAGGTCAATTTGCTTTCTTCTTCATCATCAAAAACTAAATTGAATAAAATATTGAATAAAAATAAATACCATTAATGCTACTCTAAAAGTCTACTCCTATATCTTACAAATAGATACTTGTAATATGTACTTAGAAGTATACACTTGTACATACATTAGAGACCAGGCACATGAAATTTGTGCACTGAGGGAGATGGGAGGGGGTCCCTCAGCCCGGGACCCCTCGCTCCTTACCACCCGCCCGCTCACTGCTTCTTACAGCTCGGTTTGCTGCTCCTCAGAGCTGCCACGGAGGCAGGAGGGCTCCCACCACCGCAGCTGTGCTTGCCAGCCGTGAGCCCAGCTTCTGGCTGAGTGGCGGGCCTCCTGTGGGAGCCTGCTGCCCACCAGGGAGCAGCTCCTGCACTGAGCGCTGCCTCCTGGTGGTCAGTGTGCATCACAGTGACCAGTCATTCTAGTCGTTCCATCATAAAGGTCACTTAGGCTTTTGTTATATAGACTGGAGGCCCAATGTATGAAATTCGTGCAAGGCCAGGGGACTCTCTGCCTCTGCCTCAGTCCCCAAAGGCTGTGGCTTTGTCCAGAAGCAAGAATATCCAGTCTATTTAACATATTATGATTTTATTATTATAGATACCATACAGGGATGGGCAAAAGTAGTTTTACAGTTGTGAATATGTGAAACAGAGTTTATTACTGTATTATATTGTATTATTTTCCATATGAACTATAAACGTACATTTGTTTGCCCACCCCTGTATGTATCTGTCAGTCCTAGATCTTTTTACCTTTACCTGGCCTCCTTGGTCCCCACTTCTTTGTCATTAGATATACACTAGAAGCATAGTGCACAAAATTAGTGCACGGGTAAGGTCCCTAGGCCTGGCTGGCAATCAGGGCCAATCAGGTTCCCGCCTCTCCACCTCCCCACCTCCTCCTTCCCTAGCTCCCTCAGTACCCTGCCATCGCCACTGGTCACCCACCAAGGTCCCCACCATCCCCTGGTGGTCAGGACATGTCATAGCGAGCAATTGAACTTCTAGTCTTCTGGTCAAACTCAAACAAGGACACTTTGCATATTAGCCTTTTATATAAATAGATAGTGTTAATTGTAAAAAAGTTACTTTTCTTACTTAAAATCTAACTCATATGGAAGACAAACACTAATTTGCTACTTTTCTTTCTTTTTTAAAAAATATATTTTATTGATTTTTTACCGAGAGGAAGAGAGAGGGATAGTTAGAAACATCGATGAGAGAGAATCATCGATCAGCTGCCTCTTGCACATCCCCTACTGATGATGTGCCCACAACCAAGGTACATGCCCTTGACCAGAATCGTACCTGGGATCTTTCAGTCTGCAGGCCAACGCTCTATCTGAGCCAAACTGATTTCGGCTAATCTGCTACTTTTCAATCAATAATATAAGGCAACAATTTCTTTATAAATTTTTAATGGAATATTATTATTAACAATTTTTAAATAATAATTCCTTTCACAATAAGCTCCATATTTTATAGTACTGAACTTTTGTTGATTAAAATTTTACTGAAAAGTTACTAGGCTATTTTTATTATATATAAATCAATAATGAAGTAAAATAAAACCAAAACAAATTGTTTAACTGAATGATTATGTGTAAAACAATGTAGATTAGAAAGATATATTTTTCTCTCAAAAAGCTAACAATCTAATTAGTGAACCAGGGCAAATTCAAGAATTGTAAACAATAAACTTTTTTACACACACTCCCATCTTTCAAAAATACAAAACCAACTTCTGTAATTTTTTATTTAAGACTCTTTGCCTAGGGAATAAGTACAAAATCCTTAGAAGGCCAAACTCCTCCAAGATTGGATCCCAAGCTTCATCTCCCATCACTCCAACACCCAATCTTTGCCCTCTTAACACAATTACTTGGAATACCACCAAATACAGTGTTTCGAATCTAATGCCTTTCCTCAAGCCAATCCTAGATCTTTTTGTCTTTACCTGGCTTCCCTGATCCCAACTTCTTCAAGTCATTATAAGTGGCACACACTTCATGACCTGTTATCCTGCTCTTAGGCTGCCTTCCTCTGAACCCTAATAATATAGCATCATGTCCCAATTTTTATCATAACACCTGTCATTTTGTATTTAAATACCATTTACTTGCCTTCTTCCCCACTTCTTAAGGATAATAATTGTGTCTTATTCATCTTTCTATCCCCAGCTTCTGGCCCAAAGATACTCAATAAATGTTTGTCGAAATAAATGCTGATATCACAAAGTTGTACAAAACTAATCTTTAAAATATCTGACAACCCAAAGTCAGTGAACTATAATGATTATTTCAAAGGTCACTGGGATGTTAATTCTGAAACCAAATTACAGCATTCCATGTTTATAAACTGTAGATTACTGTTTCCCTGTAAGATCACACAATCGGGTGCATTATTACTGAGATGCAGTCACTTTAAATCTTGGGGGATAAAAAGAATAACAATGCTGGAATTTTTTTTTCCCCCCATTTCAGCATTTAGTCTCAATGGGGTAAATAGAATCAAAAAATGACAAAATTTCCTTTGTCTCCTAAACGAGGTCAGAATTCCACGTGCTTTATCAGTCTCAATAGCATTTTAATTTCTTTAAAAGAGCACAAACACGAGTTATTTTTCGTTTTTTTAAAAACATTACCTGTAAAAACAAGATGTAATAAATACTATTTGAATTTTTATTATGGCGATGAAAAGGTTCAGAGATCAAATTAATGGAATCCACCACATTCATGGAATCTTAGGGTTGAAAGGACTTTTAAAAGGGCATCCATGACAACCAACCATCTGGTAGTTGAAATCCCCCTCTAGAACATTTCCATTCAGTTGCTGTCAGGTCCATCCAAACACTAGTGCCTGGGGAGCTCATCGCCCTCTGAGGAAGGTTCACTTACCTGGGATGCACTGCGTTATGAAGCACTTTGCTTCACAGAAATTTGTTTCCCTGTCGCTTGTACTCTCAGAGCCTACCTCCATCCCACAGAACCTTACAAAACGCGCCTAATCCTTCCAGCACAAGACAGAAATCCAAATGATGAATGGGTTACTCCCATCAAAGTCTTGCCCAGCTAAACAACCGGCATCACAGTTGGGCATTCATCTGTGCGGCAGGTTTCTGGTTCCTAATGGGCTCCCATTTGTCTCCAAGGACTGAACGCAGAACTCCAAGAGTGAACTGATCAGAACCTGGGGGTGACCCAGGGAATGTTATGCCACGTTTATGTACCTCATTGGTTATGGTGGAGGCGGAGGTGGAGATGGAGGTGGAAGGGGGGTGGGGGGGCCTAATTTCTAACCAATGATGTACATAAACGTGGCATAACTTTCCCTGTGAGGGAAGGTCACCCCCGGGTTCTGATCAGTTCACTCTTGGGAGTTCTGCGTTCAGTCCTTGGAGACAAATGGGAGCCCATTAGGAACCAAAAAACCTGCCGCACAGATGAATGCCCAACTGTGATCCCGGTTGTTCCGCTGGGCAAGACTTTGATGGGAATAACCCATGCATCATTTGCACTTCCATCCCTACCACCCCTTTTTGGTATAGCCCATTGTCAGAGCTCCATAAAGAGAATACAGGCCACCAGGATCAGCGGTGCTGAGCCTGCAGTATTCACATGCCCCTCTTTGGGGTCAACTGTTGGGAACAGACGCAACTCAGAGGCAAACTGACGCCTCTCCCCACCTCCCAAGCCTCTGGCGAGGTTGTTGAAGAAGCTCTTCCCCCCCCCCCTTCCACACACACACACACACACACACACACACACACACACACACACACACGGGCACCTGCCCAGACCCGGACCAGAAACGTGCAGGCTGCGGGGGAAGAAGACCAAACCTGGGATTTCAAGTCTAATGTGTGTTCTTTGGGCGCGACGGGAGGAAGAGTCTGGGTCCCACGGTCAGGTCTGTCGGAGAAAACACTGGCGTAGTGACAGCTACGCCTTCCTACCAGCCCGGCTCTCCAGCCGGCGGACCGGGGGAGGAGCCCGGGGAGATGGAGAGGGTCAGCGGGGACCACCTCCCCGCCGACCGCCGGCGCGAAAGCGGCGGGCACGGAGGGTCCGCTCGGCCTCTCGTGTTTTACCTTCACATTTCTGCTCCACAAAATCCAAGATGGGGATGGACCAGTCCGGGCCTCGCAGGAATCCCGCGATGCTCTCCACCACCCACTCGACCTCGTCCTCCTCCTCCGCAGCCATGCCGCCGGGCGCAGCGCCGCGGGACCTCAGGCCAGACCCCCGGAGCCAGCGAAGGCCCTCCGACCGACCGCAGGGAGCTGAGGGCGAGTGGGTGAAGGTCTGCCCCCCGCAGCGGCCCCGTCGCCCGGATGATAGCGACTGACTAGTTAACGTAAAATGGTCGCTATGGCAACGCCGGCGCTCCCCCGCAGCCGTCCGGAAGTGAAGCCGGCTTCGCAGGGAGAGGAGGGGGGGGCATTGGCGTTTCCCATTGGCTAGAAAAGAACAGAGGCGGGTCAAGAGATAGCCTTCCGCCCATTGGCCCGGAGTTGCTAGGACGGCGAGTAGACTTTGCGCTCATTGGCTGGAGGCCCTAGCGGGACTCTGCACGCTCCCTCTTCCGAAAAGGACTAGGAGCCAAGGCTTGGAAATGGGCGAGGGAAGGTTTGCAGGCCCAGAAGCATTACTAATTAAAGGGTTGTTTACCAGTAAGACTTGCTGATGGGCTCTGCAGTCTTCGCCTCTTGTAGCTCCAAGCGGGTCTTGAACCGTTCATGCATAGGTAGAAAAAAAAAAAAAAAAAAGCAGAAACGAAAATTAGGAGCTTTTCAAGGGCAAAATCAACGTTATTCATTTAAGTAGGCGTTTACGCAACCAATAACATCAAATCAACTATTAGATGGGTGGCCATGGTCAAGGTGCTTGGAGTCTCAGAGTGTCTTCAAACATATATTTACATAAAAAGAGACATAATGTATATACAGTTATGGAACTTTTAAAAAATTTAATATATGGTCATAATTTCATATAAAATCTTTTCTTGACAGCTGCATAGTATTCTATAACCTACCTTTCAATCCATTTTTATTTTCCTTGTGTATATACAGTATCTTACATGGATGCATAAATGTGATCATTAGTGTGCATTTTTTTTTTCCTCCCTCCCTGATGTGGGTGTACTGTGCCATTTTTCTCTTCTACAAATTGCTGAAATAAAAATCTTTGTTTCTTTAGAACTTGGTTTTAATGACTATTCCAATGGGTAGGTTCCAGGAGAATTGCTAAATGAAAATGTATAAACTTTGATTTGACCAATTCACAATTGCTAGATGAAATGCAATTTTTTAAATTTATAAATAATTTTGTAATGAATGAACACACTTGCACATATATTTTTAACCCATCTAATTTCGCTTTGAATAAATTCATTCTCGAAGGGAGAGGTAAAATTACTGAACTCTTTTTTTTTAATCCTCACCCAAGGATATATTTATTGACTTAAGAGAGAGAGAGGGATTGGAGAGACACACACTTCACATGCCTGGAGGGGGATCAAACCGCAATCTTTTTTATATATACTAGACAACACTCCAGCGACAACTCTCCAACTGTTCTAGGCAGCAAAAGGGCACCAGGTGTCTGACTTACCATCAGACCAAACCTAGATTCAGCAACCTTGGTACTACTAGGGGGTATGTTAGGAAAAATTTCAGAGCCAAGACCTAAACTATAAGAGAACATTTATTTGGTAAATCACAGAGGTAGAAGTAATTCCTAGAAGAAATGGGCTTAGGAAACTAGTTATAGAGGTAAAGGAAGGGCCTTGGAGCTTGGGAGTGAGGAAGCTGATGGTAATGTGCCTGGGGCAGCGAGGATGAGGGGGAAGGGATAGGGAAAGACATAGTGTGCTCCCCAGGAGCATTGCGTCTTCTGTCCTAAGGGTTTTCAGGGTGAAGATTTTAAAGGAGGTCCCAGAGGAAGATCTCAATAGAATATTCAACAGTTTTCCAGGTGTGTCCTTTCAGAGTTGTGGTCTCCACTGATTGACTGGTCAGCACAGGGCAGGAGTCACTATTCAGTGCAGCTGGTCCTGAGGTCAGCCAGGTGTAGATTGTCTGGTTTTGCTGCTTTTCTGGGCCTGGACCTGAAACACAGCGGAGGCCCAGATGCTATCTCTAGGGAGGAAAGGTGAAGGGGTCCAAACTTCCAGGCCAGGGACATGCTAGGGGAGAGAAAATCACCCTGGGAGAGAAGTCTCCCCTACAATTGTCCTTTGCTAGGTACCTGGGCTTTCCACCCTGTTAACCTTCTGGACCTGGCCCATAGTTCATGTTTTGCTCATGTCTGTCTAACTGCCTACCACACAACCAATGGAGCCACCCGGCCACGGCTGAATCTATTTTTTAAAATATTTTTTTACTGCTTTTTTGAGAGAGAAGAAGGGAGAGAGATAGAAGCAACCATAGGCTGCCTCCTGTATGCCCCCTACTAAAGATGGAGCTCAAAACCCCAGCATGTGCCCTGACCCGGAATCAAACCAGCAATCTCTCGGTGCATGGGTCTACATTCAACCACTGAACTATACTGGCTGGGCTGAACCCATTTTTAAAATCATTTTAATGTGTTTTTGCCAATCTTTTAGGTTAAAAATGATGCATAATTGTAATTTGCATGTTTTAAATTTGAAATTGAGCTCTATTTCATGTTGATTAGACTTTGTGTTTCTTCCTGTGTTATCTTTTCATCATTTATTTGATCATTTCTTACTGGGATGTTCTTTTTTGTTAACCTTATTGATCTGTAAGAGCTTATTATACATTATTATAAGGATTTTAGCCCATTGCCACATGTGACAATGACATGTTTCTCATTTGTCTTTTAGTTCATTATGTCTTTCGCCATATAGAAGTTTTATATTTCCCATGCCTACTTTAAATGGGAGGTAATATCTTAATTATTTTCCTTAGTGGATAGCCATACTCCAAAAACCATTTGCTTGAAATCGTCGGTGTGTTAACGTGTTGTAATTTTCCTATGACTGAGAAGAGAGGTAAAAGGAAAGAGGGACCTCATCATCCTCAGGGTAAAATATTGTGATGTCAGAGTTGGATTACCCTGGTGTGTTGCTCTGTTTTTCTGTTTCCTAAAGGAGCCTAAAATAGAAATTCCACTTTGTTCTGAGAGTCTCCTCTTTTCATAAAGAAGTTGCTTATATGCTTCCTAATGAGCCTGGAGACTACTGGAAACAAAGTGCTATTCAACTGGGTTGGCATTACGTGGCATGGGAGACCTTATCTGCAGTCTCTTCAAAGTGCTTCCCAATTCCACTCGATGCATATGACAACTGGGATGCACAGGCGCTCCTTTCGTTTATTTTCTCACCCTTGTTCCTGAATGTGAACAACGTGGATTCCCTCAGGCCTGTAAATGCTCTCCTTTATTTCAAAACATCTCATTATTTCAACTGAAGACTTTTCTTTTTATTCACTACCTAGGATTCTTATAACCAGGGTGCTTATACAGGTTTAATACAATACTCTCAATATGCTCACCATGAAATAAACGAAAATTCAGAAGAGGCCGAAGCCGGTTTGGCTCAGTGGTAGAGCGTCGGTCTGCGGATTGAAAGGTCCCAGGTTCGATTCCAGTCAAGGGCATGTACCTTGGTTGCGGGCACATCCCCGGTAGGGTGTGTGCAAGAGGCAGCTGGTCGATGTTTCTCATCGACATTTTTAGCTCTCTATCTCTCTTCCTTCCTCTCTGTAAAAAATCAATAAAATATATATATATATATTTTAAATTCAGAAGAACAGTGCATACATTCTTAGGACAAGGCACGGCAGACACTGGGTTAAAAGTAAGAAGATGAGGCGGGTGGTGAGTGGGTGTTGTATATTTTACCATAGGACACTCTGCTCCACCAGGTAGTGTTTCCACACATTTTGAGGTAGTGCGGGCATAGTCATTTCTTGAAAAATCATGACATCTCATTTTGGCAATGTTATTGCTTTTTATCTACTACATAGCAAAAAATTTTCATATTGAAGATATGTGTTGTAGCAGAGGACTAAAATCGATAACATATAGACACAGACACAGAAATAAACATATATCTTTATACACACACACAAACACACGCACACACATCTGTGCTTTTACCATAGAATTGATATATTTAATTGGAGAACACATATAGAAAATACTTGAGGCCATGTGTGGTAGTTAATAAATAATGCATATTAGCTATTATTATCATAGGTAATTTAGGTGGGTTGTTTTTTTGTTTTTACCAACTTGCAGCATGGATATAAGAAACCATTCTCTTTGTTTTCCCTCTCTCCTTTCATTGGCAAGTTGTTTGTATTCTTTACTGCAGTCCTCCTTAAGTCTCCTGTTTCTCCCCATCTCCTGTATGAGAACTGAGCCTCCGCCATACAAACAGGCTAAAAAGCTCAGTCTTAATGAGAGGAGTGCATTCCTGCAGGTTGTTCAGCTACTATATGAGTAACAATTACTCCTATTTCTGTAGTACTTTATAATTTACAAAGGGATTTATATCTTTTTGACTCAGTACAACCTTGAGAGCTAAGTGAAGATGTTTTTAAGATGGTTTTCCATCTGATAAATGGTATACTGTTTTTGCTAAGACCACTGCAACCAAGTACCGTAAACTGGCTAGCTTAAGCACCAAAATATTATTTTCTCTCCGTTCTGGAGACTGAGTAGTCTGAGATCAAGGTGTCAGCAGGGTTGGTTTCTTCTAAGGCCCCTCTCCTTGTCGTTTAGATGCCACCTTGTTGTGCCCATAAGATCTTCCATCTTTACCCATCCACATTCAAATACTTTTTCAGAAACATATCAGTCAAAGGAGATCAGAATATGATACCCTCAAATATGCCACTTTGGCATATCCATTGTTTTGAGCTGAAGGCAACTGAGGAACAGCAGGCGCAGGAAGAGCTCTCAGCGTGAAAGCAGGGCATAAATCTCCTCGGAAAAAAGCACAGTCCCTATTCCAGGAAGAGAGGATAGGAGAGCACTCCTGTCTCTGGAGAAGAGGAGTCAATGCTGAGGTGAGTCTGCATGAGCAGACCTTCCTAAAGTAGTTTTATCTTCCATTAGAAGATATCTTAACCCACCCCCATGCCTTTCCTGCTCACTCTTGTAGTTTAGCAGCTCTAGAAGCCCAGATCCCCTTTCCTTTGCTACTCACTTTTCCACAATTTATCACCCTTTATTAA